TTACTTACACGACATGTACAACGACGAACAAGGAAGTAGCTGAGGGGCCCCGAATGCTGCCTTGGAATGTACCGATAGTCCAACGGCCAATGGGCCCCGGCCAAGTCTGGTTTACACATACATATCGTCATCATCCCGTGTGGCGGGGGCTTGTGATGCGGGCTCGGGCTCAGGCTCAGCTTCGGGAGCTTTCTTGCGCGCGGCTGCAAAGGAGGTGAGCAAGAAATCGAGGAGCACACATCAAACCCACATCGTCGCGTGGCTTTCCGTTTCGCAGCTGCTCTTTTGCCTTCAACGCGTTTTTCAAAGGCTTGGTCTTCTTCGCCTTGGCGTCGGTGTTCATCGAGTATCTAGAGCCACTTTGAGAATCACGTTACATGAATCCTGGTCAGAATAGCCGTACCGATTCAAACTCGTTGAGCTCCGTGTCTGGCTTGTTCGCCGATTTATTGGAGCGTGCCTTTGAAAGTATCTCACTAAACCTATCGAATACGCCCTCCTCGTGCAGCTTATCGCGGTAGAACTGCAAGCCTTCGATGAGCTTTTTGACTGATCGCTCTGACTTGAATGGGAGGAGCGACAAGCAGAACGCGATGTCGCGCCACTGACGGGGATCCTCAGACAGCCGGAAACGCTGGCAAAGCTTCTCGACAATATTTTCGGCTTGTTTTTCCTGTTAGAAGTTTAATGAATTGGGAATGATGGAAAGGGATGAGGACCGGCCTTCTCAATGAAGGAAAAGATGTAACGCATGGTGCTTTTGAAAATTTCCTCCTCAACGGCGTGGTCGCCTGTGGATAGGTGACTGATGACTAGAATAATGGTATGAAGAATGTTGATATTAAGAGTAAACCGAGGCATACCATCAGGCAAATTGTTGTAAATTGCGTTGTCCTTTGTCGACAGGTCCGTGAAAAACAGCTTCGCAAGGTCGGATATCCGTGGCTCCTCGTCTTCTAGGCACTTGGCCATCTCGCCTAACTGGCCTTTCACTTTGATCATCCCATTGAGAATCAAGTGCGTCAAGACCATCAGCGTGTTCTTCTTTACGACAAGGTCTCCATCAGAAAGGCCTTTATACAACTCATTGCTATTCTCGTCGACAATGTTGCTGAACGAGACTGCCACATCGCCGAGAGCAATGACAATGTTACTACGAATATTTGGGTCTTTAGAGGTCTCAAGGATCTTGAAGAGAAGATGGTGATGCTGGTCGCAAAATTGTGAGCTGATGCAAAGGAACTTGCTAAATGAGAGGGTGGCAGCTGCGCGGAGTGTGCGATTCTGGTATCTCTGTCAGTAGTAAGACAGAGAAAAACAACTCAGCCCTTGCCTTAAATTTATGTGGACTACCACACACGTGGACCAGTAATGGGCCGTACAACATCAGTAATGACTGCTCTCCATAGAGCAGCTCGGTCTCGCGAACAGCGGCTATCCGTTCTCCGATCTCGTCCTCTGCATTGCCAGCAACTTGGTCAAGTTCTTCGGTTTCCTTGTTGGCTCTGTTGGGTGAGCCCCCAGCTGCAAGCTTTTCCGCTACGTAAAATGTCATGCAATGGTTTGAAGGCGTCTGTGAGTGAACATACCCAGCTGTTTCTCATCTTTTTGTCGCTTCCACTCCCTTTCCACCAGCTCCAGAAACACGATGTGCTTGATGGCCACATGACCTACGACGAACAACAGCTGACTGAGATGGAAGACATCTCCAAGATCTTTCTCTTCCCCCATGCTCGACTGTTGGGTAGAGATATGTGTACTAGAGGGTGCGTGCGAGGCTGGTTCCGGCAGTTCCATCTCTTGATCCACCTCCATCGCCTCCGTATCTAACTCGGATGGTGGCTCCTTCGTGTTTTGCCGCTTGGCAAAAGCCCTCCGGGTAAGGTTCTTGATGAGGTTATTACAAAGCTCGTCGGGGTGTTCTCCTAAGGCGTAGATAGTGTTAATTGCTTGTTCGGCCATGCCGAACCAGTCTTTCGATCGACAGGGGTGCTCTATGGTGTTTTGCAACTTGCGGAAGATAGGGTTCTCCATCTCCATGCGAAGGGATTTATCGAGAAGAGATCCTGTTGCCTGTCTGAGAAAATTATTGACGAGGTACGGTTCTCTTCGTACCTTTGACCTTCTTCGCGCTGCCGTTTAAGCGCTGCAGGGCAAGGCACGTGTATCTTGCAAGAGTGAGATCGGCCTGCCAGAGGGTGAGCATTTGGTATTGATGGGGTATTTACTCGCACTGACCTTGCCGAATGGCCCAAGACCGATCTTCAACAATGTGTCTACCTTCTCAGAAATGATGGTGCGTTTCGATAGTGCCAACATTCCAATGATGATGATTGCACCACGACGTTGAGAGCGGGGCAAAGCTTGAGGAGCGCCTACAAATGAATATGAATCAATGTGCTTGCGGCTGCAATGGAATATATCCCACTGTAAACTTGCCACAGCTTATTGATCACATCGTAATGGATCTGGCCATCTTCCATCATGATACGCATCAACTCTTCTAAGCTAGTGAGCTCTGCAAGCGTCGCATCGTATGTCAATCTTTTATAAATGTTTAAGCGGCTTTAAATCTGAGAAAGCGAGCTGGACACACTCAATCATGTTTTTGGCAATACGGTTCACTTGCTGCTTGGGTTCCATGTCGGGTAGGGGGTCAAAGTACAGCATACGGTAGCATTCGAGGAGCCTCGATCGCACACCCTTTAGCTCTTTGCCGTCCTCCGACGTTGAGCTATTATCTTTGTGCCATATCAGATGTAGCATCTGTTTGATGCCTCTCTAGTAATAAGGTTAGATGGCCGTAACACGGAAGAATCATATGCGTCACCTCAGCACCGGCAAGCTGGTACTCAAATGCGACTCTGAAATATTCCATACTCTCCAATACTTCTGCCTTGTTCGTACTCCCCAAAAGCTGCGTAATCGATATCATCCCGCCTTCCAGGGTACGCATGAAGTCGAGTGCCTCTGTGCAGTACTTCTTGCGCAAACCCATGGCAAGAATTTCATTAGTCTCCAGGGCAGCAAGTGCTTCTTGTTCCGAGACAATGGCTGTGACATCGACGGTGGATTTGCGATTTGCCTTTCTCTTTTTAGGCTTCGGGTTGTTTGAAGGTGCGTCGCTGTCATCGTTTGCATCTGCGCCCTCCATTTCAGCGTCCTCATCTTCATCTTCCTCCTCGAAATTTGACTCCTCCACTTCATTTTCATCCTTGTCCCTCTCAACGGCCTTCCCAATGCCACCTTCCATCTCCTCCAACTTGTCCTTCCAAATCTTATACCGTTCCTCCCACTTTTCCATATTCAAGTCGCCTCCGTACATATCCCCATACGGATGGGTCAGAATCAGCTTCACGAGTATCGAAACAGCAGCCTTGCGCACTGTACTTGCCTTATCCTCCAGCGTGTCAACGGCAGCGCGTGTGATCCGGAGCCTCTGTTCTGGGAGACGCAAAGGCAAATCAAGCACCTTCGAGAGCGTCGCGAAAACCTTGGAGCGTACGTAGGAGGATAAGTCAAGCGTTCGCGAAAGGAGGAGCTCAAACAGCCCATCAAGCTCCTTGCCCGCCTGGTTGGAACCATTCGTCCGATTTGTGATGTCCTCCGACGTGGCGAGTTCGCGAATGAGTGAACCGATAACTTCAACGATTGCCATGCGCATAGGATAAGACTATAGGCTTTTCAGATGGAGAAGAAGTGCTGTTTTCGGAGAGCGTACCTCTGAGTCAAGATGGCCAATCAATAGACTGATTTGCTTGAGCACTGATCGCGGCGACTCCTCGCTGAATTTGACCAGGAATCGGGAGAACGCCCTTGGACCCTTGGTGTCCTGCGCACTAAACGATTTGCCAGCAATTTCGCGGAGTATCTCGTCGCCAAGTTGGGCGTGATCAAATTCCTTTGCGAGGATAGAAAGGCACTCTGCCATGGGTTCGGATAGGTGTTCATAGTACTGCAAGGATTGCATGATGTTGATTTGCGCAGCGAGCGTATGCCCGTGATGCTTTACAGCAAGGCAAATGACTTTGTAGACATGCATACGTACGTTCTGGATCTTCATGTATTGTTCGGACTCGGCAACATGGTAGGCAGGGCGGGTGAGGCATCTGAAGTAGGGTCAACAGGGGTCTAGACAGCTGACTTCGCGGGCATCGCGGGCCAAATCATGTGATATAGAGCAAGCTGTACTCACGTTATGAACGCATCTCTCTCCGGACTAGTCACCCAGATGCGGTGCGTCTTCAGTTTCAGCGCCTTGCAAATGAGTTCCAGAGTGCCAGGGATCTGGTCGATCCATGTCCATTGTTCTGCCTTCTTCGCCGTCGCCGCCCTCGAGGTACCAGCCTTACCGCCCCTCCCACGACGCGCCTTCACGGGTGCCGGGGGCGTGTCCTCCTCGCCTATCGCCTTCACTTTCTCGGCGGCACCTACAAACCAATTGACTAAGAAGGCATACATTTCCAAAGGCAGCTTATGAGCCATGACAATCTGTTGGTCTTCTTCCTTGGAGTCACGTATTGCAGCATCAATTTGAGATCCAAATGCAGAGAGCAGAGCATCGAGCATCTTGCTCATATAAGCACCAGAGACTGCATCGGAATGCTTGAGAAGGCTTCGGAATATATCGAATATTTCTGGATCAGTTATTTCTTCAGATGAATGAGCGATTGCCCCGACAGCCTCTAGGTTCGTGGTCAGTGAATATCGAATACCAGAATCAAGGGCCAACGTACGTTGCAATAAGGGGCCGGGATCGGTGCTGTTGGGATCCTGTTCGTTTGGGATGTCGTAGTTTGCAATGTCCTGGAGTGCCTGTAGCTCATCTTGAAGCTCGAAGGATACACTCATGGCGAACACTCCTTAAACACTGCTAATGTCTGTCAAGTTGATAATCAAAGGTAAAACACGCTCGCTAACAGTGACACGGTTTCTCTGTGAGCACGTGCTTCGTGTTTATCACGTAAGCAGTGTCAGCTCCATTTTCGAAATTCCTTGGTATCCCAAACCACCACCATGGTGAGTGCATACACTCTCTGGGCTGCGAATAGGCTGACTTGATGTTCACAGATCATCCCAGTGAGATGCTTTTCGTGCGGAAAAGTCATCGGGGACAAATGGAACGCATATCTCGAGTTGTTAGCCAATGATATGAGCGAAGGGTAACTCTCTGCGAGCTTGCCAGCTATAACATCCCTGACAAGAATATAGAGATGCTCTTGATGAGTTACAGCTGAAGCGCTATTGCTGTCGTCGAATGGTTCTCACGCACGTTGACCTCATTGAAAAGCTCCTGCATTACAATCGTAAGTGGGCGCTGCATACGACGGATGACTCAATGGCTCATCACAGCTTTTAGCTATGGAGCGCTCGAAGGACAAGAATTATTGATGCCTTCTGTACAGGGTGTCTTATTTGTGTACTCGCTCTTGTGCTTGACTTTCCTAATTTCATCCGACTTGCGAGTCTTGTGTCGCTTAGTAGTAAGAATGGGTGGAAGACATGGTGATTCCCGGAATCTTTTCCTGTCGTCATCGTGTCTCCCACATTTTATGTTCCTCCTTTCTACCCGACAGGGAACCGCGTGGTCCTCGACAAGTCGTGCCATCGGCCAATGTATGCAACCTCAAGCCCACTCAAGGCGAGGATAAGAGCTAAATGAATGTCACGGTGGTACTGATTCCTACAAGCGAGAACTTTCTTGGTGTGTTATAATGTTACATGCGTCGATGAAGATCACCAAAGGAAGCCTGACACTACAAAATAAATTTATACGTATACAACAACACATAAATCCCTCAACACACGGATCAACGTTGGATCAATGCCTTGGATGCTTTTGTGCTGATGAGTTCTCCATACATCCCCCTGTCGTCATCAGTTGCCACTTGGTTCGCGTTACGGATGGACGATGCACCTCCAAAATATGTACCCCTGTGAGGCTGTGACATATGATCGTGTGCCTCTATAGCTCTTCAGCCTCAGGCCTCAGGACGTACAGGCCCCACTCTAAATCTCAATAACTTCAAGCTGACCTATGCTATCCTGGACAAAAATCAGTATGTCAGACTTCGTCGAAAACGCAGAGCCTACGCTATCGGGGTCCTCTATATTCGGCTTGGGCAAATAAATCCTGTCCTTATCGACCCATATGTCTGTCACCTGCTCGGCAGAAAATATTCTGTCCGACACGATCTCGACGTAAGGCAGGGACGACGTCAACGTCTCTCCTGACTCAGTGATTTCTATTACAGATGGTTCTGTGACCACTCTTCCTAGACCCTGCCGGCGCTCAACAGCTAATGGGCTGAAGTCCATCATATATAACCGATAATCCATGTCATCCAAGTCCTCTTCCGCTGTCGGGTCTGTTGCAGTAAATGCCTGTAATACTCGATTCCCGCTAACACCAACTCTTGACCGCCAGTGGTGCACGAAAACACGAGCATTTAGAGGGCCCCAACTTTGCCATGGGATTGCTGCCTTTCCTTCAAAGACGCCAGCTTGGGGATCGAAGAAAATCCTCGTGGAAATGACGAATGTAAATGAGTCCCAGGCATCATGAATGCGTGTGATAAGGGATAGTATTCGATTTTTAGGGTCCGAGGTCCACATTGTTCGCTGGGCCTGCATCTGCAGTGGTGAGCTATGTGCAATGTCATCCATCGGAAGGAGGCACTGTATGCCAGTCACTGATACAGGCATCAGGAAGCAGGCCAGCAGTTGTGGCGCCTGTGACAAATCCTCTATTGAATAGAGCTTCAATTCCTTGCTGACAATCAGCAGTCTATCGTTTCCTAGGAAACAAAAATCAAGTGACTCTCCGACCTCTGGGTTTATTATTGTGTCACTGAGAACGCACTAGTAAAACGGATGTCAACTCTCGATCGTCAACTAATTCTAATCAAGGCTCACATTGGACGTTGTCGAGTTTTTCCAGTCCCAAATTTGCAAAAACCATATCTCCTCGCCGAATTTATAGCCGCCTTCATGAACTAGCAGGGAGCGCCGGAAAGCGATATGTTTCCCAAAACCCTCAAGCTTCCAATTTTCTATTGTATAGAGGCCGTCCTCGCATTTAGGAAGCCTAGACAGAAACAGCGTCTTTCCAGCGGCTTCGGGGTGGATTCCATCTCCATCCAGGACTCCAAGGTCGATGCAAAACCTCTTGTCATCCGTCCGAAGGGTTTCATCAGCAATTATACATGCAATGGCAATCAGGTTTTGCGCTGGGTCCATAAACACCTCGATGCTCTCCGTATTGGGAATTGAACACAGTGATCCCGGAGACCAGTCACGCTCGATCTTGTGTTGTGAGGGTTTTGGCAGTATTGGGAATATCTTAGCTGACTGTTCATCTTCGTTGAACGAGCAAAGATGCCCGTCGGCGAGAGATGTCTTCGCATCGTGGAATTGTTCTGGTATAGAAACTGTTTCGAAAGAGTGGATGTCAAATTTGAACCATGCGTGGGCTTTGTCCCGCAGAAGTTGTAGGCGCTTGGAAATAGAAGTGTGGTTGTCGAGCTCCGTGTCGGGGACAGGGAGCAATTGCTGGCCACCGAGCTCAGTGATGTACTGAAGCTCGGAGGAGGATATGTACGTCTGGCGAAGCGCCTTGCATACCTGCAAGTGACGATCATTCAGATTAAAGGATTAATGATTGGTTCATGCTCACGGATGTACAGCGCAGAATATCTTGGTAAGGAAGGAAGCTCAGAATATAAGATTGGAGCTCTTCAGCAAGAGACAAAAACCCTCTAGATTTGGGCTTCATCTTCTTCTTAGCTTGGTTCACTGTCGTGATATGAGACGGTACCACTGGTATGACTCTATGAGCCTACAAGTTGCCACTCAATTGTTTAATAATCGCGTCTAAATTTAGACAGCCACTGGCAGTGGCACGCAGCCATCTTTCGAATTGTACCCCAGAAAACTACCCGTTGCAATTGACCTGGGTACCATTGGCTCGCAATATCTTACTCTGATGCACCCCAGCGATGTATATCACTGCGGGCCTCTTCGCAACTAGCTCTCGAGGATGTACAGACCCCGCTCTATATATCAATGATTTGAAGCTGGCCTATGCTTTATCCTGGACGAAAATCAGTATGTCGGGCTTCACCGAAGACGCAAATAGCCTACGCTATCAGGATCCTCTGTATTCGGCTTGGGCAAATAAATTCTGTCTTTATCAACCCATATGTCCATCAACTGATCAGGATCAAACGTTCTGTCGGACACGACCACGACGTAAGGCAGGGACGATGTCAGTGTCTCTGCCGACTCGGTGGTTTCTATGATAGATGGCTCTGTCACCACTCTTCCTAGACCCTGCCGGTGCGCAACAGCAGACGGGCTGAAATCCATCATATATAACTTATAATCCGTGTCATCCGAGGGGTCTTCGTCATCCGCTGTAGCACCCGTTGCAGGAAATGTGTGCAGAACACGATTCCCGCAAACACCAACTCTGCATCGCAAGTCGTGCGGGAAAATACGAGCATTTAGCGGACCCCAACATTTCCATGGGATCACTTCCATTCCTTCAAAGACGCTAACTTGAAGATCGAAGAAAATCCTGGTCGAAATGACAAATGTGAATGACTTTGAGGTGGCACTCTGAATGCGTGCAACAAGGGATAGTAATCGATTTTTAGGGTCCGAGGTCCACATTGGTCGCTGGGCTTGCATCTGCAGTCGTGAGCCAGGCATAATGTCGTCGTCCATCGGAATGAGGGACTCTATCGACGTCACCGATACAGGCATCAGGAAGCACGCAAGCAATTGTGGTGCCCGGGACAGATTCTCAATTGAATAGAGCTTCAAGTCCTTGCCAACAGTCAGCAGTCTATTGTTTCCGAGGAAACAATAATCAAATGACTCCCCGTCCTCTGGGTTTATGATTGTGTCACTGATCACGAACTAGATTGAGTGTCAATCGTCAATCATTAACTTTTCTGACTAATACTCACACTGGACGTTGTTGACTGTCGCCAGTCCCAAATCTGCAAACACCATTGCTCCTCGTTCTCCTCGTTGAAACCACCATATACAGTCGAGCGTCGGGAGCTCTGGAAAGTGATATACCTCCCAAAAATGTCGACCTGCAAATCATCCGACGGAAGGATGTCGTCCTGAAATCTACCTGACGGAAACAGTGTGCGGCCGGCAGCTTGAGGATGGGCTCCATCTCCATCCAGGAGTCCAAGGTCAATACAGATCCTGTGATTGCCTTCAGGCCAGTTGAAGATGATACACGCGATGGCAATCAGGTTTTCTGCTGGGTCCATGTACACATCGAAGCTATCTGCATTGGGAATTGGACACAGCGATCCTGGAGACCAGTCACGCTCGATTGTTCGTTGTGAGGGTTTTGGTAGTATTGGGAAAATCTTAGCCGTTTGTTCATCTTCATTGAAGAGACAAAGATGCCCATGGACGAGGAAGGTGTTTGAACAACGTCGGAATGGATCTGGTATGGAGACGGTCTCAAAAGCATGTATGTCAAACTTGAACCATGTGTGGGCATTGTTTCTCAGAAGCTGCAGGCGCTGGAAAATAGAAGTGTTATTGTCAAGATCCATGTTAGGGACATGGAGCAGTTGCTGGCCACCGAGCTCAGTGATGTACTGAAGTTCGGAGGAGAATATGTACGTCTGGCGAAGTGCTTTGCATACCTGCAAGACCTTCAGGATAACGGATCAACAATCGACCAACACTCACGGATGTACAACGCAGAATATCTTGATAAGGGAGAAAGCTCAGAATGTAAGACTGGAGTTCTTCAGCGAGAGACGGGAACTCTGCTCTGGGCTTCAAGTTCAAGTTCATTTCCTCGCTGTCGCGATTTGAGACCGTCGGCACGAACGCATTACTTTTTCGGACAGTGTCTAAATATGGACAGCCCCTAAGTACTACCAACTATTATAATACTATTGGCAACCGCCAGTTCGTGCATACGGCCTGCATCTCGTGTGCATAAACTGATGGTGACCGACAGCACAGCGTACAACAAGAAATCACAATAAGCAAGCTCAAGTGTGTTCTCATACTATGCTCCGGTTTGGTATATGCCATCAGTCAACACGACTTCACCTTCCTCTTCTTCAATTGCGTTCGGCAACCCATGTCCTCCTTTCAAACAGTTAAAGATTCGGGGGAGACTAAACCACTCTCACACGATGCTGTAAATGAGAATGTGCAAATGCCTGATATTGAGAACGACAAGCTGCTAGAGCGGGAATATAATCAAAAGGCGCATATGCCTGAACTGAGGTTATACTCTCACGAGAGCTAAAGAAAACTCATAACATGGTGCATACGAGAACGAAAACTTGCTTGATATGTTATAGTGAGCAGACACAGAATGCGAAAAAGAAATGAAAAAAAAAAACAACTACGGAGGCCTAACACCACCGACAGCAGCCTATGCAACAGTATACATGTGCTTCATCGCACGGATCACCGCAGCGATGCCTTGGACGTCTTCGCACTGACTAGTCCTCCACCCATCCCCCCCTCATCATCAGTCGCGGCTTGGTTGGCGCTTGCATTACGGATGGAGGTAAGCACCTCCTTGCAGTACTTGAGCTTGTCTACGAGTCGCTGGTTGAACTTGGCCTGCTCGGGGTCTGCAACAGGAGGTTGTAAAGATAGTGCCATAACTTCGCTGAGCGTGAATCTCGCGATCTTGTAGTTCTTGTCGATATGTGTCACAAGCAAACCATGAGACGAGAGGATGACTTTTGAGTGATCGTAGAAGTTGAACTACATCAAAAACCAGCGTCAATTGTCGACCACATGATGAAGGGTAAAAACGAATGACCTGAAGAACATCATGACTCATCTTGAACACGATAACGTGTTTCATACGCAGATACTTCTGTACGAAATCCATTCCCTTGGTGCGGTCGTGGTCCTCGAAAGTGTACTCATAGTCGCCGTACAGGCGGTCCATGATGTAGCGTTCGAAATGCTTCAGAAGGTAGACCTTGTTCTTGAGGTCTTCGGGAAACTCGGTCACAGAATAGTTCTTCCTAACGTAGACAGTTCCGTTACGTCGAGAGGAGATGTAGTCAAAGTGACTGGGACGTGTGTCATGTCATGTCAACGCCAGAGGTAGGCAAGAACTCACTGCTTATCCGCTGAGAGAATGAGGGTTGTGCTGTCATTGAAATGTACGCCAACAGACCCATCCGTCAGGGCATAACCCATTCCGTACTTATTGCAGTAATCCACCCAAGACACAATGAAAACGCGCTCATCGGGGATGGTAGTATCATCACGGGGATCACGGAACAGCTTGCCTGCAGCCTTTGCGTCAAAGGCCTGCGTCAAAGTCTGCGCAGCGGCATCAAATCCATTGAGCTTTGCTTGCTGAGTTTCCATGTGCACATCCTGCACCAGGGTTTCCTTGCGCTCTCCGCGCATCGGCTCTTTGCCCTTCAGATCCTTGCGGGTAGGAGGTAGATTCTCCTGGTCTTCATCGAGGCGGTGTACGCCAAGACCAGCCACCGGGGCCATCTGGGCCACGATTCTCGCCTTCTGCGATTCGAGCTCCTTCAGCCTCTGCTGATCGTGATTTTTCTCCCGAGTTCCTCGAGGCGCATCATTCTCTTCTTCTATGTCTTGCAACCCACGTGCCGTGCGCACGTTCCGTAGAGGCGATTTCGTGTCCTTCGCTGCTTGTAGTTTCCTGAACAAAGGCGACTCCTTGACTCCGTTTGTCGACATAACCAACGGCTGCCTGGCAGAACTAAGCAGCGCAGAGATAGGACTACCAGGCTGAACAGCCTTCTGGAACTCCTTCTCTTGCTGAGCGATAGTCGACATAATCGGATTCCTCGCCTTGTCTTCTGGAGCCGACGGAACTTCATCTATGGTCGAAATATGGTCATCATCCAGCCACACAGCTTTCTTGAGCTTCGTGAGGTTAACTACGGACATTGGGCGCGTAAGGTATCGGAAGTCGGGGGGCGCGTCATGTGCGGAGACGGGAATAAATGGTGGGACAATGCCAAGGTCAATGAAGGGCGACTTAAGGATTTCAAGGAGAGTGGGACGTTTTGAGGGGTCAGGGGTTAAAATAGACGTGATGCAGTCTTTAGTGTCGGGTGCAATGCGGCGTTCGGGCGGGAACTCGTAGACGTTGTCGCGGATCCGTCTGCACGAATGGTTAAAAGAATTCAGGATGCAGGGGTGGTATGCCTTACGTATAAATCTCCTTGACGTCCTTGGTTTGGAAGGGAGGGCGTCCAATAACAAGCGTGTACAAGATAACACCGATCGACCAAGTGTCAACCTCAAAGCTGTGCCCATTCGCAGTGTCAAACAACACCTCAGGGGCAATGTAGTTTGGCGTGCCGCAAATAGTTTTCTTTCGTTCACCAGGGTTCTCAATCAAAGCAGCAAGTCCAAAGTCGCCGACCTTGATATTCATGTTCGAGTCGAGGAACAAATTCCCGAGCTTAAGGTCACGGTGAATAACCTGGTGGGTGTGCATGTAGTGGCATGCACCGATGAGTTGAACGAGGAAGAATCGGGCCTCGCACTCGCTGAAGCGGCGACGGCGACGGAGCATGTCCATCAAGGATCCGCTAGTGCAAAGCTCGAGTGTCATGTAGACGTTATCGTCATCCTCGAAACATTCCTGGAAGCGCACAATGTTGGGATGAGAGAGCGAACGATGTATCTTGATTTCTGCATAGAGCTGAGCACATAAAAGTGTCAAGGCACAAGTGGATGATCACACGTGGTGTGTACTTGCCTTGGTCTTGGCCTTCTTCGTCTTCAAAGACGATTTGGTAACAACCTTGCAAGCAAGGTGTTGTGCGGCACTGTGACGACCGTCTGCCACCTCATAAACTCGTGCGAATCCTCCCTGAAGGAAACGCAGAAGGTTAGTGTGGAGAAGCCGGCAATCGAGGCAAATCTTACTTCTCCGAGAAATCCTACACGGTGGTACTGAACTTGTCGATTCTGGTCAACGATAACTCTGGGGGGTGAGGGAGGAGTAGTCTTGCTGTTCTGCCTTGGCAAAGGTGGGTCGGCTGGAGTTGCCTTGGGTTTGTCTTGTGGCTTTACGGGAGAAGATGTCAGGTGAGGCTGATTGACAACGTTTGCATTTGTGAACGGATGACGACGGTGAACGGGCTGCTGAGCGGAGGGGGCGGGCATACGGGCATGAGTGTAAGCAGACATTTCAATGGCCTAACACCTTGAAAGTCTGATGGCTGTCTTGAGAGAGAAGAGAAGAGTGCTCAGAAAATGAACAGCGCCAAAACAAGACCAACTTTAACTGTTCTTTGGCTGACAACAACTCAAGGCGTGGCTACCGCGTGTTTCGCGTGTGTATTATGTAATTCATCACGTGTAAAATCAACATGCTCGTGACCGTCACTGCACAAACCCTAACCTTAGTCCGGGGTTCCATGATCCACTGCCACAGCTAGCGCATGACTCGATGGTCAAAGCGATGGTCAAAACACATCCACTCTAAGCCAGTCTATTGTTCGACAAAGCGGGAGGGCTCAGGGTATGTTGCGAATAAAAGAGCCTGTGGTAGCGGCGCCGATGCCCTTCTTGATTCCCTCCAACGTGATAACGCCCACAAGATCCGTGACAATCATAATAATCACTCATAGTACCCGACTGCATTTCGCTGTGAACGCGAACTGTGGGCTCTTCTCTACCCACTGTTGACCATGGCACTGACACTGCCCATAGAGCTCATACCTCTAAGGAATCATGTTGTACTTACTTGACACTAAACACCTGCCTTTCGTAGGCAAGGGAAGGCGGAAAGTCATGAGTTTGACTACTGGGTACGTCGCTGCTGTCTATGTGTATTTCTTTCGCTTTAGTGCTAAAGATCTTCTGACAGAAAAGGAGCACGAGATCTGACACAGGAAATTACTGCCGCGGCTCCTGGGATCGACAAGTTGGATGGCAATAAACAGTCCATGGACTCGGATGATACATCTATGAACGCTCAAACGACTACATCTGACTGCTCCTCCATTAACACCGCTTCAGATGGGGGATCGTTACCCATATGTTCTTTCACTAGTTTTATGGTTTCGAAAGGCTACGCCCTCATCAGGCGAACACTTAAAGCTGTTCCTCGAAAATCGGAAAGAATGCAGTCCCGGAAGATGCAGCACCGCTTTTCCCAGGCTTATAGCCCCACAAAGGCCTCCGCGTCAAATGAATCTACGGGACCCGTGCGTTCTGTACGACCTTCTATGGGTCATGATTTATTGACGAAGGACAAGATTCATCTCAACATCACCGAGGACGATATTCCGGCCGCAGTACCGTTTGGTCACCCCACGAAGCGCACGGTGCATGTACCGGATGGCGACGACGGCGACGATTCAACCCCTTGCAAGACTTCCCGGTGTCCGCGGCGTTGTACCCACGACCATTCTGTGCACGATCATGCATTGAGCTCGACTGCTAGGGAAACACGCAAGGCTGAAAATGATCAAATTGTGGATTCTGAAGGAGAGGAAGAATTAGGTTCTCTCAAAGTCTCTTGCTTCCATGGCTGCTCTACTTCTAAAGGAGAACCCAAATGCACAGATGGGCGATTGGCGAATAATGTCGAGGAAGGTACCGGTATTCGCAAGGCCTCCTGTCCCTCTCAGAACCAAGCGGGCGCTACTTATACTGATGTCAGAGTGGCGCCATATACCCCATTTCCACTCCCTGCTGTAGTCGATTCCGCCAGGCTGCCTGCTATGCCGATCGAGCATCCTGGATCATCAACGGAAAGCGTTGCATTTGACAGCCCCTTGGCCGTATGTCAGGTTGATGAGAGCCACGCGGCATCGTCGTCTAGTCCAATTCTATCGCTTCCCTTCATACCCTCAACCCCGCTGCATGATCTTTACCCGGCAACAGATGGAACCAACTTACTTGCGATTAACAGCATCTCATCCCTCACATCGATGTTGCCTACGCCTTCTGTGTGTTCAAGTACTCCTTTCACATACCCTCCTTCCACATACCAGCCATCATACGGGGCGGCCCTCAATTCTTATCCCTTGGCATTTCCCAGCCTATCTGAACAGGTGCCTTTTGCCGAGCAGCCGGTCTCCACGTTTTCAGGACCCTCCCTCATTGTCAATACGTACGATGGGTTTACCTCGGGGCCATTCTGCTCTGAACCTTTCACCTTTGACTCGCTTGGCATATCTTCTGGCTACGCATCTTTTGTCACTAACGGTCCTGTCCGTGCTAATGAGGGCCCCCTTCCGCAACCACAGTGGATTAGCCAATCCGATCGCATTGACGTAGAAATGGCAGATGCCGAAACCGTCGTCGAGCCCACAGCGTCGATGATGGAACAATGCTTCGCGAAGCCTTCTACGGAGCTAAATGCGTCAAGGTCCTTCCATCACTTTTCCCCTGCTGATGTGACTGCCACCACTGCGATACACTATGCCTGTGCCTATGAAGCGCCAGCTGCAATTACCGCATTTAGCGGAGTTTCAACGGCTTTGTCTGCAGTTGGGCCTAGCTCCGAGGAATTCTCTATGATGATTATCGAACCTAGCTATTCTCAGCCTGCATTCGATTCTACCACACGTCATTTCCCTACAAGTGCCGGACCTTCAGGTATTCAATCTGGGCTCGGCCATAGTTCGCGACGGTGTTCTAGCATTATTGACGCACATCCGGCTGCATTTCTGGCGCCCATACTAGAACAACCTACCGAACTCTCTCGTTCTAGATCCACAAACCCCTTTTCTGGCCCTTCTGAGATGCCATCAGCGGATCAACACACTCACAAGATCACCACACGGGAACGAGAGATACAAGGGACCTCCTGGCAGGCCGATCATCTCCACGCCATCCTTGAGGATGAAGAGTACACTCGTAAGTGAACAATTTGCTCACAAGACTGTGGACTAACAGACATGAAGAACATGCTAGTCCTGTAGACGTCAACGTTCACAAACACGTTACGTCCCAGCCCATTCCTGCCCCAAGCACAGTGATCCATCCGGAGACCGTTGTGCAGACCGTTGCGCAGACCGTTGCGCAGCCAGTCGGTCACGTTAACGACACCGTTGCCCCAGTCCGTCGCCAACCTCAGTACATTGCCCCGTCAGCAGCGAGCATCCCTGGGAAAGGCCTTGGTGGTAAAGAAACCCAGCCAGACGACGATGCCAAGACCGAACCAGACGACGATGCCAAAACTGAGCCAGACGACGACGCCAAGACAGAGCCGGATGATGGGATCAATGAGAAGGATGTGAACGCTGAAGTACTTGCCCACGCTATACTCGACATACCACTTCCGCCAGCGGTTGTCGCAAGCGTTCAACTTCTCGGTCAGCGGAAACGGAGAAATTCATGTTGCAGTGAAGGCATCACCCGCATGCGCGCAAAGAGAAGGCAGGTGGACGCTGAAGAGAATAAAGAAGATGGAAAAGGCGGGACCCGCGTACAGCGGACGCGGTTTAATCATTTATCGAGACCGTCACCTTATGGATCGATGCCACGGCGGAACAAAGGTCATGTAAAGAGACATGAGAATTCGGATTCTTTGAGCGGCCTCCACTCCCAGGCCGACATACAGTCCGGTGAAACATCTCAGGCGTCAGGAGTTGAGCCAGGCGACACCTCCCTGTCGCGATCTCCATTCAATCCATCCATCCGCAATTCATCCAAATTGCATGGATTGGATATGACCCCAGCTCCGGACGTCCAGCATAATAGTACTATCCCCATATCCTCACGACCTCGATTGCGAGACGACGATTCTCACTATGACGCCTCCGACGAGCTTCACAAAAAGGAGGGGACAGTGAGACGGACTCGATTCATCAAAAGTTGCGTCGAGAAAACGAGAGAATCCGCACAACCCCTACCACCGCCGGCAAATCCAATACCAGACAGAAAGAGACCGCCGACTCTGCGTCGGGCTGCTGGGTATGGGAGCGCAGGCCGTCAACATCGTGCTTATCATCCCACCAACGGTGGTGTTCAAGTACGCACGGGAAAGCTGGATGTAATGCGGCGTGCTCGCTTGGCAACAAGCAGCTCAGCTTTGAGACATGCTCATCCACCGCGTGTTGTGTCAGATACCCTAGACAAGGATCCATTGTATGGTTTCACATTTGCAAAAGCCGCATTTTAGAATTGCGCAAGGACGTCGTCCGCAACCCTCTGTCTTTGTGTTTATCCCTACGCACATACGTTCAGCTATCATATACCTCGGATCAATGCAATGGGCCTCGAGAATATCCGCGAGAAGTGATTTGCACCTGCGACAATCTTGCTTTAAGATAGGATGAGAATGCATAGTTCAAGTTATGAACCGCACGTCCCCAATACATGGGGTGAGAGGAAATCTAGAGAAGTTTGACGACACCATCATAGTATTGTCACTGTTGTCAGTGGTCCCGCAGTAATCGTCACTGTCGGATGATAAAGCGTGGCAGTGAATTTGCTGAGGATTAAGGCTACATATTGGTAACAAGCAGTACATAGCCTGACTGCATCGTGGAACATAATCGGGCGTTGACTATAGTACATAGGTAACGTCAATTGAAGTACAGCGTGGGGCATGAGTATGAATTCAAAGGAAGGTAAGAAGAGATTTAGCCAGTAAAACTCCGAGTGAAAAAGTTCGACATGATCGGTCTTCGAAAAAAAGAAAGGATTCAATTCTGAGCGTCCAAGTGTTCCCTGCACAGCGGACAAGTCTGGTTCCTCGCCAGCCATGGAATCAGACATCTCTTGTGGAACCTTGCAGAAACAATATAAGCTGGCAGCCACTACAGGAAGAAGAATAACATACGCATGGCGACACTTTGCTCCCAACACGCCATGGTCCCCACTTTTGAACTGTGACAAGCAGATAGTGCATTTCTGAACGTTCACACCCAGCAGCGACAACTTCAGCCTCACACGTCCATCACTTGTCACCCTTCGCCTCTCTAGTTCTACCAGTCCAACAAGGCAGTCATCTAAACTGTCAGGATTGCGATGTAATGTGACAGGACCGATGAAATCGGAGATGAGGAGGAGGGCCTGCGCATGTGGGTGACTTCAAGTACGGGCCCGAGAACTGTGCATCCCGAATACTCACGTCATAATTTGAACCGTCATCGTGGGGGTGATGATCTCCCAAGCCGCCAACGAGGCCAGTTATGTATTCGGATGCAGGGGGTGTGACCGTGTACGAAGATGGCAACGTGGTTGATGTTGGCGTAAGTGGCCCGCGAGGACTGGAGCTGCCCACAGTAACACTGTCACTGTCAACATCGTCCTCGAGGTAGTCGATAGGGAGGAGCGGCGGAGTACGCGCAGGTGGAGTACGATCAGGTATCATGGGTGTGATGTCCGGGAGAGGAGGAGTGCGATTTGGCAACGGGGGTGTACGGGTGGGGAGGAGAGGTGTATGAGTGGCGCTGGTGGGGCTAGCTTGATCCAAGCTATCGTCGTCCAAATTGATCAACAGGCCCTCGGGCACATGCAGGTTTTTAGCAATAGCCCTGGGGTGGTGTAAGACCGTAATAGTGGTAGAAGCCTTCGAATCCGGTGTACGGCCCACAAGCCATGTAAGAGACGGTGATGTTAATGGGGGGGTCTGGGGTAGAGGACGGCCTGCGTAGTGACGCCGAGGTGATGCAGGGGCAGGGCTATACGGAGGGGTATGTGACTCTGACTCTGGGGGCGGGGTAGGCGGTCCCGAGGGAAAGATCGCACTATACGCAGGTGCATTTCGCATCTCCAACTCCCGCGACAAGGACCGTCCACGATGAATGAGGATCTCCTCGCGGCGGGCTGGAGTCCGACGACGCGAGACTCGCTCTGTTGCAGACCTGGTAGGCAACGAGTTATTGGACACTGGGATGGGTGTAGCGGGCGTCGCATTATAGTCAATGTAAGTGACTTCTGAAGCCGACGTCGGAGAAGCTCTGGCATGCGTGCGGGTAGCCCTCGGAAGCTCAGGTTGAGTAACAGCACGAGGCGTCGAATGTGAACGAACATGGTCATGCTGAGCTTGATGAGTGCCTAAGTCCATCTGCGAGAAGGAGGTAAGTGCCCTTCCCACTGAAGGTTGGGTTAAGGATAGGGATGATAGGGTTGGCGAGTCCCTCAACGTTATCCCACGGGTAGGGGGGCGAGATCTACCCAATTCCTCGCAAACGCCAAGATCCTGTTGAGAGAAGGATGGAAGTGTCCTTCCTACCGTGGCCAACGACAAGCTCGAAGAGCTAAAGAGGGACGCGGAAGACGAAGAAATTGGGGATACTGGGGCGCTCGATGCGCACGTGTGATCGCTACGAAGGCTGGAACTCGTACGCCTCCGAACATGTCGGTTTACGAATGGAGGAGAAGCTGGACGTTGAGGACGATCTTCAGCCGGAAGTACAGTTCGAATGCTAGGGCGGTATGGGTGTCGACTTGTATTTGAGCTGCGGGAATCTTGTGTGAAGACATCGGGATAAGGCCAAGTCTCTGCAAAGCCTGAGCTTGATGCAGGAACCGGGCTCGGAGGGCTATGGTGAGCAGGAGAGTCTTCCAAAGAGGAATGTGAGGAGTCGGTGCGATCCAAGACTTCCCAGTCCTCTAAGGGTTCAGCACCTGCGCGCTCTTTCTGCTTCCGATGAAAGAGCTTTCGAGAAAAGTGGTGATCCCCGTGACTATGAAGTGCGGAAGGCGAAGATAGATTGAGGAGTGAAGGTGTGCTCTTGAAGAATGGACTGGGGTTGCGCAACAATGAGATGACAGATGATGAGGGCTGTGGTGACTGAGATCTATGAAATATCCTCGATGGAGAAAGGGGAATGCTAGCTAGAGGCAGCTTGTGTTTAGGCGTAACTGGGGAGGATACATCAGATGCTGCCTGCACGCTGCGGTCGTCAGAATACGGATCTTGATCCTCAGGAATCCTGAGTGACAATCGAGAGTTCGCGAAACGAGACTGAGAAGTAGGGCTTCGTTTTGGAGCCTGACTAAACAATCGGGCCCGCTGCGCCACGACTGGAACATGTGATTCCACCGACCGCTGATGGTGCCTCGTCACCCTTTCCTCGAGAGGAACTCCACGTTGTCGATCCATTTCCCATCTCTGAGGTGGATCTACGTCCACGAGTTCTATGCTTGACTCATCGTCATCAAGTAGTGCCTTCTGCTGTGCTGGCACCGGGAAGGTGCAAGACCCTGATGAAAGATTCGGCGCATGCGCAAGCGTGGGACTCGGCGTTGGCAAGGGCATCATCAAAGGCGATAATGCAGGTGTAGGTATTGACATTGATAGAGGAGTCACTGGGACTGCGGATAACAGTGGATCTGTGTGCATAATGACGTTATCATGCGTAGCTGAGGGCTGTGTAGAGCCCGAAGAGGAGGTGCGATTTGAGACAGGAAAGTGTTCCGGGTGCATATGAACCCCAGCCACGAATGTAGATGAAGCAAGCGCAGATGAAGCAAGACTGGACAAGGTAGGACTAGTCGCTACCTCGTAAGTTGGAGGCGGTGGATAATCCGAAGTATCTAGCCGATCAGTCAAGACATTCAGTTCTGTCACCTCAAGACATTTGATTTAATCTCACCGCCATCTTCTCGCACTCTTGCTTGTCTGCGACGGGCGCTGGCGCCACTGCGGGTATCTCTAAAAGAGTAGCCAAGGTTAAAGCGGATTTCTTCGCGTTGGCGTTCGTCTCTGTCTACTTTCTTGGGCTGTTTCGCTTTACCACGGAACTTACCAGTCGTAGCTTGTCGACTGGGCTGAGCGGTGTCCAGAGCCTGATACGGGTCGACCTGAGCGGGCTCTGTAGCCCGTTTGCTTGAGGTCATTGTGAAGCACTGAGGGAGGATAGAACAGCCTGAGATGGCAGACAAGGGCGAAGATGGGCAACACGCCTTCACCTGCAGGCGACTTGACTCGCTCTGGTATAATAAGTGTTTATATTTCTTTGGCGGTTTACCAAAGAGGCATAGCGCCCTATCCTTGCGGCACTCGTGCCATGATCCTTACGCGGAACAGGGACGAACACGAGCCATTCATATCGCCTGCTGAGAATACGATAGAATGCCCCCCAGAATGTGCAACGTTGCAGAGAACGTTTCAGCACTAATACTACTAGTGTGACGCACCATATTTAGTAGCTGACATAAGCATCACACCTGGCATTTGCCGACGGGCAATTTATGACATAAGCATCACGACGCACGTGACCCCCAACGCGTCTCTGAGGGTTGTAGATCCTGCAACTTTGTACACCATGCCAGGGCGCGTGTCTTCTGTCGAGGAGATCCTCACCGCCAGTATCCCCAAGATATTTGACCAAGTTCAGAATTCCACTGCAAATCACCAGAAGAATATCGTTGCACTCCACAAACTCCACCTAGATGCTGCCAGTTTCACCGAACCCATACATGATGGCAGAAGCATCAAGCTCACCGGTGAGCGTGTGTTCGAGGAGAAATTCAAAGATATACTATGCAGGTCTGCCGCTGTCAAGAAAGGAACGTCGCAGGGTGACCGGATAGTTAAGTTTGTTGGAGCGTATACAAAGTACATCAATGAGAGAGGTACGATGCCCGCTCATTTCACTGTACTAAATCTCATCTTATCATAGCCGCCGAGGTAAAGAAGGAGGATGATGACGATGACGATGACACCACGGCATCCCGATTTGTTGAGAAAGTGCTTGCCTTCCTCCTAATGGGCTTTGAAGCCAAGGACAAGGTTGCACGCTACCGCTGCGTCCACTTTTTGGCGGAGATGGTCGCGCACTTAGGTGAAATCAGGTACACAACTCTTTTTGTACAATAACCCGGGCTGATTAGGCGCAGCGAAAAGTTATACACAGAGCTCCGCACAGCTCTCTTCGAGCGTGTGCACGACAAAGAAACATTTGTTCGAGTTCAGGCTGTCATTGCACTCTCGAAGCTATGTGGCTCAGAAGATCCATCTGACGTGGAAGATGGAGAGCCCACTGCTCTTCAGGTCTTGCTTGAGACTCTTAGTTGTGATCCTGCCGCGTTGGTTCATTCGTCATAAATCGTCTGACAGTGTGCTCACCACTTATCTTATAGAGACGTCCGTAGAGCGGCATTGCTTAACATTCCCCTATCTGAAGCGACCCTGGAAGCTGTCCTTGCTCGAACCCGCGATACTGACACGATCATGCGCAAGCTTGTTTATTCCGCTATCCTTGTCCAACATTGCTTCGTTTCTAATAGCTCGGAAATGGGGCTCGTTCATCCTCGTGTTCTTACCATTTCCCAGAGAGAGATCATCATCCGCAATGGTTTAGGTGACCGAGAGCCCGCTGTTCGCCAGGCTGCAGCTTTATTACTCAGCAAATGGGTGGACGTTGCTCGTGGAGACGTCAAGAATGAAGAAAACAAGACCGCTAAAGATGATGTTCTCGCACTTCTGAGCCTCTTTGATCTCACGGAGAGCACGGTTGCAGAGGATGCACTGCTAAGTGTTTTGGACAGACGCCATGATATCTCCGACCACCTCGAGTTTAAGGGTATGTTCTATCATAGACTCTCTGGAGGAGCTAATTGGTACATTCACAGATGACTACTGGGCTAACCTGACCCCAGAGCGAGCTTTTTTCGTTCGCGTTTTCGTTGACCATTGCATTGCCATCAAAGACGCGGAAAAAACTAGATGCTTCTCTCCCGGTTGTCACTGCCCTTGCCTACCACATCCAAGCTGCCTACAATGCATACCAAGAAGACTTGGAGGTTGCCGAGCAAGAAAGAGTCATTCGTGGTGAACCAACTGAGGAAGAAGAAGAGGCTCGCATTGACAAGGAGTTTGTCATAGGCGAGATGCTCAAGGTTGCTGTGAATCTAGACTACGCTGATGAGATTGGGCGCCGAAAAATGTTCCAACTCGTGAGAGACATGATCTCTCAGGAAGCACTGCCCGAATCGCTTGTCGCCAGATGTTTGGACGTGTTGCGAATACTTTCCCCGAATGAGAGGGATCTCATCCGGGTGGTCGTAGAAGTAGTCCACGAGCTTAGAGATGTTGGTGACGAAGAAGAAGCTCTAGTAAGACGGTCACGTCTTTGTTCATACCTCATTACCATGATAACCTTTTTTCTGCTAGAAGGAGCCTGCAGACGACGGAGAGACCAATTGTGGTGAAACCCCCACGCTAAGTCGTACGGCACCCAAAGGACCAAAGCCATCAGAAGACATGTCTCCCGAAGAACGAATCCGAATGGACGCAATTGATTTGCGTTGTCTGTCGCTTTGCATAGGCATGCTCGAGCGTGTCAACGGAGTACGTCATAGCCCATATTCAGTTTCCTAATCACTCACTGTTGCTCAGACATTCGAGGAAAATTCGACACTCGAAGGCATCCTTGGCGAGCTAATCATTCCCGCCGTCAAGCGTAAGGAGTTGGCACTTCGCGAAAAGGGTCTCATTTGTTTAGGTCTTTGCTGTCTTATTGCGCGAGTATGCTCACGTTAACCATCAATGTGGTTCAAAGACTAATGAATCTCATAGCGCATGGCTCTTAACTCTTTCCAGCTTTTTTTGGGTCAAATCCAGACCGCCCCAGAGGTTCTGAAGATCCGTGTGCTGCAGATCGTCTTCGACATTCTCATGGTGCACGAACATGACTTCTTGAGCAAAGAGGGTGGTGCAGTGGGTAACAACAGCTTCAGCCTTACTGCTATGCTCACGCTTGTACAGAGCGAGCGCATCGTCGAATTCTTCTTGCACGTCCTGGCAAATGAGGAATCGGACAAGGTGCAAGCCTTACTATGTATCGGCCTTGCAAAGCTCGTCCTGGCCGGAATGATATGCGATGATCAGGTCAGTGATGGTGAATTTTCGCATAATGTCGGGATGTAACGCCTTTTCAGGTATTGAAAAGCCTAGTTGCTGCATATCTTGCACCAGACACAATTGACAATCAAGAAGTTCGCCAATGTCTTTCCTATTTCTTTCCTGTGTTCTGCTACTCCTCCGCAGTCAACCAGCGGCGGATGCAACGTCTGTTTATTCAATTATTCGAGACACTTGCCCCAGAAACCCGAAAAGTTGACGAAAACCAGGACATGGTCAGTCCTGCTCAAATAGCAGCCATGCTTGTGGACTGGACCGATCCGCAGAAAGCCATGTGAGACAACGGCATTTGTCTTTCAGAGTGTTGATTAACAAGATGCAGTGAGGTGCAAGATCAGCCAACGGACGAGACAATTCATATCGATCTGGCAAGTGATATCGCAAGAGCACTGTTCGACGACAGAATGATAAGTATGTCAATAACTTTCTAAATCGAACTATACCCAACGTTGAAATTACAGAGGAGGACAAGAAAGTTTTGTATCAGGTCCTTGGGCGGCTGTACTTACCGGATAAGGTTGATGACGATAAAATCCGCACACTCAAATTACTACTTCACAACCTCAATTCTGTGAGTCCGAATCTGAGATTTCGTGACAATTAAAAAATCATCCGCATATAGCGTCGACCGATCCGTGACACAGCAGCTAAGAATGCGCTTGCGAAATTCGATGCCGCGATCTCAAAAAGATATTCCGAGCAGCTAGAGAGCTTCAACGAGGAAGACTACAGGCAACTGGAATACCTGAAAGACTTGTTCGAGTTTCTCGATGACATCGTTCCCTTGGACGACGGCGAGGAGATTGACATACCTCGCACTCGTGCTCGGAAGAGGTGTGATTTCTATTAAGCTACCGTTTATGCGTATTTGAAACTGATTGAGCGGTGTAGGCGCTCTGAAAGTATTGTTACGGACAGCACGGATAGCATCATACCAGATGAAAGTGTCGCTTCTGCTGCTTCATCATCACACCCCAAGGGCAAGGGCAGAGGGAAACAAACCAAGTAAGTAGTTATTCGTTCATTTTTAATTTCGAGTCGACCGATTGTTATTGAGGCGGAGACGTGTTTCTGGTTCCGACGACTCGGATGATGACATATCGGACGATCATGTTACCCCGGCAGCCACACGAACCCTACCGAAGCGAGCAGCGTGCGTCACCATGACATATACTCCCCGCGTAATACGGTCTTAACTTTTGCTTTCAGATCGGTAAAGAAACCTCAGGTAGTGCATGTAATAGAGGATGACGATGACGAGGAAGAGGAGGAGGAATCTACGCCCCCTCCTGTCTCTCATCACAGGCGAGGGTCCAAGCCGTAAGTCACTTGTATCAGCGGGACAACACATGCTCATTTAGTTGTATGCAGTGCAAGCAAAGCAAAGAGTGACATTCAGGTTGCGTCTGCAGGGAATAATACCCTCGATTCCATCATGGATAGCGAAGAAGACGAAGACGAGGAAGACGAAGTGGCTAATGATATACTGGCTTCGGAGTAAAATTGCCACCATATATGAGAGTACAGTATCTATTGTGATTTCTATTTGCATCTACCCCGTACTATTGTACTTCTACCAGGACAGCTGGGAACTTGAGATTGGATGATAGCATATGAATAAGGGTCTTTTAATTACGAGTCTAGTTCCGGCCGTCTGAGCCTTGGCAATCTGAGCCCACAAGTTTAGGATCATTCATGGGAAGAGACATAATCAATGGTGTGCTGCCGCGTTTACAGCTTTGGAATATTGATAGGGCGTACGTAAATATTGGCACCGCTATCAAATAAGACAGTGTTATCCGGGACATACAGCACGCAGCCGTTGATCAGCGACCTGTAACTTTGAGCACCAGCTTCCAGTGAGTCACGACATATATAGACCAACGTATACATGCAGGGCTCGCAGAACGATGTTATGATACAGTGAATTGTGCACGACCCACAAGGCAATATGTACGTACGCCCCATGCATGTAGCACGCTGGGACTCTGGTTCGTGACAACTTGTGCGGTGAGGAATTAATAGTAAGTCTTGGTACTTCTTGTTTCATCATGATGCATGCATGTGATGGTCCAAGCGCTGGAAAGCGCCCATTGTATATTTCCCTTCAAGTTCTTATCTTATCTTATTGTTAAAGGTACCAGTTGACTTGATCAGACATGGCGTTCGCCTGCCCTGGACCAGCAGCTCGCGTCGAGTGCCTGGAAGAACTTGCCTTTACATGTAAAGATTAATTTGTTGATGAGGCCAGCATGTAGGTAGATCCATTGAGGAAGCGCTAGTGCTGCTCCGGGATAATACCACAGCTTTAGCAACAGCATGTGCAAATACCAGAGACTGACGGCAAGCCCTTCGCCAAACCACCGACTCTGACCAGTATGACCAGTACTACAGCAACTTCGAGCCTCGCGCAACGTAGTCAGGCAACCACAGCGCACACAACATCTGTCGAGTTCTTTTTGATCTACGGGTTCAGGCGTAGCATTGGTGGATTAAAGGCCTCCATCTTTCATGGCCAGACAGGGTAAGCAAAAACGCACGATTAATATAATCGATGATGACTGATGATAGTACAACTTGGTGATTAGTTGAAAGAGTACATGAAAAACAACAAAAAGCACTGCATTCGTTCGAGTGAGTCCCCTTCCGATCTTAAACGTACAATCCTGGACCTTCTCAGTAGCTTCTCTGCTGCCCCTTTGCATCCGTAAGGGGGACATACTGCCCACAGGTCAGTAACAGATTAGATCAGTTAAAAAAACGCCTACCATGACCCCCATCAAATTCTTCTTTGTGACGTTACCCTTCTCGTCCTTGTCGACTTGCACGATCTGTTGAGCAAATGTCCCAACTGGTATGAACATCCGTCCAGGGCCCTTGAGTTGATCTACCAGCTGCTGTGGGATTGTCGGCGCAGCGGCACCGACATGAATTGCATCGTATGGGGCAAGGTCGCTATATCCTTGACGGCCATCGCCAGTGACCATGACGATCTCGCCCTTGTCGAGAGCGGGCCCTAGTCCATCTTTGCGAAGATTATCCCTTGACCAATCAACCAATTCGGGGATGTGATCAATGCCTACGACAATACCGCCCGGGACGAGGTGGTGGAGTACGGCACAAAGGTAGCCGGACCCACTGCCGACATCGAGGACGCGCTTGCCTGGGCCAAGATAGTCGAGAAGGTGCTCGATTGCATGCGCGTGCTGCGGAAAGGTACGTCAGCACCAATGGACCCGAAATGTCAAGGAAGAAGAAAAGACTTGCCATGTGTGGTGCAGATATGGTTGCGCCGTGCCCGATAGGTCTGTGCAACTCAACTTAGTGAGGCTCAGGGAGGAGAGGCAGTGCGCACTGAGGCGAGTCTTCATACGCCTCCGATTTGCGCATGACATAGTTGGCACGGTCAACTTTCGTCATGGCCTGCAACCATTGTTGTTCAGGTTCGACAAAGGATCTGGTAATTCCAAACGCAAGGCGATTAAACTGACCTCCTTCACTCTGTCTGTTGTGATAATTCGTGCTGTGTGCATGTTTGCGATGAGGTCTGCATTGGTGCGACCAGAACAGCGCCAAGCCATTATGCTATACAGCAGGAGCCCGATGAATGCTGTGGTGTATCCGAGAAGTCGGACCACGATGATTGAACAAGGAAGCTAGGTTTGAGCTTAGCAGCTTGAGCGCGTCATTGTCAAACTGCCAAGAAAGGAAGGCGATACTGAAGACGCACGTGGCGCCACAAGTGACGCTGCCGAGTAGCAGCCAAGCAATTTGGCCACGCCAGCACGGTGCGTTTTCAAGGCTCGCCATTGTCCCACTCTTATCCTCCGCAGTAACTATATAGACTGCATCGTTCTTGTTCCTTCCAAACATCTCTTGGTTCGCCCTTTCATGGCCGACACCCCCATCTTGCCGCTTTTGTCTACTGTCTTCCAGGTATGTATTGGGAAAGAACGCCTGTCAACGGCTGTTCGTGGTGTGAAAATTGACTGGATTTACTTTTATGTAGTCAATTCTCGAGGTATTCCTGCTATGTCTCGCAGGCTACATACTCGCATGGCGCCGTATCATTGACAAGCCCACTCAACGCGTTCGTTTTTGCACCTCATTTTGGTCTCCAGGCCGACGTTAACTTGCTTATCGGAAACACAGGTAATAAACCACATCAACATATCCCTATTCACGCCTGCACTGCTATTCTCCAAAGTCGCGTTCTTCTTAAGCCCAGGTGTGCCTCATATTTTGCACATTCATACAGATCTCGGAGCAGCATGATGCTAATTAGTATCCCATAGCAAAACTCAAGGAGCTATGGATTATTCCAATCTTCTTTGCAGTCGTCACAGCTTTCTCTGCGCTTGTTGCGGCGCTCCTTTCTAGAATTTTTGGCCTGAAAAAATCCCAACGGTATGTTCCTTTATTCATCCACGGGCCAACAACCCATATCTCTTTCCAGCAACTTCGCTATGGCTGCTTCAATGTTCATGAATTCGAACTCGCTACCGATCGCACTCATGCAGAGCCTCGTGCTCAGCGTGCATGGCCTCAAATGGACAAAAGACGACAACAAGAACGCGATGCTAGGTCGTGCACTCACGTATCTGGTACTGTATAGCACTCTCGGAATGATGGTACGTTGCGTCAATTCTGCGCCTTTGGCTTTGGCTCTTGCAATGAATTGGATCGTCCGAGTTGGATTATTGGGTCTTCGAGATAGTTTAATTTTGAAGCCAGCGTTCGTGCTTTTTTGTGGGCTTGGCTAGTTGTCGGCCCTCCACTTCAGCTCCTGAGCCATTTCTTTGAACTCGTTGTTTGTCCTCTGGTTGATGACATTGTTTACTCATGTCCCTTACAGCTTCGCTGGAGCTACGGTGTGCGTTTGCTCTCATCTGCAGACATCCCGTCCACACCGACCTCTTCTCATTCGCCCCCTCATGTGGCTGGGCCATACGATGCCGAAGGAGCCCAATACGTTGATCATGATGCATTCCTAACAGATGAAGAGACGCTTAGCGAGCGCCATGGTTCGCCCAGGTTGCAGCCCACGAGCCCGTCACACCACTGGCAGACTCAGGTCCAACCCACGAGCCCCTCTCATCACTGGCAAACTCAAGTGCATCCTTCAGACGACGACCAAAATACGGCGTGTGAGATTCCTACGTTCATTCCGGAGCCCGCGGGCCATATCTATGGGCAACTGCAACCGCACCCCTCGCCAACGCACCTTCACCTCTCGCCAGCTCGCGCGCTCGACCAGTCATCGCATTCACGCTCACCGCACCCACCAAGGGACACAGCTATATATCACTCCTTCCCAAATTCACCTTCGCGAGAACAGGCGCCTTTGATTCCAGACAGTGCCACGCCCACAGACTCGGAGGACGAGGCAGAAGATGAGGCAGAAGTTGCAAGTCCGACTTTGCGACACCATCGACACCATAAGAAACCGTACACTATTCTTCGACACGCCTGGAAGAACACCAAAAATGCATGCCACCATGTCAATGCGTTCATGACAATGCCTCTATGGGCCTCCCTCCTTAGTCTCATCGTCGCATGTATTCCGCCGCTTCAATCTGCGCTTGAACGCATGGAACCTGTTAAAGGCGCGCTTGGTGCTGCAGGCAACTGCAGTATACCACTGACGCTCGTGGTACTTGGAGCATACTTCTACTCTGAACCTCCTGAGGATGACATGCAAGATGGAGACCTGACGGACTACGAGACAGACGAGGCGAGGCGGGACCTCGGGCACAACAAGTCTCGCACCTCACTGCTTAGTGCCTTCCAGGAGATGCTAGCACTAAAACCTGCATCACAGCCGCAGCCCCAAACGCGTGGGGAAAGCAAGACGGTGTTCGTGGCTGTCCTTGCGAGGATGGTGGTCGTCCCAGCTGTGATGCTTCCTGTGATGGCGATTTTTGCGAAGCTGGATATTCATGACATCTTCGCGGAGTAAGTGCTTCGTATCATTTCATGGATGGCTGCTGACGTGCGGACTTTCGATAGCCCCGTGTTTGTGGTGTCAAATGTACTCTTAATAGCAAGCCCACCAGCTCTGACGCTCGCGCAGGTGCGTTGTGTTACTCCTTGCTAGTCTCTCATGACCACACTAATGCTCTTGTGCTGAACAGATAACGCAAGCAGCCTCGAACGACTCATTTGAGAGGCTAATATCGCGGACGATTTTCTGGTCGTATTGTGTCGTCACCCCACCAAGCACGATTTTGGTCGTCGTTCTGGGATTGTTGATCGCGAAGCTGTGATTTGGATGGCCGGTACGCTTTGCTGTACCTATCATGACTCTTTGCCGGGTTTTAGGTTAATTTATATATCTTTTGTATCTTTCTTTGCTGGAGGACCTGGGTGCTCTTCGGTGTATTTGTTGTGGTGGTGTTGACACTGCGGACGAGTTTGTATAGTGCATACTACTATGTACCGAGGTATTAACAATGTGTTATTTGTTATGCGTTATAGACTTGGTGGGATTTACAATTAACTATGTAGCGGTCTTCTGAGGTGTTCTGGTATCATCCGTTGTATGATATATCAATTGCAATGAGCGTGCCAAATTGCCAATCAGTGATTGAGTTTCACTGCAAATTTGTTCCGAATATACTCCATGATGGCTTGATGATCAATCGTCGATCCCCGTCCTCAGGAAAGTGTTCACTATGCTGGTGATTGCAATCTCGATGAACGTTGAACATTGAGAAGTGAAGTGACGGCAGACTCATCTCGCGCCTACGTTGATACGAGAATCAGCTGTACCCCGGGCCATTTACGGCCAATGATATTCAAAATATCATTTGCACAACGACGTACTACTTTTGTGACCTTTACATCGATCATCGTGATCGTATAAGGTCAGGTGTGGGGAGCGGCGTGTTGCAATCATGCGAGTGTTGGGAGTAGGTGAGCACGAGGTGCCGTTAATAACGCAGGTCGGTGAGGGAGCCAGTCCAGTCCAGGAGAGGATGTACGGAGATAGCAGGAGGTCGTGATTGAGAGAGACCTGGGCTCGATGTTCTTAGGGTGGGCACTCAAAGTTACGCCCTGAGGGTGTTAAGTTGGACTTTCAGTGGGCGAGGATGTATGGGGAGATGGTGCAGCCAGGTGGAGGCATTCAATTAACGGCTCGCCATCATGATCTGCGTCTACGTCAAATATACGCTCTAGATTCAGACACTGCCCCAGGAAGTAGACTATACTCCGTGTTAGCTGGAAATGGACAAAGCTCACCGAGTCTGAGGGGATCAGTGTCAGAAGACTGGAGCTATCAGCAAAACTCGCTGGAGTGGTTCAAACCCGGAAAGACTGCCGTTCCGGAAGGTAGTAGTAGGCTTCACAAGTTAGTTCAACTTAGTTGTGCCATTAGCCAGAATCCCTGTGCTGCCGGGTCTGCTCTAGCTGGCTGTGACAGAGTTTATTTTTCGTGCCTTGTTGAAGTAGAGATTAGAGGATGCCGTCACCGCTTCAAGAGTTCTGAAACCTGTGATCTAGAGCTGTGAATTCTATGGGAAGAATGAGTATCTCACACACGACTTTCCCTTCTTAACTTTCTTTAACAGAAATCTCGTCCTTGCCACATTTACATCACTCTAGGTCCGTTCTAGGCTCAAGTGGACCCCAAGTGGACCCGCAAAGTACAACTTTCGTTAGGAGTCCGAGGCCCAGCCCGTCATGGTTGGATTCTATGAACTCCAACTTATCATCCTCGTTTCCTTGTGTCTCATTTTCCTCTTCCTTGAGCGCCATGTCTCACGACGGAAAGAGAAGGAGAAAGACTTGCACACCGCCGAGCGCTTGGAGAACGGGGAACCGACGGCATCACACAACTCACTAGCCACACTAACAAGACAGTATCTCATCGTCTATGCAGTTGTGATGGGTATGTATCATCCTTTGCTCATGGGAATCGCGTGGTTATGAACTTATGCAGGTGCTGATTGGCTCCAGGGGCCATATGTGTACTCATTGTACCGAGAACAGTATGGTCTCTCGGAAAGGATGGTTGCAGTCCTTTTTGTCACTGGTTTCATGTCCGCGGGGCTCATTGCACCGCTGGTTGGAGTGTGGGCGGATCAACAGTACGTCGTATGCCCTTTTGCCGCTAAGAAGACGTTTGAACTTTTGATCCTGTAGCGGACGCAGAAAGCTCTGTCTTGCATTCTGCCTAACGTACACATTTACCTGCTGTTGCATAACCATCCCGTACTTACCCATTCTTCTCCTTGGACGTGTATGCGGAGGTATCTCCACATCAATACTCTACTCTGCGTTCGAGTCCTGGCTGGTGAGCTCCGCTGGGGCGTTAGCCCTCCCCCCAGCAGATCTTTCCACAATATTTGGGCGCGCCACGCTCGTGAACGGATTTGTTGCAACGGGCGCGGGTGTTGCGAGCAATCAGCTAGTCACATTGACAAACTCGTTCACGTCCCCTTTTATCGCCAGTGGGGCTCTATTGTTGTTTGCCTACCTGGTTATTCGCGCAAGTTGGGGGGAGAACTTTGGCAGCAGTGGAACAGCACCCGGCAAGGATATATTTCAGTTGAGAAGGATGGCGCAGGCATGGCGCATCGTCAGAGATGGTGAGTCCGGCTTACTTCCTATTTTTATCATGTGCAGGTCGTGAATGTGATTTTAGATCCTATGCTACTCGCCATTGGTCTAACCCAGACTTGTTTTGAGGGCTCTATGTACCTATTTGTCTTTCTCTGGGTACCATCCCTTCAGGAGGCTTCGCCAACGTTTCCCACTGTTGCACTACCGCTGGGCTACATCTTCTCTTCATTCATGATATCTATGATGCTCGGATCCCTCCTCTACAGTGTTGTCACCACTCAATCTGGCGGTCTCACTGTCCATGCAAAGCTCAGTAGCTTGGTCTGCGCATTTGCTGCCCTCGCATTGGCAACAAGCATAAGAAGCGAGAGTGAGCGCGTCAGGTTCTGGGCGTTCTGCGCATTTGAAGCGTGCGTGGGGATGTATTATCCTGTGCAGGGGATGTTGAGGGGAACTCTAATTTCAAACGAGCATAGAGCGACGGTAAGTCGCCTCTCCTTATAAAGAGATAGTGCTGACTCAAATGATGTAGCTGAGTTCGCTGTTTCGTGTTCCTCTAAACGTATTTGTTGTCGTCTCCCTGATGACCGGGGTGTCGAGTGCTAGGAGCGCTGTGTTAAGCGCAAGCTCCCTGATGCTTGCGTTCTCTGCCCTTACAACCGCGTTTGTAGTCGTTGCGAGGGCAGATGAACATGTTTCCCCCGAGGCAAGCTTAAGACCAGAATGAGACGTATGGTTAGTGATTGTCCACTTGATCTGCGGGTCGCTGACTGATCCAAGTTTCCAGCGTCTGGTAGACCTGTAGACAGTCACCCGTTTTAACTCTCAGACGCATTAACATGGTAAAACCGTTCTTAGTCTTGGAACGGACGAAATGGACTCTGGATAGTAGATTATCAGTAAAAGTAGTTACCTCATACCCAGGGTTGTGAAGTCTTTATTCAATCTCCGATTCATGGACCGCTGTGAGTCAGCTGATCGGCAACACAAAATTATACCTCCTCTTCGTCTCCTTTTTCACTTGCTGTTCCGTCTTTTCCCTTCCTCTTTTGTTTTTCCTCCTTTCCTACTTCATATTTGCTTTGTCTAACGCCGCAGAAATGGACGTGGACATGAAAAATAAGGACGAGATCGACGACAAGCGCGACAGGGAGAGAGACCGTGAGTTCGACCGCGACAAGGACCGTGAAAGAGACAGAGAGCGCGACAGAGAACGTGACAGGGATCGCGATAGGAGGGACCGCGACAGCCACCGTGATCGTGACAGGAGGGACACAGGTGCGTAACATTTATTTGTCGGGTACACAAAAACTCAATATTCTCCACATGTCGCTAGGTCGCGGCGGTAGGAGTCGGACTGACCACTGGGAACCAGACGACAGAAGGAATGGAGATGTGAGTCGCTTGTCACTGCTCATATTTCCAATTCTGACGTAGGCTTTCTGTAGCGCCGGAAGCGCTCACGCAGTAGAACACGTTCCCGGTCACCGAGGCGTCGTTCAACTTCGCCTCGTGACCGCAGGCATGCACGCCGTTCGCGCTCTCGCAGTCGCACTCGGACGCCCTCGCGTTCCCGCAGCCGTGACCGCGGTGACCGTAAGCCCGCTGATCCATTCCCTCGCTCCCTTGGCGGGCCCATGAACGCAACTCACGAAGAAGCCGTCGAATTTGCCAAGATCAGCAAGAGAGAAAACCGAGTCTATGTCGGCAATCTCAGTTACGACGTCAAGTACCGTGACCTAATGGAATTCATGAGGGGAGGTGGGTTGGGGAATTTAGATTTTTCTTTGATTGGGGAGAGAGGCGGGGTGTGGCCACTTTGTAAACCCGTTCTGCTGAGGCTCAGAAGGCAGCTGGTGCTGGCGAGTGTGAGCTGATGAGGGAGAGTGGTGTGGTGCCCTGGCCGGTTTTTTCCTTGGCTTTTCGATTGATGGATGGTTGGAATGAGAGGATATTGATGGGAGTTTTCTTTTGGGGATTGATAGCTGGTGAGGTTCTATTCGCCGAAGTACTCGTCACGCCGACGGGAGTGTCCAAGGGCTGCGGGTAAGTTCACTGTAGAATATTTCACAACCCTTACTGACCTATTGCTCCAGCATAGTCGAATTTGCTTCGCCTGAGGATGCGCAGCGCGCCATCCGCGAGCTCTCCGAAGTGGCCATGCTCGGTCGCCCTGTATTTATTCGCGAGGTACGACTCCCTTGTCTGGTTGGTGCTATACCCACGCTGCAAAACAGGACCGGGAGAACGAATCGCGCTTCGGCGCTACGCCTGTGCCAGGCAAGATTGGAATGGCAATGGCAGGGCAAGGGCTGCATGCGGCGCCACCCCCACGTCCGCCCCATCATAACTATTTTGGAACTCACAACAACCCCGGCAATCAGTTGTATGTTGGAAATGTAGGCGCACTCTTTTGTTGTCCTTTATGCGTGCTTATAATACCTTTAGTTACCATATCAAGCTGGTTGGCAGGACCTCAAGGATTTGTTCCGTTCGGCTGGTAATATCATTCGCGCTGATATTAACATTGGTGCGGATGGACGTCCCAAGGGCTCGGGAACCGTGGTCTTTGAAACTGCAGCTGATGCTAAGCAAGCCATCGGTATGTAGATATAGATCACTGCAGACATTAACTAATCTGTCACGCAGGTATGTACCACGGCTTTGACTGGTATGGTCGGACGCTTGAGGTTCGGGAGGTAAGTCTCGCGCGTGACTCCCTTTCCGATGCAATGTTGATGATTTGTTAGGACCGCTATGCTGGTCTTTCTGGCCCAGGCTCATTTCGTGGCAGCCCTTTCCGGGGTGGTGGCGGTGGAGGTGGTGGGTATGGCGGCCGTGGTCTACGTGGTGGTTTCAGAGGTAGCTTCCGTGGCGGCGGCTACCGTGGCGGGTTCGCACCCTCTGGTCCAGCTCGCGATTTCTCGAATCAAGATTTGTACGCAGACTACTCAGGTCCTGACCAACCTGCTGCTCACAGTGGCCTGAGAATGGATGGCTACAGTAGCGGCTACGGGAGCAGCGGGTATGGTGTAACGGGCGGTGCCGGTGGTGGTGGTGGTGGCGGCGGAGGCGGATACGACGCCGAGCCTAGCCAGCAAATCATGGTTCGCAATGTGAGTAGCTTTGACGGTTCTATACGCACAAGATTATTTATATACGTATCAGCTCCCTTGGTCTACCGCAAATGAAGATCTTGTCGAGTTGTTCGAGACTACTGGGCAAGTTGAGCTCGCTGAAATCCTTTTCGATGGCGCTAGATCCAAGGGATGCGGTGTTGTTCAGTTTGCCCAGGTTCCAGAGGCGGAGACAGCTATTGGTGAGTTTGTTTGTTTGTCTTGATTTGCACATGTTAACACATCCTTGCAGCAAAATTCCAGCAGTACATGTATGGTGGACGCCCTCTCGACGTCCGGTTCAACGATCGATGGCATACATTTACACCTACTGCCGCAAAGGGCGGTCAGGTGATTCCCATGCAGGCGGAGTGATCTATTTGTACCCTTGCCATCTTCTTTCTGTTCCGCCGACATTTGAACTCTGACCGCGTTCAGGTCGATAAAAATATTGTGAATTGTCGTTGAACGTTTGTCTCTTCCAAGATTGATTTTTGTCTTAACTAATCATAAAGTTGAATGTGCGTAACCTTGCAATGAATCAATGTTTAACAAGACTTGTTGGGCTTGAATAATTTTACTGCCTACCGCATGAGAATGTACAGGATTAAACTCGGACATCGACAGGAAGCAGTTGTTGATGTACTGAAGTTCAGAAGACGACAAGTGCGTCTGGCGAAGGCCTTTAGATACCTGCAAGACAATTGTCAGCGCAAAAGTCCACGGTGACAAGTAAAATGATGTCCACGGATGTACATTGAACAATCTGATCATCTCCGTTTAATCCACCAGTCTGGTCCGTATTTGCCTCTAGTATACCTTATCTTCTGTGAGTAACATCTTCCGTGGCAGGAAACCGGACACCTGAAGTCCTTTACTTACCGGAGAACGGGTTATTGAGAGGTCTGAGAGACACCCCGAGAGATCTATTGTATGGTCCTGCTGAGTTGGGAGCCATACTGAAGCTATTGCAACTCAATCATCGCCAAAGCTGGAGCTCTATTGTGGCACTGCAAAAGAAGTGATCATTCCTTCATGGTTTCGCATCTCATCAGTACTTTGATTCTTGAAATTCTGCGCGAGTCCTCAGCCAATATCAGTACACCAAACTATCTTTCATGACTAGCTTGATAGAGACCCGCCCAAAACCTTGATGACTTCAAGCTGTAAATTAAAAATCAGCTCAGACGGCCTTGAAACAGGGGAAAACCTACACGGTTTGTATCGGGATGAGGCACATATATTCTGTTTCTATCAACCCATACGCAGATCATCGGGTTATTCAAAATGGACTTCATGTCCGAGATGATCCCGACATAAGGCAGGGATGTTGTTACCAACTCTCCCTCCAAGTCTATGGTAGATGGCTCTCTCACCACCCGTCCTAGACCCTGCCGGTGCTCGACAGCTAATGGGCTGAAGTCCATCATATGTATTCTATACTCCATGGGGTCATCGTCTGTCGGTTTGACCGTAGGGACGGCTTGCAAGACTCGACTCCCACAAATGGCAAAACCAGACCTGTCATCGAAATCTCCCTGGAAAAGACGAGAGTTTAAAGGGCCCCAATGTTTCCACGGTATTGTTGTTGCTGTTCCTTCAAAGAAGTCGAGCTCGAAGAAAATGCTGGTGGAAATGACAAATTGGACAAGAGGAGGGCCTTTGACCAGGAATAGTAATCGATGTGTAGGGTCTGAGGTCCACATTGTTTTTTGGGCTTGTATCCCTAGTTGTGAGCCATGTGCAAGACCATCCTTCGAAGGGATGCATATCAAGCTCTCCACTGGTGTAGGAAACAGGAAATATGCCAGTAATTGTGGTGGCTGGGACATATTCTCGATTGAATAGACCTTCAAATTGCCATCGACAATAAGCAATCTATTGTTTCCAAGGAAGCAAAAGTCAATATCATTGGTGAGTGTGGTGTCACTGAGGATGCACTAAATCGAGCGTCAACTCTGCTAGCTACTTCGGACAAGACTCACTCACATTGGACGTTGTGGAGTATTGCCAGTCCCAAATCTGCAACCACCATAGGAGCCTGATTGGATCATTGAGTTCCAGTTGGTGCCGGATAGCAAGGTGGTTCCCCAGGCTCTCAAGTCTCCAAGTCTCAGTTTTCAAGTCATCGTCTATGTCTTCTTCAATGTCCGTGATCTGGCGTCCGGGCAACCCTGGGGACATAATAAGTGTCGGTCCAGCAGCTTTGGGGTGGACACCATCTCCATCCAACACTAAAAGGTCAATATAGACACCCGATCCATTAATAATGTCATATGCCGCAGAAATCAGGTTTTGCTCTGGGTCCATGAGCACATTGATGTTTCGTGCATTGGGAACTGAAAATAGTAATTCCGGAGACCATTCATGGTCAATTGCTTGTTGTGAGGGGTCTGGTAATATCGGAAAGATCTTGGCGAAGCCTGATAGACCTTCGGCGTCGCAGAGGCAGAGATGCCCATTGGAGACAAATGTGTTTGCAGTATAGAATCTTTCCGGCACCACAACCGTTTCGACAGGTTGAGTGTCAAACTTGAACCATGCACGGGCTTTGTCCCTCAGGAGCTGTAGACGTTCTGAAATAGGAGTGTGGTTGTCAACTCGGAGATCAACAGGGAGTAGTTGTTGACCACCAAGTTCAACGATGTACTGAAGCTCAGAAGACGACAAGTATGTCTGGCGAAGGCCTGTACATACCTGCAAATGATTGTCAGTACAAAGCCCACTTAGGAGCATTGACAGTGATAAGTAAAATGATGCTCGCTGATGTACACCGAAGAATATCTCGGTAAGAAAGGAAGGTTAGAATGTAGACATGGAGATCTTCAGCGAGAGACAGAAACTGGGATTTCATATCCTGGTTCATGATGATGATACTTCAAGTTGAAAGAGACCGGAGCCCGACAGCATCTCATTATGAAACTGAAAAAGCCCCTGTCCCGTGGGAGACGTGTACCAGTCTTGGCACTATGATACGCAATTACAGGCAAATTAGTACGATACACACCTCTCTACTGCACCCTTCATTCCCCACTAACGCTCGCATGTTCACCCCACTCAATACCAAAGCCAAATATCACCCACGCTATGAGGACTATGGTGAACCCGGCCCCAAGCGCTACCCAGCGCGCATACAACGACACAGAGCTCGGCACAGGGCTTTTTAATGCCACTTCTTTCTGCTTCGTCGTCATACTCTCGTCCCTCTTGTCTTCCTCCGCAACCGCATGCTGACGTAGTTCCCAAAGCCTTTCCGCCTCCCTCTCTACATGCTTCGGGCGTACCTGCGAGAGCCGTGCGGCAGGTAGATACCGCTGTCCCAAGGACGTGTAGCAGGCACTCAGGAGCGCACCTGAGATGAGCACCGAGACGAAGGCGTACACAAGCCAGAGAGTCACAGCACTCTCGAGGGAGTCGGTGGGGGAGAGGTCTTGGAGCTTCCCGGCTGCTATCACGACGATGACGACGGAGCCCTGAACAATCGACTCTGTAATAGACAATGGTGAGCATGCTTCCCTTTGAAGAAGAATTATGCATACTCTTGATTGCAAAACTTAAAATCGTGTCAAAAAGGGACGCGCGATAGAAATTGTCAAGGAACTCACGCTGTCGCGTAGTAATGAGGATCCGGTATAATGTTACGCACAATCTCCACTTGTGGAGCTGACGTCAGGCACTGCAAGATAGTGTTAAATTAAAATTTAAGGGGGGATCTCGGTACACATACCTGAGAAAATGCATAAAATACATATGCGCAGACTAGGCTGGGTTTAGTACACCATCTGCGTGAGGCATTTTGACTCACCAAATGTTGGCACTGTCTCCGAAAATCTCAACAATAACATGGAAATGAGGAACATACACGCAGAGAGGAACACTGGCTCTATGATTAGCTCCTGCGTTGGTCAAACTACAGGATGCTCACAAATTGTTACACGACGCCCATATGCATCAATGAACACACCCTCCAAAGGGGTTAGTGCAATAGGAAGGATCAAGTAAAAACTCGACACCCATCCGCCAACTACGGCTCCTTTCTTGAGCCTTTGCTGTGCAAATTGCCTGCACAACATTCAACATTTATCTCAACAACGCACAGGCAATGACTTACGTAGATACCGATACAAACGATGCTACACCAGCGGTTTGGAAGACTGCAAAAAGAACCACAAACCAGAACGTAAATGGCATTTGGCGCGCAATCGACCAATGGAATGTTCCAGCCTTGACGCCACCCGCACTTGGCTGATCAGACCGTTTGCAGTGATCGATGACCTCGTAATGTAAACGAAGGTGTTTATCAAGGAGGAAGACGCAAATAGCGGATAAAAACGAGAGAAGGCCGATGATGGCGCCTATCCAGAGTGGCCATGAATAGGAGCCAAGATTTGCGGACATGACGTTCGCAGTGCTCTGTCCGACATACTGAGCCACATTTGCCATCGACCTGCACGATGGACGTATGTATGAGGTGTGAAAGAGTAGTAGTAGAACCTACCATATGAAACCTTAAAAATGTTAAATAAATAATGAGACCAACCGCTAACAATTGCGAGGCGCCGCACTCACCTATAGATAGCGCAAAACCATGCCCGGGCGCAAAATATGTGGTGAATATTTTATGTTGCGCATTATCTAGGGATCCACCCCCGATGGCAGCAATAATCTTGCCCACTATGAGGATATGATAACTATTAAGTCCATTCGTCGTGGCACCAGCCTCCACTGCCGCGCCCGCAAGACAAAATGCGGCGAGTATGGCAGAAAGCAGTGGACCTCCAAATTTGTCGATGACGAAGCCCAAGGCGATGCAGAGAAATGTGTTTACCTGTCGCACAGTAAGTACGTCGGTCCTGCACTAGCGAAACAAGATTGGACGTACCAGACTCGCCACAGACATCTAAGCAGGACAGGTAGACGAGAATGTCAATCCCGCCGTATTTATATCGAGTACATTTCTTACCAGCGTAGCAAATTCGGAATTATTGATCTTGAGTTCGTGTTCTATCGTTGTCTTCAGAGTTGTAATTATACCCTGCGTACACAAACTTAATCTGCATAATCCGTAAAATTTGGAATATGATCCCTACGTTAGACCAATGGTGTCCGACTTGAATCACACATGAGCTACCAGCGAAACTCATAGTCGTGAATACTTACATGTGCACATGCATGTTAATGCGATCATTGTCATCTGCCATCTTAGAGGTAGCCTCGGCTTGACGGAAGAGTATGACGGAGCACTGATTGATGACTGACGTTCATCTTTACTTTCGACATCGGCCGGAGTAACGGTGCTGATAAAGCGAATACTAGCTGTGGACATGATAGTATAAGGCGCTAGAGCTAGAGCTTTGGTCGACTTGTGAGCTAGTGTCCACCTTGAAGAGAAACTCCTTCAAGGTATGCAACTTGGCAGACTAATCGCGCAAGTTGTGGGGGATGCCCAAGGGAGTTCGAGGGATGGCCGTTGCGCATCCCAAGGATCCGATTTATATGTCCAGTATGATACTTCATGTTACGTCCGCGACACTTAATCAGAATAAGTACTAGTTAAACGTTATTGACGCTGGTGGAAGATGAATCGACCTACTTCGTTGAGTAGCCCGCGATGAGAGACCAATCCATTGCGAGCCGGTCGTCCTTGGAACAACAACTTTAGATATGATGCCTAGCCTATCAGCACTCCGTTAATGTAGGTCAGAGGTATGAAATGGTGATTTTGGAATGTCTTCAATGCAAGTTGTATCAGTCGATGAGCGCTGAGCATTACCACTCATATACTTCTCTTCGCGAAGAGCGGTGACGGCTTGGATATTCTCGTGCTTCTCTGCCTTGACATCATCCTTGCGGGACAGTGTTGGGTTTGGGCATGATGGAATGAGAGGAAGGATATACGAGTGTTAACACACCCTCATATACTTCTTTTCGCGAGGAGGGGTGACGGCTTCCTGAAATTCTCGCGCTTCTCTGCCTTGAGACCCTCCATGATGATCTGGGCATAATGGAATGAGAAGAATTATATGATTTCTATGCGCAGAAAATAGATGGCATAGAATGTCGCATGCACGCGTACTTAGAATTTGAACTGCAGCCTCCTCATGTCCAACGCGGGATTTGTCACACCTCCGAGTCCGATGTCACGCACTTACGTGTTACGAACTCATAGTTATGTTCATCCTTACGAATAGGTAACACAGCGGGAGTGTTCTAGTTCTACATTCTTCTGATTCTTAGTTGTGCACATTTGCGCTGTGACTACATATTCGAATTGAACCGTCGACGCTGTTGATTTTCTGCAGGACGCAGAACTTCGTCTGTGACACGTGCATGCACAGGTACTGCAGAGTCAGTCTCATCTGTGAAGCTTTGAGGTCTCACCTAAGTCGCGATTCTATGCAGACCTTAGCTCGCTCAGGGATTTGGATGCGGCTGATCCGATAACAAGCACATACCCCTCGCGAACAAAAACTCCACGAAGGAGGAACAAGGAAAAAATTCATAACAACCAGCCCAAGAGTAGTCTGAATCGAGTTTCACGATCCACAAAAGATACGTGAGCCACGGAGTGAACTCAAGGACAAACCAGTCCCATCGCAGTCGTGCCTCGTACGCAATGAGGCGGTTGGCCTCATACCTTGAGGGATTAGCCTCTCGCGGTAGTTCATGATGACCCCAGCAGCGACGAGCATTTATGCTCTTCGGAGAGATGGCTCGCCGGGAACAGGCACATATGTCCACCTATACGCGGTAACCTTGGGTCACAGCGTACCTAGTAATCATTAGCGTCTTCTTCAGAGACGCACGCGCGATAGCGACGAGCCAGCGATAGATACGAGTTCGCCCGATCCCCATAACGATTTTCAAAGCCTTCATTCTCGCCCTCTTCTGTGATAAACAGAATCTTCGGGGTATGAAAAAGGAAGCTGCTTTTCTGGTACGTTACGCAGCTGATTACAGCCAGGCTCTGCTGGAGCCGATCGAGGGGGATTAAAATATTCAAAACTTAGCCCGCTCAGGAGTTTGGATGCATGGAGCCGATCCCGCGTGTGATGAGCATTCGTGACTTTCGAGCTTGGTTGAGGGAAAGGAAGATTGTTTAGGGTGTAATAAGAGGAAAAGACCTCCAAGAGAACATATTTCTAATTTGTTGTGTAACGCCATGAGTCCTTGAGATTTCCCAAGGATTAGTACATGAGATAATGTCCAGGGTGTGATCACTGTTGTTGGCACTGTCGTGCTACACACCCCGCTAAGACGAGTTAAGATGGGCCTAGCTAGTCTTTGGAGTGGATGTCCAAGTGTTGTAAAAGAAAAATTGTCCTCAGGCAGATTTCGAACTCGCACCGTGAACTAAGCGGAGCAGATTTCAAATCTGTTATGGTACCCGCATGGTTATATGGCCTTATGAACAGGGAAAGGCACCAAGAATATGTATGTTTACCTGGTGTGACCATCGAAAAAACTGTTGGAAGGTTTTGAATTTGTCGTGCCAAACATTTCGCTAAAGTCCGCTTCTTGTTTTGTTACCTTCGTCTTCAACTTCAGTTGCAGGGCGCTCTCCTGACTCAAGTACTCAAGACCGAGCTCGAGCGCGTCCCGCTTTGTACGTCTTGAATTCGACCTGTCATCCGTTGTCTTGCAAACCGTTTCTACAACTCGATCATCCTGAGTCACCCCACGGCATGGGCTCAATCAGACTTGTATGATACTATGAAATACACTGGATTCTATATTTTGCCTTAGTGTGCTAGTACGACTCAGTGATCAACCTACGACGTCAGTGCGTAGGTTGGCGTCACAGGACGCTCTGAGACTCGCGTTGGCGTGTCGGACTTTCGCTGATGACTGATCATGATGCACTTCATGGTACAGGCTCTCCAGCCGCTACTAGTCGGTTATCCATTTGCCTTAGCACTCAGTTTGATCATACCAAGCGTCTATCTTGCCAAACTGTCAACTTGAAACATACGCACAGGCTGTGCAACCCCTTCGCTCAGACCTTGAACTTCATCTACAATCCCCATATCCCTACTCCCGTCTAGGCTCGTACTTGAGCGTGATCCCAAATTGCGGCGCCGCTCTCGAATCTGGTTGTGTCCGACTGCAGATTTCACGTCTATCCATCTTCTCATTTTGGTGTGTTTCGTGTGTTCTCCTGCCTTGTTGATCAAAGCGTTCTTGAGACAATCTGGCGGCTTCGTACACCACACGTCAATCGACATACATTTCATTTGCAGGAAAGCTATGCATAAAGTAACAAAACGAATTGACAGTGACACTTCCTTTGAACGCAATATCGTGTGAAACCACAAGACTTGGAGGGAGATGTACAGTATCAATGAGAAGAATAAATAAACAAAACCAGCGGAAAAAAAAGACCAAACACCGTGGCGCTGATCCAAACCGTGTGCTAGGGCTGTCAGGATCCAGACAGGCCTAGCTATAGGGTAAAAACCGATCCGATCGAAGATCGAGCGAGATTATCTGACTTACTTTCAACACCCCGCCTCTAGGCGCGTCAACATAAATCCTTTGACATCATTCAGAAACTCTGCCTCGTCAATTGCCTTTGTGGAGCGCGACTTGATCACTATCGCACGCATGGCATCCATGCAAACAATGTAGACCTTCTTAGGAGAGGGGTTCTCCCTCCCAAGGTGCATTCGCACATTTTGGCATGTCTCGTCGATGAATCTATGCCGTTCTTCAGATTTCGTTTGCAAGAAAAGAGACCGTGTCTCGTCGTCCATGCCGGGGTCACCAAGGTCGAAACCTGGTGGCATCCTCTCGCACACCATGTTGTTGATGTGCTGGTCTGACTTGGAGCGAACAATGAGCGACTCGATGTTGTTGAACTGCTCGCAAGCGCGGAGGATGGCGAGGTCGGAGTCCAAGACACGATTGTCTGTGAGCACGATGATGCAGTCGAAGACATAGAGGCCCATGTCATTGAAGTACTGCCATTCAGGCACCTTTGGAGTGCCTGTTCCGGGAACGTCATACCAAATCACCCGGGAGTTCGGGGACGGATCAGGATAACTCGTGACAGTTTGAGTGGTTTCCACAATTCCCGTAGGAGCAGCCATGGGATGTTTATTGGACAAGCCACGGACGGCATTAATGAAGGAAGACTTGCCAGCTCCAGCAGAGCCAACAACCGCGATGTGAAAGAATTCCGGGCTGTAATGATATCGGGCCTTCATCCGACTGATATCTTGGTCTGAAGGACGACACTCGGGGCGAACACCTTCGAACCATTTACGCTCAACAGCGAGCCTCGCTTCCTCTGCATCGTGAAGAGCGTTATCATACTCCTGTCTCAGTTCTTGCAAACTATCCTGCGCATCAGATAATGCTTTCTCCGCATCACGCTTGGCATCTTCTGCTTCCTGTTGCCGGGCTCTTGCAGAAGAAATCGGCCATTGGGCTACAACGGCAGACACCGCAGCCCCAGACGCTGCATACGCGAATGGGACCGCGTACGGGATCGCTAATAAGAAAGCCATGCAGTGTAAACCAACTTTGGGTGGATGACTCGACGCTGCTGAGAAGGGCCGTGTGGCAACGTGTTCTCCGTATGCGTCCGATGCGACCTAGAGTAAGATTGACTAATTGTGTACTGCGTAACTTCAAGCTTCGCTCACCTCTGTGTGAATTGCAATAACGCGAATGCGCCGTCCAGGTGATGATAACTCCGCAAAGAAGACAGGAGACAACGGTTTGACAAGGGGCAAGCAGGGTGGGTGTATGGGTCTTATACTTGTCCAGACAGACGTCATGTGAACGCGAAGCCAGTAGAATAAGGCGTAACAGATTGCTGAAAAAAGTTTATCACGTAGCTTCCGGTGTGTTACGCCGAGGGTAGAATATAACATACATCTACCGACAAGAAGTCATAGATCAGAGATCTACGTGAAGTTCTGCGAGTCGAGTCAGATAGAGTTATTACGGGCAAGACGATCTAACCTTAACTATCGATCGCTTCAATTGTCTATGCAGGGAAGTCATCGATAGATGAACTGAACCGTTTCACCAGTCTACCTCCGATTGGCCACTCGAAACCACATTGTTTGTTGCTTACATGCATGGATGCAAATGTTAAGTGTGAACGCCGCATCTCAGAGAGTCCTCGATATATCGTGTTATGAGCTCTATGGTCTTGGGATCACTTCAAGTTGAAAATGCGGGAATTAGATCTCCAATGCTGACAGGTTTTGCAAGCAAGCTGCATTAATGTTGTGATCAGGGATTGAAGGTCCTTAGACCTGGGGCAGGGTTGGGTTGGGTTGATGTTGGTGATTCGATGCAGTTAGGGCTAGGGGAGACTATTCAATGTGGTAGGTCGGCATTATGAATTTACCCTAAGGCTTACATCGTGAGTTCTATCATTGGTCTGGACGCTTGGTACTGCGGTGACCGTGACTAGTGAGGCTATTGCTCGGAATTGCGAGAAGTCTTCGATGCTGAAGCACTGACAACTCACTGCAAGTGTTCCAAAAAGAATGAGTAGGTTCTGAGACCTGCGTTACAACATGATGGTGATTAGAAATTTTGCTAATACATAGTTGGTATGCGATGCGGCAAATTCCGGACCCCGTTTGACGCCGCTCGAGTGTACACTGGCTGTTCAATACAGATATTTAAAATCCAGACCTGTACCGGTATACCCTGATCAGGTCCAGGGTTTCACTGAACAATTGATCACAAGAATTTCGCCCATGTCATAACAAGCAGCCTCTCCCGGAGCTCTAGTAGCTCGAAGCCTCATCTTTGGATAACTTTACACGCTATCTCTGGCGATTACTTGTTTGACTTGGATTGTCGAGCACCTTGTTATGACTCCTCTGGCCCTTCTGATGTTCACTTCGTGCCCGTGGCGGACCTAAGTCGAAGTGCAGCAGTACTCGGTCCGCATCTGGGGTGCAGGACTCGAGTCCACGCTTGTGAATCATTTTTATTTCGACGATCCTCATACAGGTCATGCCATCGATGAAAAGGGGGTTTGACTTGACATTCTGCGAAACGGAGAAGTACATGTACCCAGAAAGCAAGAGACTGCAATTGCTTCCCCTGAAGGACGCGCGACACCCGAGGAGAAAATAAATAAACAAAACGTGGCGCTAATCCAAGCTGTGTGTCGAGCCTGTCAGATCCGGGATAGGCGTAACTACAAGGCAAAAACTGCCCTAAACGATCTGATTGACAATCGAGCAAGGATGACTTACTTTCAACACCCCGACCCCTGACACTCCCGCACGATCCTTTGACATCATTCAGAAGCTCTGCCTCGTCAATTGCCTTTGAGGAGCGCGATTTGTTCACTATGGCAAGCATAGCGTCCGAGCAAACGATGTAGACCTTCTTAGGAGGGAGGTTCTCCCTCTCAAGGTGCATTCGCACATTCTGGCATGTCTCGTTGATGAACCAATGCCGTTCTTCAGATTTCGTTTGCAAGAAAAGAGAACGTGTCTCGTCGTCCATGTCGGGATCACCAATGTCGAAACCTGGCGGCATCCTCTCGCACACCATGTTGTTGATGTACTGGTCTGACTTGGAGCGAACAATGAACGACTTGATGTTCTTGAATTGCTCGCATGCGCGGAGGATGGTGAGGTCGGATTCCAAGACACGATTGTCTGTGAGCACGATGATGCAGTCGAATATGTAAAGGCCCATGTCATTGAAGTACTGCCAATCAGACACCTTTGGAGTGCCTGCTCCGGGAACGTCATACCAAATCATCTGGGAGATTGGGGACGGATCAGGGTATCTCGTGACAGTGTCAGTGGTTTCGACGATTCCCGTAGAAGCGGCCATGGGATGTTGTTTGGACAAGCCACGGACGGCATTAATGAAGGATGACTTGCCAGCTCCAGCAGAGCCAACAACTGCGATGTGGAAGAACTCCGGGTTATAATGATACCGGGCCTTCATCCGACTGATATCTTGGTCTGAAGGACGACACTCGGGGCGAACACCTTCGAACCATTTACGCTCAACGGCGAGCCTCGCTTCCTCTGCATCGCGAAGAGCATTGTCAAACTCCATTTTCAGTTCTTCCCGACATCTCTGCACATGATATAATGCTTCCTCCGCGGCGCGCTTGTCTGCTTCCGCTTCTTCGGCTCGCTCCTGAGCCTCGTCGTTTGCAAGATAATCCATAAAGGTGCCTACCAAACCAAACACCACAGCCAAATAATCCGTAATCACGGATGGGAACGCCATGCAACACAGACAATTTTTTTAGGGGCGGCTTGACGCTACTGAGAAGGGTCGTGTGGCAACGTGTTCTGTGCGTCGGAAGCGACCTAGACTAAGAATGACTAATTGTGGACTGCGGAACTTCAAGCTTCACTCACCTCTGTATGGATTGCAATAATGTGATATGCGGCGTCCAGGTGATAATAATGATTCGACAAGGCAAGCAGGATGGGTGCACGGCTCTTATACTTGTCTAGACAGACGCCAGCCCAACACGAGATCGGTACGAATAAGGGGTGACAACGGTGGCTTCCAGATTGTTGAAAAGCTATTCACATACTAGCTTCTGATGTGTTACGCCGAAAGTAGAATAGAACATGCATTCGCCGACAAGAAGTCATAGATCAGGAAGTTCTGTGAGTTGAGCCGAATCGATCGCGGGCGTAGCTTGTTCACTGCACGATGTCAACTTTCAAGTACGGTTAGATTATCTTGTAAGAAATAAGTCTAACTGACCCGCTCCAATCCTCTATGCAGGCAAGCATCAACAGATGAACTGAACCCGGTTTTATCAGTCTTCCTCCAGTTGGACACTTAAAACCACATTGTTCGTTGTTTGCATGCATGCATGAAGGCACATGTTGAACGTGACATCTCAGAGAGTCGTCGTGCTTCGAAAATGGAAATATCGATGGACCCGTTCTCGATGTATCGTGATGTGTTCTACGGTCTTGATATCGCTAGGAAAGGTGGGAAGCCCTCGATGTTGACGAGTTTGGCAAGGGGAATCAGAAGGCCCTTAGACCGACCAGGTTATGGCATTGATGGTCGAGATCCATGATGAGATCGCGTGATTGATGCTACCGTGGTACTAGTCGGGGCTAGGGGCTAGGGACTAGGCAATGCTGGTTGGTCTACTAAGTGTGCAATGTGTGGCATGCACAGTCAGGCCTCATTCCATGTGAAAAGGAGATATAAGAACCGTTGTGAACACGGAGCATAAGGTCTGGTCCGACAAGTCCATAGACAGGGAAGATTCATCTGAACCCAATTCTAGTATGGTTCGCGCGGCGAAAGCAGGAGACGGGGAAGACAATTGCGCGAATTTCGTTATAGGAAAGAAAAGTTCAGCTTGATTCATCATGGGGGAATTGAAATGGCTTTACCGAGTTCAAGTTGCTAACCGAATTTTAGTAGATTTCGGTTCCCCAACTGAGACTTACTCAGCGACGAATTACTAAAGTCGTCCGGTGATGTTCTGTACATGCAAACGAGCCTTTCATCATAGTCCGAGTCAGACAATATTGGAAGACAGTCGTTCATCGAGCTCAGTACTCGGTTTCTTAGTATTTGCCATGCACTTGGCAGATTCCCGTTTTTAAGACAGTAGATTAAAATAATGTAAATGATACACCTAAAATACAACAGCGAACGCCGTCCAACGAGACAACAGTAGTAGAACAATCAAGGATAAGCCTACTTCGCCGATGAGCTCGAGAACTGTAGATGTCAGAAGTGAGTGAGAGATACACCGCAGGTAGGTGAAAGAACTGACCTTGGTGACACTCTTGGTGCCTTCCGAGATAGCATGCTTGGCAAGTTCACCAGGTAGAATCAGTCGCACAGATGTTTGAATCTCCCGAGAAGATATTGTCGACTTTTTGGAGTAGGCAGCGAGTTCTGAAGGGGATGAGGTCAGGAATAATCTACAAGCTGACAGGGGTACGTACTGGATGCTTCAGTTGCAATACGCTCGAAGATGTCGTTGACAAACGAGTTCAGAATGGCCATGGCCTTGTTGGAGATACCGGTATCAGGGTGCACCTGCCTCAAGACTGCAACCAATATCAGACCTAGGACTTGAATGGATGCGAATGGTACATACCTTTGTAGATGTAGCTAGAGTAGGTCTCCTTGCGGACTTTGCGACGCTTCTTCTTTTCACCATCAGCGCCCGCAGCAGCGGCAGAAGTCTTGGTAGCCTTCTTGGCCTTGTCGGTGGTCTTTGCAGGTGCCTTTGAGGCAGCAGTGGAAGCAGGGGCCTTGGAGGCAGTGGAGACTGGTTTAGGTGCCATTGATGATGATGTGGTGGGGTGGAGTTGGTCGAGTGAGCGTCGAAAGGGTAGTGTGAATGGCTATCATAATCGTCAGGCGTTTGTATTTATCGTTTGTGACGCGTGTGGTGTTATTTGGCACTCGACCAACGCGTCTTTGTTGATTGCTGAACCTTATTTTATAAAATCACGTGTGGCAAGTATAAATACAGGCGGCCATTGATCGCGGCTCCCCTATTAGTATTACATTCCCGCCGTTCATCACCGGACTTGTCCAACTGTTCTGTACCCTGTACATACACTCTCACAACACTCTTCGCTATATCTATCATGTCTGGCAAAGTCGGCGGAAAAGCCAAGTCTGGTGGCAAAGCCTCTGGTGAATCCTCGTCCAAGTCCCAATCCCGCTCAGCCAAAGCTGGCCTTCAGTTCCCTGTCGGTCGTGTCCACCGTCTCTTGAAGAAGGGAAACTACGCACAGCGTGTTGGCGCCGGCGCACCTGGTAAGTCTTATTGGTTTCATGCCTCAGCCGTTTGTTCTAACTTGGTTATCAGTCTATCTTGCAGCGGTACTAGAGTACCTTGCCGCTGAGATCTTGGAACTCGCTGGTAATGCAGCCCGGGACAACAAGAAACAGCGTATCGTTCCTAGACATTTGCAACTCGCCATCCGAAACGACGAAGAGTACGCAATTTTTTCAGTCATTCTGCGAATGTCTAACACGCCTTCCCATAGGCTGAACAAGCTCCTTGGCGACGTTGTCATCTCGCAGGGTGGTGTCGTTCCTTTCATCAACCCCGAGCTATTGCCCAGCAAAACTTCAAAGGGCAAGAAGGAGAGCCAGGAAGTTTAATCTTATTCGATTTAGACTGCATTATTATCGGTGTTGGGTATCGGATGTATTTGTATTTTTTTTATAGTACTCGGTCTTCTATATCATTTTCTTTCACTCTGGAATCATTTCGTTGATTCTGGTCTCCTGGCACCGTCTGATTTTCGCGGCAGCTTGTCACGTGCGCGTGTCTCGTCCGACTTTTACAAGTTCACCAGTTGAATTTGGTTCAGTTGGCTGCGTTTTAGAAGTTTTTCGTCGTGTACCACCGCTGCAAAACTTCCTCATTAATTGGATCACTTGATTTTCACTCCTTACCCTCGTTGGCGGGCTCTTTAGTGTTAGGACGCCTTTCTCTGCTTTATCGCGCTAGCAAGCAAGACGATGAGCCCAAGGTATGTCATACCGCCGTCAAGCTACACTATGGATGTAGGTTCATGTAGCAATCCTTCCCCAGGACTACGGAGGTAGCATTGTCCGTTAGCCAAAGTCCATCGGACAGCACGTTGCTTTCATGAAATTATTATAGGGGAGCTCAAAGTTGAACGCCCAACACCCAAGCCCAACGCCCAACGCCCAACCTCGTGACTGAAATTAGGTATACCTAGAATAAATAGAAGTAAATATGGAGTAAAGCCACTGATGAGATAAGCTCCTTACCTAAACCTTGTCGCGCGAAGCGCCGAAACCTTCGCCAACTGTCTCCCCCTAATCCTCAGCATTTCTAAACCTTTTCACACCCTAAACCTTTTCATATTCTATTCCTAACCTTTCCATACTTAAAAAATGCTATTCCTAACCCTAATCATAACCCAACCCATGTCATAGATTTTATTGTGTGAGCATGTGGCAAAAGTCTAATGAGGGATAACTGAACAGGATTAGGAATGAAAAAGCAAGGTCTCCTAGGTATAAAAAGGTTTAGGTACGATGAAAAGGCTTAAAAGGTTTAGAAATGCTGAGGATTAGGGGGAGACAGTTGGCGAAGGTTTCGGCGCTTCGCGCGACAAGGTTTAGGTAAGGAGCTTATCTCATCAGTGGCTTTACTCCATATTTACTTCTATTTATTCTAGGTATACCTAATTTCAGTCACGAGGTTGGGCGTTGGGCGTTGGGCTTGGGTGTTGGGCGTTCAACTAGGGGAGCTCAAAGTTGAACGCCCAACACCCAAGCCCAACGCCCAACGCCCAACCTCGTGACTGAAATTAGGTATACCTAGAATAAATAGAAGTAAATATGGAGTAAAGCCACTGATGAGATAAGCTCCTTACCTAAACCTTGTCGCGCGAAGCGCCGAAACCTTCGCCAACTGTCTCCCCCTAATCCTCAGCATTTCTAAACCTTTTAAGCCTTTTCATCGTACCTAAACCTTTTTATACCTAGGAGACCTTGCTTTTTCATTCCTAATCCTGTTCAGTTATCCCTCATTAGACTTTTGCCACATGCTCACACAATAAAATCTATGACATGGGTTGGGTTATGATTAGGGTTAGGAATAGCATTTTTTAAGTATGGAAAGGTTAGGAATAGAATATGAAAAGGTTTAGGGTGTGAAAAGGTTTAGAAATGCTGAGGATTAGGGGGAGACAGTTGGCGAAGGTTTCGGCGCTTCGCGCGACAAGGTTTAGGTAAGGAGCTTATCTCATCAGTGGCTTTACTCCATATTTACTTCTATTTATTCTAGGTATACCTAATTTCAGTCACGAGGTTGGGCGTTGGGCGTTGGGCTTGGGTGTTGGGCGTTCAACTTTGAGCTCCCCTACTTTGAGCTCCCCTATTGGCCTCTATCGACCAGTATTGGTCTCCGTAACATATTCAGGAGACAGTTCCCCATAATACAGTCAAGTCGTGCTCTTGGAAAGTCAAATTGAGACTTCGACCCACTTGAAAGTTTCGATCAATACGTTTTTAACGATAAACGACGATCATAATGCACAATTCGAAATTGCATCAAAGGCAAACACAAAACATACTGCAAGTGCCAGAGGGATGGCCGAACTGTTTTTTTTGGAAGTTCGTTATCTCCCCTGACCCATCCGAGTATCGAAGCTTCTCATGAATCAGGACAGTACTCCTCCATTATGTGCCTGAGTTCTGCGTCCGGAACCCTCGCCTCAAACTCAATCACGCACGGGGAATCTGCTTTCTCCCCAATTATGAATTCCATGTCATCCACCGGTTTCGTAGGATCCAGCGTGAGCCGGAAGGCCCAAATAACGAGGAGGGTGCTTATGAACACCGATCTATACCAACTGAAGTGAGTTTGCAAGACACGTGGGCGTGGAAAATAACCGTACCTTTGCGCGAGATGCTGACCGGGGCATACACTAGAAGGAATGTCATTCAAAGAACGTATAGCTGAAAGAAAAGACGATGCTTACCGCCGACCAAACCCGTAGATAAAGAATAAATTTATATTTTCTTTCAGGTTACCATGGTCGTCGATCCAGCGCTCAGGCTTGAACGCGTCAGGCTCCGGGTAGGCGTCTGGATCCCGAGTGATGGACCTAAGGCAGTGACCGTTAGATCCTTCGTATTCTTGAAGCACGATTCTTACCAATGGTTGCCGTATACCGTAGTCCCAGCCGGAATACGATAGTTTTCCTGATGGACTAGATCATCAGTCGTGCGATAGGCCGTTCAAGGATTACTTGCCCATATCACGTCTTCGTTTGTTCGGTGAGGAACCCCTGCAGCGTAAACGTTGTACAGTTTAGGTATCAAACCAAAAGGAAGTCACCCACCATTGGTAGCCAATGGTCTCCATCTTAAAGCCTCATAGATGAATGCCTGCATGCGAGGAAGGGACTTTTGGTCGGCAAAGGTCGGCGCTTTAATGCAGAAATAAATGAATCCATGGAACTGCCATAGAGAATCAGTCTACTTACCTTGGTGCCTTCCGACGACTGCATCGAGCTCAGCCTGAACTTTCGCTTGCTCCTCGGGAAAACGTGCGGCTGCCATCAGCACCGTGCATATTGCTGAACCAGTCTTGGACCTGATCTCAGCCACATATTTTCGGAGACAAAAAACAACGCCTCAACTGTATCAGATCCAGCTGAAAACATGGAACCAACAAGAAAGGCCGACTCGGTCTCTCCTAAACCATGCTCGCGATTTTCAAGTATAAATCTCGCGAGCGAAGGGCCGGTGTCTTCATTACTTTTCTGGGGGACGGCTCAGATATGAATGTAGAGTAAAGGACGTTACATACTATTTGCTCGCCCACGCGGTTCAACTGACCAGTGTGTATTCTCTTGTACGTTTCATATCCCCGTTTTAATTCTCGGCCATACCAAGGAAGGTACTTGAGCCATGGGATCGAGTCCACCAGGAAAGCACCAGGACGCAGGAGTTTTGCAAATACCTCCATATTTCGGTGCAACTCGATGACTTCAGGATGAGTCGCAGACGTAGGCGTAGACTTGCCATATGCAACTTTCATAACTGTCGTGGCCGCATAACTTCAAAGCAGCTGAGAGCAAAGTACTATCATAATAAACCGAAAGGGCTTACCTCAAGACATGGTTCCGAAAGTTGTGGGGATCATCGAGAATGTTTAGAACCACGTTCTTCGCGTGCGACGATTGAAGGGGCTGATAAGTCTCAGCTGCTTTAGGCTGAAGATGGGAATGAAGTGCCCTGCATTACAGTGGAAAGTTAGATAGATGAGGAAAGTAAGGTCGACTACTAACTTCCGCATCCGACGGAACCTCTCCCCAACGGGTGCAAAGGTAAGAGACATTCCGCCGCTAAACAACTCTCCAGCAGAAATCGAGCGAGGACGATCAGCTACCGATTTACCCTGATTCTCCATAATTTCAACGGCGGCCTGAAACGGAATGTTCAGTGTGTATATAACAACTCAGCATGTATGGACTGACTTTGTAACTGCCAACAATTACAACCTTGGTAAATCTTGACCGAGTGGTGATCACAGGGCCATACTCGTCAATCCATTCCGCCATAGTGAGGAATGGCCTTGTCAGCGGCGATAGGACACGATCAGGATTAAAAAAAAATGAGGAGTGAAATGCGAAAGCTGACCTGCGAGGTGGCAGGGTATGCCCCTGAAATGTCCAATTTGGAGGAGAAGGTGGCAGAGGAAGGTTACTCTCTGATTTCACAAGGTAAGCGCGAGCAAATACTCCTGCTGCGGCAAGACAAGCGGCAGTGCCGATGAAGAGTTGGGCGTGCTCATAAATGGGCAGGTCAGGTAGTTGTAGCGGGATGAGTGGAAGGGCTGAATGGAGGGAATTCATGGTAACTCAGTGAGGGTCACCCATTCAAGTGATGAATGACTTTTTAAGGATTTGGGAATATTGTGGGATATTTATTTCGGATCGAAATCCAAGCAGCGGGAGACTGACGAGACTCGTAACCAGTCCGACTATGATATCATAGCGTCAAATTTTGAGATCACGGTGAGAGAAGCACGATAAGGTGACTTGCGGCTTGCCATCAATTGAGCAGTGCATGGATGATCGACAAGCTGTCGATATGTAATACTCGTCCGTTTTTAACGGACACCAAAATTTGTAGCACAGTGCGCAGCAGCAGGTGCGCAGACAAGAACCCTCTTGATTCGGAGTCTCGAGCCCTCTCGAGCCCTGGTCGATCTTATGGAATCAACAACAACATATTACGTAACTCAAAACACGCACTATGATATGCTTCTGCTTCCGCTTTGGCTGCTCGCCAATCACCCAATAACGCTGTCACTGTATTTTTCTTCGCTTATCGTTCCATCGCGAACAGTAGGAACCGTCACTGAGGTATATAAGTAGTAAAGTACTGCTGGCATGCGGCGGACATACTATCATACCCCACCCACGCTTGTTGGCAAAATGCTGGCCAAACGGCAATATTGATATATATCGACTCGGGATGATTCCACGTCGTCGGCCCAGCGTGCTCGTTGTCACTATCAGCGTACCGTTACGGTACGTACTACCGTTGCTTTGAAAAATGATCGCGCCACCAGCCTGCTGCCGCCAGGAGGAACGCACCGACGAAGTCAGCACTGGCCCTAATCTCCTTCTTTTCAGTCATGTTCTTGATGCCAGGGTGCCGGTAAGTGAATGTGAGCGGCTGGGAAGGTGCAGTTTGGTAGGCGCAGTGCTCGAGGGAGGTGGAGTCTGACTGTCCAATTACTCATAATTCTTCGCGTATGGAACAAAAGCTGGATGAACTCGTAAGCCCCGATGCTAATGTAAGTGTTCTCATGGAAGTAAGTGAAAGAAGAACGCACGCGTCGTATTAAGCATCACGTGATTTTTGGCGTCATATTTAAAACACGTTAATGGTACGTTGAATTGAATTTCAAACTTAAAAGTCTGCGGCAGATATCCAGTCTTGTTTCATCCCTCTCATTCTGTCTGCAAGTTCACAAGGAAACCGAAATGCCAAAATCACGACCAGGAAACGTGGACGCAGCCTCCAAGCAGCCTACCCCAAAGCCGCAGACCAACTTCACGAAGTGGATAACACGTATAGCTGGACTACTGCTCCTTGCTGTAACATTTACCTGGCTTGATAGTATCAAGGTCAGTTAGTTGCTCCAACTCTTCTACTCCCTCGACTGACCTCGACCACAGGACCGGTGGTACGTTCTAGACCCAAAGCACCTCCACGAGCTAGCGCAAGAAGCCATCGCCACATCACCAAATGACCCCCAAGGCATGATCACTCATATCCTCACCAATCTCACCTCCACATACCCGCAACTCGAGTCCCCTTCCATCTCCCTCAACTCGAACGCCTCTGAGTGGGTATTCAACAATGCCGGAGGCGCAATGGGCGCAATGTACATCATCCACGCGTCCATCACCGAGTACCTCATTATTTTCGGCACCCCTTTAGGCACGGAAGGACACACGGGGCTGCACACCGCAGATGACTACTTCCATATCCTAGTCGGCGAGCAGTGGGCGTTCAGACCAGGTGCGTTGGAAATGGAGAAGTACGGCCCTGGGGACGTGCATTTCCTCCCGAGGGGCACTGCGAAGCAATACAAAATGCATGAGGGATGCTTCGCGCTCGAGTATGCTCGCGGTACGTGACATTTCAGATGGCCTTGCGTGTTTTGTCTCAAATTTTCTTCTTAGGCTGGATCCCATTGATGATGCCCTTTGGGCTTGCGGACACCTTCACGTCTACCCTCGATATTCCGACGTTATACCACACCGTCCGCATTACGGGACGGGAGATGATAAAGAACTTGCTTGTTGGCAAAATATGATCTAAGTTATGCGAGATACATTGATTCATGAGGAGCAAGGACACCTATTATATGCTATAATACCCCTAGATAGAATATTGCGCTGGTCGTTCTACCACGCGGTAATGCCAATGCCATTTACTAGGAACTTTGCCAGAGTTTGAAATATGCCCCTAGATCAGTACCAGTGATCTGAAGATCATCGGCCGTACGCAGATAGACCGAGCGAACGAACAATGAATTAGGAAACGTCAGAATGTAATATGAACAAGCAAGAAAGTATAGGTATGCACAGATGTTCCAGGTAGGTATGATGCTAAAGATGTAAGTACTACAAATGCAAAAAAACAAACAAATGTGACCCTGCCCAACCCACGACCTACAAAAAATTGTACAATACCGCAGTACAAGTTGATTCAAATCTGTCTCTTCCCGCTACTAGTCTGACTCCGGCCGATGCGTAAGGCCTGCCCTTCGGGGTGCATGACCCCCTTCTATTGATGTGAACCGTTGTGGTTGGGGTGACATTGCCCGCCGCACTTCCCTGTGCCCATGGTCGCTGCCAGCCCCATGTGCCTCCTGCGTCGATTTAGGCGCAGGAGAAACCATCCCTGCACAAACCGAAGAACCCCTCGATCCGCTCTCTCCCTCCCGCTCACTCGAATGAAACTCGCTTCCCTCTTTAAAGATCTCTTTCGCAATGCTGCAGACAGGCGGGAAGTAACCCGTCTCTTCATCCGGTCCACCCTGCGGGGGGAAATAATCGCCCCCAGAGTTCGGGGGATACCCATGATTGTGCCGCTGCTCGTCTGCATGCACAGGGGCTCCTGGTGCTGGGTTCATCCACGGTGCCTGCGGCCAGAAAGCACCAGGTGTCATCGTCACACCGGGCGTCATCGGCACCCCACCAGGCGTCAGCGGCACCATCGTCACTGATGACGGGTATCCGGTGGATATGGGCACCATGATCCCAGGTGAAAGAGGAATTCCGGGGGAGAACATGTGCGGAGGCAGGTGCGACGAGTACGGGATTTGGGAGTGAGGCGGAAGGTGGTATGGGGATGATGGGGGTGGAGCCTCTGATCGGCCTTCCGTTGCTTGACCTTGGTAACTCCCATTGTTTGTGCCCTGATTCTCTGTGGTGTTTGCGTGCCCGTTCGTTGGCTGCAAGAACGTAAATGGCGGCATGCTTGGAGTGATGGGAGGCAGGCCGTGTGGCGTTATGACACCATAGTGCACATGGTATGGGTGCACAGACGGGTGGTGCAGCGGGCTTATCGCAGGGTGATGCATAGGACTGCGTACAGCCGGATGGTGCAACGGACTCATGGGATGAGATTGCACATATCCTGGGTGAAACATTGGACTATGAGGGTGGGGCGGAGGGTATGGGGACAGCGGCGGATGTGGGAGCGTAAAGGTACACGGAGGAGGCAGCGCAATAGGTCCCGGTTGTCTGCGGGAGGATGACTGTGATGGCTTCTGCGATGATGTTTGCTTCTGCGAAGATGGAGATGCAGGCTTCGGATCTGGTGAAGATGTTTTGCCCTTCTCTGCAGCCCTGGAAGCCAGCGCCTTAGATCTTCGCATACCCAAAGATCCCAGCGTGGTCGCGATAGCGTCTGGGTTTCTGAGCACTTCAGCCTTGACAGGCTTGGATCCTTGGTTTGATTCGACCTCGGATGCACTCCACACGGATTGAGACTTGTTCGACAAGTCTGAATTAGGGATTGAATGCGCAAGTGCAACAGATCTAGGTGAGGTCTGCTGGGGACTCGAGACAGTTGGCCATCCTCCACTCGCCGGAGGGGACGTTGACGCCGTATCACAACCTACGTCCGACTGAGGACGAGTAAGTGTAGGCGGCAGGGAAAATACCGAGCTCGAACTCGAGCCCGAGTTCTCCCGCGACGTGCTCATATTGACAGACTGGCTCATAGACCCCAGCCCCTCTCGTTCATCATCAAAGAACGGCTCGTTCAGCAGCGAACTGGCATTGAATGTAGGGCGCCGCGCAGAACCACCGCCAAAGGACGGGCGCTGAGATGTAGTGCTAAATGTGGGTCGTTGGGATGTCGAAGAGCTGAACGACGGTCGCTGGGACTGTGACGCACCAAACGACGGCCGCTGCGAGAAGTTTGTGCCATCAATCAATGACGATGTCGTACTAAAGCTTGGTCGTGATGACCCTGATGAAGTCGTCGTGGTATAGCTTTGCGCTTGCGAAGAGCCCGCGGAGACGCTTGGACGAGGTGAGCTGGAGCTCGACGTCCGTGACTTATTTGATGATAGCGGATGCATGTCGCTCCCGATTTTCGTGTCAACCGAGTGTGAGGGCAACTTGATGTTAAGCGCGTCGGTACCCAGAGGTAGGCTGAGGGAAGCAAAGCTTGTGGAGCCATTGTTTGTGAATCCTAAATGAGGTGAACTTGTCAACGAATGCGGATGTGTGGGTGTAGCAGCTAGTGAATGGGCTGCTGTTGGCGAAAGGGATTGAGTGTGCAAGAGTGCAGGTGAGAGAGAGGTAAGGGAGGCAGAGGTAAGTGGACTTGAACCGAGAGAGGGGTTGGAGGATCGAGAACCAGACGGCAAGTTGGAGCGAGTTAATAGGACTTCTAGCTGAGATGATGTTAGGGCGTCTAGATCGGCACGTCTAAGCGAATCCAGCTGAGGGTGCATTAGAGAATCTAGCTGCGAATGTAACAACCCATCGAGTTTGAGCTGAGATAAATGCTCGTTTTGTTGACGTCCCAATTGATGGGACTCAAGTTGCAAGGATTGCAAGTGAGATGTAAGAGCATCATACTGTGATAGAGTGGACGGGATAGATAATTGTACGCCAACAAGAGGGACTGGAGCTGCAGATGGCGAGAATTTGTCGTAGTGGACCTTCAGTGGTCGTCCATTGAATTCATACCTGAAATGGATCACAATAACAGTCAGTTCATGGTCTATAATTGGACAACGGATCACGAATAAAAGCAGGGTGTCAAAGGGTTCGTATTGTGTGTAGTGCCGCGCCACGCAGAAATACACACAGAAAAAGATTCTATGGTCACAATCTGAACGAGATATATGTGCACGCGTAGAATGACGCGTGCGCATGCACCCGAAAGAAAAGAAGCACCGCGCATTCGATAGAAGGCAGCCACATACCCATCAAACATCCTACGGGCTCGCTCGGCACCATCTTCCGTAACAAAGCTGACGGTTCCGAACCCGCGGGAGCGCCCATCAGGGCCCAGGGTAATATCTGCTCGAGAAACAGCACCAGCGGCACGGAACAGGTCCTTCAAATCCTGCCATTGGATATGGAAGGGAAGCTAAGTGAAAGAAAGGTAAGCAAATAGTCACTTTTGGCACCGCAAGCAAATGTGAGTCGAGAAGGAAATATACAGAAAATAAATTAGTAGAACGGCGCTCGTACAAATTCGAATCTCAGATATTGATTATGTGGAGGGGGAAAGTATGAATGAAGGAGGAAAAAATAACGAGGCAGTAGGATTGACAAACTCACATTACCCACAAAAAGGGTCTTCATTCCAGTGCCGCCTACCAGATCCTGTCCAAACGTAATTTCGTCATACGTATTGGCTGAAGGTGGGAACCCTGATGGATGCCCATTTGCGCCTCTGATTGCGAGGCTGCCTCCCATTTCGTCGACACTTGCGCCAAGCCTGTCGGGGCGCACCTCTAGGACTCTGGTCTGCCAGCAATATCCATTTAACATGTCGATTGCCCTTCCCGCATCCTCCGCAGTGGCCAGAAGGACAGTGCCATAGCCTCGTGAACGATTATCAGGCCCTAGTGATACGTCAGCACGCAAGACAGTGCCTGCACGACGGAAAAGATCCTTGAGGTCCTGCCAACGAACACGATATGGGAGCTGCAATATCCGGTCAGGGCTGAGCAGGATTCAGAAGGGTCGACAGACGTCCATACATTGCCAACGAACAACTGAGAACGGGTATCTCGCAGGGGTGCCTGCTGGCGGGAATCGTGAGGTTTGCTAGAAGATGTGGCCATTTGAATTACAGCCTCGATGTCATCATTTGTGGGACCCGAGGGCTCAGAGGAATGAATCAAGTGAGGAGCAGAAAAATCCTGTTGCGATGTGTGAAGGGGAGAAATAGACAAAAAAGGCATTAGAACCTATTCGACAGAGGAAGAGAAAAGCAAGGGGATGAACGTACAGAGAGAGGCGGCGCTGACGCCATCTGGAGCGGAAGGCGCTAGTACGGCTGCAAGGGTATCGTTGGGATTCGTTTATTTATTTTAGGGTATGGGCTTCGCGATGTGTCGCGGCTTTATGGGCCGCGTAACGCGTCGGTTGCTAGAAAATTGATGGAGTGGGTTGGCAGGTTAGCAATTACTGTTGAGGAGGACGTTGAGGACAGTGAGCTCGACCTGCGAGAAGATCTGAAAAGTGAGTTTACGGGTATTGTAAGATTAGGAACAAGAACCAGCTAACGTTCAGTCAGCTGTGCGTTGGATCTGTTTCTACACGGATGGCTCCACACGACAAAAACAGGGTATCCATCCGCGCCACACTAGCCCTACGTCATTCTCCTTTTCAGGAAATTGCATTTCTCCACTCCCAGGCTGATCAACTGACCCGAATAATGAATTCTCATGCTTCCCTTTCGTCGACTTGACGATTATAATGTCGACGTCGACGACCCATGCCCACTGGCTCGTAGAGCGGTTCGTACTGATGTCGTACAACTTCCATCTGCAAGGGGCGACAGTGACGACACCTGTCCACCCAATCCATTGGCAGTGAGGTCATCATATTCAAATATGGAGAGCCTAGAAAAACACGCACGACACCTACCTGTGCCCAGAGGCGCCAAATCGCGACTGTCCAAAATATTTCTGAACGTTCCGAAGGATTGGCCGACTGTAGTAGGCCCCAAAGGCGAAATTGGGGCAGCGGCATGCGCATGCGGCTCATCTGATTACCCTTACGGAGACGTACACGCGAGTGTGGAGGTGTGTAAACCCTGCAGAGCTTCGGAAACGCTATAATAATCCTCGTTATCTAATTGGCCATCAGCTCTACATCTCCCGTCCCTGCCGCCTGCCCATGAGGTGTTATCTGAAACCGAGTAATGGTAGAAGCTTTGTATCACGCTAAGTAAGTATGTGATTGACTAGGAATCGTGATCGATCGGTCGGTTGTTGGTGAGGACTTAGACGCCCTAGTGGTGTTTGGTGAGCGTCGGCTCATTATTATGGGTTTGTCGCCTGAACTCTGGAACAGTCCATATAAGAGCATGAACACTGTCACGGTGGAGGTCTCATAATCAGATACGGTAATCGTTGGTACCCGAAGTTTATGTATGTGGTTTCATCAACTGCTCAATAGCCCGAACTCCCCGATGTCACTCTTACAGAATGTTTTAAAGATCCTCGTTGGTGTTTTTATTCCCTAGCTCTGCATGCGGAACTGAAGTACTGCTGGTATATGACAAGACATTGAATATTGAGTGACTTGACGTACCGAGAACGCATCATCGAATTGAGATCCGTTTGCTGCCAAAGCTCATCGTCTCTCTTCTGTAACGTCTTTTCGCAGCTCTCTATTATTTGCGTTTCCATCGAACTCAAACACAGCCTTACAGCTGTGCACGGTGAAATTTTTTTGCCCTACACGCTGTTAATATTACACGATGACCACCATATCGTGGGCTCAAATTAAATCAGCAGAAAAACACACCAATTAATCAATGACCTCCAGTTTGTCACTGTCAGATAAGGCATCATTGACGCGAAAGTTAGAAAACTCGACGATGCAAGTATCCTGAGTGCGAGTGGCTTTACGGCTATTGAGTCTGTGGTGCTCTCAGTGGCTTGGTTGACCCACCCGAGCAGAATGACTTACGCAGCTAGGAGTGAATTTGTATACTCTATATTGCGATTAGCCAACACCGGTGAAATTAGGCCGAGAAAAGTGACTTGCGTGAAGAACAGACATGAGATGATCATCTGTAGCTACAACGAACTGCCTCACAGGTATTTCTCATGGCACAAAACTGTATAGTCAGCAGTCAGTGGACCCCAGAACAAAAAATATTTTAAAAAACTCACGAAAACAATAACCAAAACGGCAGACATGCTATCTTAGAATGTCGCAAGCATGGTCAAACCTTCACAAGTAAAGTTTCCCACCTAGTTGCGAGACCAGTCTTAACTGCCCAGAGAGTGAGACGGTCAACAATATTGTGTGTTCTGAAAGAAAATTGTGCACGAGGAGAGAGACCATGGAATAGCGTAGCTTACTGGCGAACTTTGGTCTGCCTGCGTTCACGCTGAATGAAATACACCAACCCAATCGTGATTATCAGATCGCAAACAGCGGCTGCGACGAGAGTTAGGATGGTCAACCACTCTTCTGCGTTTTCCGCAGCTCTGTTCGCGGAATGGTTTATGGCCTTGGATGCATCCGTCAGTGTGCCGACAAGATTCATCATGCTTAGAACGATGCAAGATGCGGCGATTATCTTGCTTCCCGAGAATTTAAACAGTCTGTAGATGAAGAACATCTGCAAAACCAAGTCAAATGGTGCCCATGAAGCTCGAATTAATCACTACCCACCTGAACAAGGGTACTAATTAGAGGTGTCAGGATAAGATTGGCGTTCCGAGGGCCATCGAAAATAGTTTCACCACTTATATTTTCGAAACCTGTGACGGTCAAGATCCACGTCCAATACATGATGCAGACGATATGTGCAAATGTCAGCATCCTTGAAAAAGTTAGACCTGGAGATCGGCATCGACATATTATTTAAACATACATGACGGCTGCCACCTGCTTAAAATTTAGCTCCGATTACAGTCTTTCACAGACAAGAACTTACGCACCAGGACTTGAAACATCCTCCTGTCGGCTGGGAAAGACTTGTAGTACGTATATGTTTGAATTATCGAGCTGCCGAACAAGCAGCTGGCGATCATGCATCCCACCACTGCTGGTCCGATAGTTAATGATGCGGTGATTCCTGACATTTCAATTGACTCGATGGTCAGGCCACATCGATATGGTTCAGGATTTATACCAACATACGGGCGCTGCATGCGGCTGTGCGTATGTCAAAATCACATCGCAACGATCGATCACCTGCAGCCTTGTACCATATGCGTTATTTATAAAACCCTTATCGATGTTCTTACTTTCAAATCATTGTGTTGCCCAACCACTCGCGATCGGACCTGTACCCGGAGCCTGGTCCAGCTACAGCCTCGGGAATCCAAAAACTTTCACTTGGGGATCATTAAGAGTATGATCGCCATGCCACTCATACCTAGGAGATAACTGAACGGAATTCTTCAGGAGAAGCGATCGGTTGAATATGCCAAGGCCATCATCGTGACTGTTCTCCGAAGTTACCCCAACCAGCCTGCCAGGGTCCACTAAGAAGCCATCAAAGTTCTTGTTATTGTAAGACCCGGTCGGCCATCGGTTGCGAAGCAACATTCGATTGGGGGTGGGGCCTGGTGGGGCATCATATAAACGACTCAGAAAAGACCCATAAACCATAACTTGTGTTTGGTGTTGTTGAATTCGAAAGCTGCTGACTCATCCGATGATGTTCGAGATTGCGCATTGATAACACCAACTTCCAAGTGTACTACAGCTTAAAGTGTGTCCTTTGAACGACTACGGGCTCCACATCTTGCGCTTGACAAACTCTAATAAGCGCGTATCATTCATTCTTTTCAGATCCGTCGAGTTGTCCACACCCTATGATGGATTATAAGCTTTTGACTGCTTTCCAGGATGATAAGATCAGCTAGACATACCGCTTTCTGCGCTGCCCGTATCACCTTGACAGCAATGTGTGCACTGATCTCCCTAATGCGCTCGATACGGGGGTACACGAGCTCTAGTGCCCGTTCATCCCACGAAAGAGAGTGCGCTAATCCAAGCGCAGACGCCTCTACCATACTATCCGTCACGCTCTTAGCGCGGCACAGTATCGCACCCAATCCAAGACCTGTAATCCGGCAGTCAGCTTAGAAAAAGACATAGAACGAGAGAGATAGAACCTACCGGGGAAGATATACATATTATTACCCTGGCCTGGTTCCCTCCTGGCGCCACCAATGACCTCGCTTCCAAATGGCGAGCCACTTGCAAAGATTGCGGTGCCGTTGCTGTGTGTGAGAGCCTCAGCGAAGGTGCACTCTGAGAGATGGACGGGGTTGGAGAGAGGGAAAATGATGGGGCGAGGCGTGTTCTGCGACATTTGACGGATGACTTCCGGGGTAAAAGAACCCTGAAAGGAGTGAGCGCGATGATGAATACAGAATATATGTTTAAATCTTACCGTGACCGTCGAGAGACCAAGAAGCGCAGTTGGCTTCACATACTTGACGATTTCTGTAAGGTCCTTCATTGGAACACCTGTGTAATGCTTCCTTGCGAAATCTGTGGTATAGCTAGTTAGGTGTGAATCATCCCTCAAAATAAAATAAGACATACACATTTTGTAGTCAGCAACTCCTTCCCTGCCGACGTACACGAGTCCCTTCGAATCTACAAGCCAGATCTGATTCTTGGCTGCTTCCTCGCTCATCCCAGCAATTGTGAAAAAGCTCATAAGCTGCTTAGCAACGCCTACACTAGCGCTTCCCGCGCCAAATAGCAAGATTCTATGTTCGTTGCGCGGGATGGGAACCAGTCGCGCAGCGGAAAGCAGCCCTGCAAGGACAACAGCACCGGTACCTTGGATATCGTCGTTGAACAGCGGGAGACTATTACGGAAACGCGCAAGGTAGGAGAATGCGTGGTCGGTGGAGAAATCCTATCGCCCACGAGGGTGTTCATGTCTCCAGAATGGAAAGTTGAAGAATAGGAACGAACCTCGAATTGCACCAAAACTTTGGGGTAGACGCGTTTCATCTCGGTGATGAACTCATCCATAAAAGCATCGTATTCCGCGTCAGACGGCCGGCGCTGGCGCAGCCCGAGATACAAGGGGTCGGAAAGATTACCAGAGTTATTTGTTCCAAGGTCGAGCGTGATTGGGAGGACGGACGACGGGCGGATACTAAAATATATTGGTCATGCGACCATATGAATAAGACAAGGGTTGGACGCACCCAGCACCGGCGACGTAAAGAGAGAGTTTGCCAATAGCAATGGGCATCCCATTTACACCAAGGTCGCCAAGCCCAAGTATACGTGAACCTAGTGCGTGTTATCAGCACCTGTCATCTAACAAAATGGGGCGACACAGACCGTCCGTGACAACGCTGATCCGAGTCTCGTTCGCAAGGGGCCAGTTGCGCAGAATGCTCCCAATTCTGCCTTTATCCCTGAGAGAGATGAACTGCAGCACCCATTAAGCGAAGGAGATTAAGGAGGTATTTGTATTCATACCAAACCCTCTGAGTTTCTGTAAATGTGTGAGTACTGTAGGCATGCATCACCGACAGTTGGTGTGTAGATTATAGGCGTGATCTCCTGAGTATAAACAGTTAATTGTTGTTTCCAGACTCCGACACCGCTTAAATCATACCGGCATGTACTCGAGGCATAGCTTGTAAAAGGCCTCGATATCTGCTTGCTTGAGTTGCGCGAGGAAGCTGTATTTCTCCATAGGGGACGTCTTGGAGCGCAATTGGAGAAGGGTACGATCCAACTGAGCTTTCGAGCTAAAAACTGGTGGCGTGAGGCCTGGCGCAGCTGGGATTTTGGCTAAAGGCAGCAAAAATTCAGTACGAGGTGTAGATATCAATGGGTTAGACTAAACACACCCCGTGCTTCCGCCTTGAGTTTCTGGATACCCTCATCCGGCGACCAGTAAGGAGTAAGTACAATAGACATTTTATATGGTGTACGGTAAAAAAGTTGTGGAAGGATAGTTGTAATGTTGCGAAGGGAGACAGAAAGGGAGAGAACAGTTAAAACGAGCAACAAAATGAGAAAGTCTTGAGGAATAAAGGATCACCGTATGGTATATATAGACGCAAATTAGTGATGTGAATGGTGCTCGCTGCGCGTGTCAATGAACAGTGCACGGTGTGAACGCGAACCTGTTTGGTTGCGACCATGGAGGACACGCACAGGAATTGCGTGTCGCCATGATGAAGATCGCTCGGACACACCCACGTGAGAGGCTACACTGCCCCAATGGTTGCCCGTGGTTTTGAAATACAGTAATCAAGTGCATTGACTAAGGAGTCACGATTACACAAACCTCCTTGATAATGTAATGTTCCGAAAAGCCTGAGCGAGGGAATGTACTTCGCTGCGTTAGGCCGTTCCTGGGTGGTTATGTCTTCAAAAAGAATCGGAGCGAGGATTCTTACCCTCCTAGATTACGCATTTATCCTGCATACATTGTCCCATCATCGTCCATGACAACATCCGCAGGGTGTGTATTATCTAGATCTTGACTCTCCTCTCCTTTAGTAACAAACCTATCAAGCATCGTTGGTTCACTCTGGCTGTCCGCATTCTGTAATGCTTTAGGTTTGCGTTTCTGTGGAGGTTCTGTGCGGTGAAAAGCGATGATCTCTACATGCGGAGCTGTGAAAAAAGGAGATGGTCACGCTCGGGAGGAACGTACCCTCGAGGAACATGAATTCCTCTGCTCGCCGCACTACACTTGCTGTAATGAAATTGAGAAATAAAGTATAGACATGACAAGCTCCAGACATACCAACGTCCTTCTGCTGCACAGTTGCTCGCTTCTCCCGCTCCGCAAGCTTCTGGCATGCCTCTGAAAGTCTTCTGATGAACTCCTCGGTGGCAAGTGAGATTAAGAAAGTCGCGTCGCGTGCAACTATTGGAAGTTCCTAGAATGCTGCATGACACTATATGTCACTTGAGTAGGATCCTCTAACACGTACCTTGTCCGCTTTGATTATCTTCTGCACCCTTGAAAATGGCAGAATTGACTTCCCCAGCTCGCGCTCGCACTGCGGCTCCTTCTCTTTCCGTTTCTTGGTCATTGTTTCGTCTCCCGGCTCTTCATCGACAACCTCCACGCTCTGAATATCTTCCATGGACCCCAATTGCGCTTCAGAGACAGACATTATTGATCAGTGACGGCGTTCAGTGGTCCAGGCTGAGCGCTGAAGGACAAACTCAGCCACAGACACGCCTGTAGTGGAAGACTCTGGAAGAGTGGACATTTTGCTTCCACGCATCGCTTATTCAATAAATAAAAATCTTCCACTTCTGTTGAAATCAGTTCCTCAAGGAGTTTAGAACGCAGGGGGCTAGATGGGCAGGTTCTACTAAGCTACCCTAAATCCAGAATGGCGTGTATCCTCTCGGCTGGGTTCTTCCCTGGACCCCTCAATGCTCAATATTTGCTCATCATCCCTTTGCTATCAAACTCGCTCTGCTGTTTTTCTCTCAGACTTCGCTTCATTGTTCGAAACAGGCGCAAATGAACCTAGGACCTACGCTGTGATCTTCCGAGGAGATGTTCAATTCGGCAAGCGATACCACCATGCATGCTTCTGAGTCTCCATTGTACACAGCGTTTAGTGGTATTATTTATATATGCCACCACCATACTGGTTCACGAGGGTACGTCGTTTTCTCGAAGGGTTGATATAAGCCGTAAATTTGACATCATAATCTCATCCAGCGCAACACTCATAGTATCGATGTGACCTTTTATCTTCGTATCATCCTCACAAAGGTCCTGATTGCGACCATTCCTCATAATGCATAGCCACCGATAGTGCTCTAAGGAATATCGTTTATGTTGTGGTGCCAATTGGTTGTACCTCAGAGACCCATAACACATCCATCATGAACGACAGTAGCCCCGCGAAAGGCCGCAGAAGACTGTCACTCACCACCTTCGATCCTACGAGTCTAATCCTGATTTCTGCAGTGACATGCTGGAGGATGCCGGGATGACAATTGAAATCCAACACATCCTTGGACACTCGCTCTTCAACTTCTCATGCACAAGCGACATGGCAGCTACTCGTACACTAAACACTGGACGATTGTGAATTCACATTCCGCCCAGGATGACGGGGACTCGACTTCTGTTCTGTAGCAGATTCAATCCATGACTGGGCAACTCGCGGCCGTGCCGCGCCCGCTGTGTGTGTCTTACACATAATTGTTGGTTGCTCTCAATATCTCATTTGAAGTGCACATAAATTGATTTGATCCATTCGTTTCGAAATTTAAAGCCAGCAATTGAAGTGAATATGCAAGACGGGATGTTACATTCGAAGAAACTGAGACTTTAAATAACCAGAATATTCACTGATATGGTACACTAGTCTCATACGCGTCTGCGCTCTGCAGGTCTTGTTTCCAAACTACAGTTTGACTCCGATTTGAGTGCACGAACATGTGTGATTTACACGCGTGACACTTCCTCACGTGTTTCTTGTCACATAACCACCTCTTTAATCTTTAACTGTGAACACTAAACACTTCTTTTCAACAAATGGCCGACTCTACAGAGACATCGCCGGAGGTGATGCTCCAGTTCTACCGCATGCTGTACCCTTTCAAATCGATTTTCACATGGCTCAACCAAGAACACACACCAAAAGATTTGTTCACAAACCGCGAATTCGCATTTACTCTCCAGGGAGACGTGTATCTACGTTATAACTGCTTTTCGAACGCGGACGAACTCAAAAAGCAGGTGTGCGCACTCAATCCGACGCGCTTCGAGATCGGGCCTATGTACTCATCTCGGGTGAGTTTGTCCATCGATCGGCCTGACGCTTATGCTGACAACATGGAAGCCAAGCGAGCGGAAATTAGCTCGGTCTGTAAAGTCGGGGAAGCTCTTCACCCCGTTGAAGCGCGAGCTGGTATTCGATATCGATATGACTGATTACGATGACGTGCGGACATGCTGCACCTCCGCAGGGATATGCAAGCGCTGCTGGGCATTCATCGCCAACGCTGTGCGCGTCCTCGACTCGGCCTTGCGCACGCAATTTGGGTATCACCAATTGTTATGGGTTTACTCGGGCCGTCGAGGTATCCATTTATGGGTCAGCGACGACGAGGCCATGGGGCTTACCGACGAACTACGTAGAGCTGTGGTTGGGGCGCTTACTGTGATAGAGGGGGGTAAGGAGATGGCGAAAAAAGTCAATGTAAGAGGCATCAGCACGAAGAGCCGCCCAGGAGAACTGCCACCTTCTTTGTGGCATGCGCGGGATCAAGGGAAAGAGATGTGGTATCCATTGTTGGATGACCAAGAATGCTTCCTATCTGAGGACGGCTGGCGGACTCTGCTTAAACTTGTTCCGGACAAGAAAATTGTCGAGACTCTTGAGAAGCGGTGGGAGACACAGCCCGGCATCAAATCGTCAAAGAAATGGGACGAACTGAAGGCTGAGGTGAAGGATACGGGTGTATGTGCCTCACTCTTGCTATCCATGCCATTCCTGACGTCTGACAGGCCCGAAATCTTGCCGCCCTGGAAGATATTATCCTGCAATACACATATCCGCGCCTAGATGCCGAAGTATCCAAGCACCGAAACCATCTTCTTAAAGCACCGTTCTGCGTACATCCTAAAACCGGCCGAGTTTGCGTCCCCGTTGACCCGAATCGCGTGGACCATTTCGACCCTAATGCAGTTCCCACAGTTATGCAGCTCCTTCAAGAGCTCGACAAGGCAGGCGAGGGTGCAAGTGAGTGCACCACTTGTTGTTGTGCCTATTGTTTTCACTCATATTTTGAATCAGACTGGGAGCACACAAGTCTCAAGCAATACGTCGACATGCTAGACGGACACGTTGCAAGGATTTTGGATGATGTCCGGAGGAGAGAACGGGCAAAAGCTGTCCTTCAACACGGTGCGTGGGTTCTGGTGTATTTAAGGGACATCCAGGCTTACTGGCATTTTCACTCCAGATCTCAACTGGTGATTCGGACGCTTGGAAAATTTCATTTGTGTTTTATTCTACAGCATTGTAAAGTTGTAAAAAATATCATATCATTTGTATTGTATCCTGTTCTTTGAAGGTTCTCTCAGTTTGCTTAGTTCGAGTCATGCATGTCACGTGGGTATTTGATGCCAAGTCAGATAAGAGCAATGAGCCCACGCTGAGTGGTCTGAGACAAAGGTTGACCAATCCCGATCTCTGGGAGGCAAGTACTGTCGTGCTCACGCTCAACATCGCACGTTACATACTTATGTATATGCTGCTCTTGGGAATGCCCCCCACGCTTAGGTGTCGCCGTTGAAGAAAACCATGACTGCGTCGTCGACGAACCAGTTCTCCACGGTGCTTTCATCGACGTCATCATCCGCTCCCACTTCGACGTCGACAGGCAATGGAAACACATTGAATAGTAATTCGTCTCTACTCTTTGGCTTTCTTGTCAGTGTTTTGTCACTCTTCGGCCTATTCATGATCAGCGGGCTTGTATGGCATCGTCTGGTCATGCGGCGTCGGTTGATCGACGAGATGTTGCGGGTTAATATCCCATCGCAGAGGAATGATATGCGGAAGCCTTTGCTGTGGGATGTACGGGCGGTGCTGGGTCAGGACTGTTCCCGATGGAAGGACGCGCAGGTAGCGCCCATTTCTTATTGGTGCCTAAGTCCTTCTGATCCCCTCTCACCGTCACAGCCGCTGGCGGTAGAAAAGTACGACATGCCATTGCCACCGCCGCTGAACAGCCAAACGCCGCGAACTTCTTTCTGGAAACGTCAGGTTGTCGCCCGCATACCGCCTGAGATAACCTATCTCTATTCCCCTCCCACCCTACCTCAAGTGGTTGACCCCCCACTTTTGAATCATTCGAGGATGGAGCTTCCGCTGGATCAATCTCACCTCCAGGTTTCGGTCTTGGTAGCCATGCCTCGACCGCCAGATCCCTTGTCACTTCCGTCCAAAAAAGTGGTATTAAAGGAGCACAGACCATTGTACGAGATCGTTATCGGGACAACGAATGTGTACTATCATAACACAGACTCTAACTTGGACTCGCGGTAGCCGTGGTGTTTGTTATGCTTTTTACGATTGCTACGTGTTTCGTACTATCTTTCTGCTTTGTCGTGCCTTACGAGGGTATATTAACTGTCGCGCTATTATAGTCTTGAACTTTTGGTATTTCTGGGTTGCGTTCCGTCCACCTTGCAATGCTTGAAACACGAGGCGCAGATGTCAGCCTATTGTTCGCTCAGTTGCATGGGTTGATGAGCTACCACTATTGAGCCTCTTTCTAGGGTAATGACATGTTATTTTTGTGGTCTGAAAACCTTAACCCCTTTGCCTTACGTCCTCATCAGCTAGAGCGCACAGCAAGCCGATATCATCCGACAAGTCCTGTGACCAAGTATTGTCTGTCTAGGGTCGCGTTTCCTCTTGAACTGGTCCTTGGAAGGCAATTCGGTCCCGAACTCACTAATTATACGGGCATCCCCTCCTTTCTCCACGGCGATTGTGTCCCCCCTGTGTACAAACGGCGCGTTTGTCGGACAGACATCCATTCATAGTACAAATTAATGCCACTTATCTCTCCACAAGATCTAAGGCCTCGTGTTTTTGGAGCTACGAGACTCATCGGACCCGCTCCCTAGTGACTCGATTCCTCTGTCCTGCCACTCCTCGTGTGATTTCCCCGACGCATCCGCGATAACATACGTGCGTCATCCTTGACTTGTATCTATATTCAGGCTATATCCTTTCGCACGTAAAATGGCTTGGCGAGTGTCATGTCAGGCTTCAACATATTCAAATTCTTGCGTTGACGGAGACTCCCCGCTCAGCTAGCTCGGCTTATACCTGACGTCGCTTTCTAGAAGGCAGCGGCGTATCTTTTAATTCACTGCCTTCCTCATCATCATAGTAATACAGCATGTTTCTCCCCTTTCTTCTCCACATCTGTCTCACACTCAATATCACAACGTGTTGTGGCTGATGTGATTACAACAGGAATGCCGTGCGGTCATTAATACCCTTTCTCTTTCTGGTATACGGACCTATCAAACTTAGACATTGTAGGCGCATACGCGTCGCCTCTTTCTGGCCAAGTGCGCGGCGCGTTCTTCGAAGAGGCAAGTCTGTTACATTCTGGTGGTACTGACTGCGGGAATTTAAGTGCATTCTGCGGGTGGAGTTCGGCCGCCAGGCATCAATACCAGGTATAGAATTTCTGATCATGTATAAAACTCGTCCTCTTACTTAAACCCTCCTTGTACCCTCCCAAACTGCACTCCACATCTCACCCACCACAATTCCTCCATGGCTCGCACGCACGGTGTCAAGCTCAATCCCCTCTTTACTTGCTCTCCCAGCGGGGAGCGCTATCACGCACAAGTCCCCATAAATTGGGACGTACGCTACCACCCGGCGCGTTCTGCAGAAATAGCAGACATGCCTATGTTATCATCCCACCTAACACAATTTGCAACTAATCCCCCACTTCCAAAGTTGCACCTTGTCTGTGATCTATTGTCCCCTGAATGGGTGATTGTAGCCCGTAACCCAACGGGGGTGACAGTGCAGGATGTGTTGGAAGCCATTTATGAGACGCTCTACCGCCTCCTGCAGACGTACGAGTGGGAGGGCATGTCGCTCAAGCAGCGCAGTCGGATTGAAGAGGTACATCTTGCGCGATGCGCGGCGTCTTCGGACCCCGAGCGCACACGTTTAGCGGGAGTCCGCAGAGGGGACTGTCTGCTCTCCACCACCATGTTTGCTGGATTGACCTCGTTGGTCAGGAGGAGAGAGCAGTGGGAGGTAGTCCTCACGCTGTCACGGGATTTCAGACCCCGCGTCTACTAGCGCCCTCATAGCTTCTCTTCAGCAGTGCTGACCGAGAACGCGGCGCGTTTTTTCTTCCATCATGGATGGAAGATTCGATTTGATTCAGTTATGAGCTAATTATTGTTTGCTGATTTTATCTTACTATGCCCAGACTCCTCCTGTTTTCAAAGCGTCGTCATGACTCGTCAGGTGTGTGTTACTAGTGTCGACATCCTAGCATTGTGTATCTTTTCTCACTACGTATTGCGTTATTGCGCCCCGTGTATCAAGTTTTGAACCCTGTACTTATAGCTTATAGTCTCTGTCCCTGTATCGTTACCCCGAGTCAACGGTTTAACCGTTGTAGTACTCAGTACTGTTACTGTAGTGGATTTGTCGACGTACTGGTACGCTCGATGATCGGAAATCAGATGTGGTTTCTTGCTTTGGCTGCAATGATTCTGATGAAGTCAATTCTCTGAAACAAAGGCTGTGGTACTACTTCAGCGCTCAGCCTTCAAAACTTCACATTCGAGAACACGGAGACGATGCATCTGCAGGGGTATACTTAACAGCCTTCAAAAGCCACCATCTGGCACTAATCCTATACAAGTTTTTAAATCCCTCCAACGTCCGTCACGAACCACGATTACACAGAAATAATAAGCCCCATAGGTAGGTAAGGGTGTCATACATATATAAAATTTACCATAAGCATGCATCATGATCTAGACAACAAGAATCCAGATCCCAGATTCCAGATTCCACAAGGTATATATCCACTGGCAAAATAAGGCCAAGCAAGTCAAGCAGTCCGAAAACTCCCTCAGGCTATGATCATGATAAAACACTCTTCTCCCTGCTCGCTGTCATCTATCTTCACTGCACAATACCTCCATCGAGCCTATGCAGTACTCCCCTAGCTCCGTATCATGCAGCGGGTCTAGCGTAGACACTCGATCTGATGCGCCAGAGCTTGAAGCGTTGTCACGGTCGCGCTTCCTACTAGGAGACGGCATAGCGATCGTGAAAGCCATCACGACGGACGAGCCCTCTCTCAGCGGGGGAACCCCTGAACCCAGTCGTTCACGCATGTCATCAAGTTCACGCACTGGTGGTTCTGGCTCCGGGGGCGCAGGCGAAGGCGGAGTCGGAGGGGTAGGTCGGAAATGCTGCCTAATAGCAGACATCACCGCAACAGAAGTTGTCCGCGGTGGATTTTGAGGTCGTGCTGCGTCTTTTGTCAAGCCCGACCGTGCTTGACAAGTCTCCTCCAATACCGGCAAGAACAGCGTAGCGCAAAAAGGCTAAAACAAAAAGGGAGGGCATCAGCGAAACGAGCCAATTTGAATATTAATAGCAGACGATCATGATCATGATCATGGTCATGGTCACGGGCACCATATTCCATGTTCTGTTCTGAAAACCGACTGCGGAAAACTCGACGCACCGTGATATTTTCCCATTTCAAATCGATCGTCGCCCCAGACTCCCCCGGGCCCTGCTCTTCCCGTTCTCGGTCTCGATCTTCATCTTCTTTTCTTCTCGTCCACATCTCCCAAAGCGCAGGTTTCTCCCCCAACACAACCGGTATCTTCCCCGTGCGCGCCCGAACCGGCCTAACAGGATGAACCAAAAGCCTCCCCCTATGCATCTTCCTCCACCCGAACAACGCCGCCATAGTCACCGTAAAGAGCCCGATCGCCAGAAACGCAACTACGAGCGTCGGTGATCCATTTGTGGTGAAAATACCATTCATTGCTTGATTATAACTGTTGTTGTTGTTGTTGCCAGAATGGTCCGTGCTGGAGGGTTCCAAGGACGTGCTGGTACTTGTGCTTGTGCTTGCTTGATTACTCGTTGAAGCCATGATGCCCGTCTTTTTCACGTTCGCATGACGCGAGGCGCGAGGCTATCAGTTCAGATAAAGTGGGGGGGAGGGGAAACGGCACGCAGCCTTGAGGCGGGGCTTCGATTCAAGATATACCATCGGATCAGTTATATAAGGACCCTCTGCAGGCGTGCCATCTCATCCCACCTTGGCCTCCAGTGCCTTGGCGACAATGATCTCACAGCACAGGGAGGGCGAGAGCAGGCCCTGAGAGTGATAGGCTGAGCGGTGAAACGAGGGTGATGGAAAGGGAGTCCGTGATATATCTGTACTCCACTCAGCTATCAGGGTAAGATGGAACCAAACGAAACAAGAATAGAATTAGCTGCCCACAGGAAGGAAGGATCGGAAGTTAATGTTTGCCCGGGCATCGTGGAAGTATCCCATTGCAGGCGCAGTTGGATGATATTGTACAAGGACACGACGGAACAACGATAAACAAAGAGTAGCGGAGGACTAAAACGAGTAAGAGAGTGCATGGAAGTTCAATTTGCTTTCACATTACTGCCGGCGCATTATTCCCACACGGCACTCCACCGGCTTTCGCAGGAAACCTTCCCGCGTGTCAAACTAGGACACTCAAGTTAGTTCGTGTGAGGTGACCGGCACAAAGGGAACATACCACTTTATCCGGATCAGCCAAGACGAATTCGTAGCGCCGCAGGATAGAGGAGATGATGATTAATAGTTCCATAGACGCAAGGTTGCGTCCCACGCATGCTCTGAGGATCAGAATCAGCAAGGTCAGTGATCGCACATGATAGATAATTACCTGGGACCATAGGAGAACGGATTGAAGGCTTTTTGCAGAAGGGCGTTATCACGCTCGAACCACCTCTCTGGACGGAACACATCCGCGTCTTCTCCCCACACTTTGGTGTCCCTATGGATCGTGTAACTTGGGACGCTCAGAACGGTGCCCTGTGGGAAATGAATATCTTGGATGGTCAAACCGCCTTCAGGAGCTATACGGGGAAGACCCATGGAAGATGTCGAATGGACGCGCAAGGCTTCATTGATGACTGCCTCCAGATAAGGCAGACGTTTAACCTGTTCGTACGTCGACACATATTCATCTTCGCTGCCGAGGGCATCGTCGAGCTCCTTCTGGAGCTTATGTTGCACGTGAGGATTGGCGGCGAGGTGATATGTGATGGCACATGAGGAGCTGAGAGGAATGGGAAAGGTGATCGACCATGATTAGCTAAAAGACTCACTTTGAAGTAGTGTCGGAACCGGCAATAAGCTGGGTGAGGGCTTCTGCGGTGAGTTCTTCTCTGCCCATGAGATTTCCCTCGTCATCGCGACCCTCTTGCAGCTTACTCAGGAGATCGACGCGGTCTGTTGGAGTTGTAAAACGTTTGGCGACAGCAGCGACTGCAAGACCAGCCAAATTTTTGACGGCTTTTCCACCTTTGCGGTACCAGGGAAGCATACGAACCCAGGGTCGCCACGCGGGAGGAAGAGCGCCCATAGAAGCGGAGAACTCTCCACGGTCGTTAAGAATCTGGACTGCGGGAATATCGACGTATGCACATTCATTCTGTGATCCGTAGGAGTTCATGACATCTTTCTGTGAAATAGCAACAGGGGCCGAGTCTTTGGCGTTTAAGAGCATTCCGAAGGGTGATCCGAATGCTAAGTCGCCGATGATATCGAATGCGAGATAGTTGTACCCTGACGACAAGGTCAGTGTCATTGGAAACCGGGACAGGATTGGTTCTTACATGGAAGGCAGTCAAGCCACAGACGGCCTCCATTGCCAAACCAACCGCCTTCTCCCTCTGTACCAGATTGGTTTTTGAGGGCTTCGTCGAATAAACGGTCCCATTGGTTCATGAACTGGGCAACGTAGAGACGGATGGATGGTTCGAACTCCAAGACGTTCTTTTGGGAAAAGACGTGGGAGACGATCTTACGCTTACGAGCATGGTCAGCGCGGTCCCTAGTGTTGAACAAACCACGATGAATGGAGACGAAGGCGTCATAAAAGTTTGATTTGAGGCTGCCGTTGCCGTGAGCATATACGATTTGCAGTGCGTCGGGGTCAGCAATGGAGACGTGATTTGGTGCGAGTCGCAGGAAGGTACCTATGGGCGGGAAGATGAGGATAAGGTGATGTGTTTGGGATAGACCTACCGTGTTTTTTGTGTAAGTTGTGTACAACGTCTGAGCGATGACCTTGACTTGCTACCCAACCTAACCAGGTGTCTGAAAAGCGAGCAAGGAATGGACCTGGTATGCTCCGTTGGTTATAAGGATCTCTGAGATAAGCGATTATATGGGCCAATATGATGGGTACTGGGACGAGGAGGAGAGCTGAAAGGTAGCTGAGTTGTTGAAAGCGAAGGGGGAGGAAGAGGGACGACATTTGTGAGCCGGGGTAATGGAGGAGACGGACCCTATTTACACCCAATGAATTTTATAACTCAGCATACGAAGATCACGGTAACACCCAAGTACTTGGCGTTAACGGTATACCGTACTCGTCTACGACAGGATGCAGGTCGCGTCTGAAGTAATAAGTAAGGCTTGCTGGCAGCTGAAGTGGTTGTGAGAAGTCGGACCAAGTATAGATAGAGCGTTCGCTCGGTCGGATCTTGGTACAACGGTAGAGAATTGAAGCGAAGTACAAATTGTCACTGCAGACGACGCAAAGTGTTCACTTCAAGGGTCATCATGTTCTTGATCCCGATTCAATTCAATATTGATCAGTTGCCGTGGGCAGAAGAGAAGAATGATTATGGAAGAAGACTAGACTCGGCTCGGCTCGCACCCTGGCCAGTTCCTGACCAGTGACCACTACAACCCCCCCGGGGGGACAACTATCAACGGACCCATAATCGATCCCCGAGCCTCGATTATGCTCATAGGGTACTCCATTACATATTAACGTTTAGATCTGAACATACTCGAAGAATGGTTCAGCCGTTAGCCTTACAATGATAATCAGGTACTCCCGAGAGAATGGCGGGTGACCCCACCCCGGGTGATCAGTTCAAGTTTGAACTTACATCCCTGCACGCGCTTCCTATTTTAGTCAGCTAAGCCCCTTCACATTATCAGATCTTCTGCTCGACAACTGACCCAGATAACAAGCTTGTCCAGCTCAAGCCTCACATCAGGGACCTAGATCAATCCTCGTGATGTCACTCACTCATGGCACCAATCTCACGACATGTCAAAAACACGCATAAGCGTGATGGACTTCAAAGACGCTCACCTTGCCGAGTCAAATTTCTTTCTTTCCCTTCTCTCCCGCATATCAACCTTCCTTCCCTCCATGTTTCAGTCTCTCTCCTTCGTGGTATCATCTTTCATCCTGTCAGGCTATGCGCAAAGTCCTACTTATTCCGCAACTTACTTGCCTTCAAACGCTCCCTATCAGAGCGAGCAGGGTCAGACAGGTTACAATAACTGCACCGCTGGCTACGATCAGAACTCACAGTGCCAGAATGCTTATGGTGCGCCACAAATCGCTGATAACCATCCTTGACCTGACTTGGCATGTCACCAGTCAACACAGTTCAGGACTGGTGTGTCTGGGCGCCTCCTCAGCCAGGCCCCGACTCCGTCATCGGGAACACTGAGGTATGTGTCTTGACTTCTTGGTTCAGCAATCGCGAACAAACAACGTGCATCCCTTGCAGCGAATCGAAGTAGCATGGTGCATGAAGGTGATTTGCCACTATATTTAGTCTCCCAAATAACATAGTAATAATCTCTCAGAGCGGGTACGGAACACGACTGATCCCGGACGGCTCCATCACCGGTGCACACGTTGTAGTCACTCCAGACTACGTCCAGGTCACAGGTGGGTATATCTCATAGTACAAACCAAGCACCCACAACTCCAACGTGAACCCAGGCGTTGGAGATCTCACCAACCTCAACATCCCCGCCGGCGACGGCGGCGGCGAGCTTGACCCCCACGGCGCAGACGGCAATGGCAACCCTATTGGCGGCCTCGTATTCTCTAGCGCATTCGGCGCCTTGGAGGAAATTCACGAGTGGACGGTAATTTACCGATCGCTCGGCCAAACCTCCCCAGCGTCCTGATTGAGTTTCTTTACTTTTTGCGCATCCAGAATTTCGTGTCGGCTAATCAGTTCTGCTTCCGCGCTTGCAAACCCGCGGTAAACGCGCCGACCATGTGCCAGCATATTTATGACGTCATGGGATGCGAGTGGAATATGCCTGCTAATTACGCTCCGGGGGTGTTTGAGCAGTGTTTGGGTGACTCGGCTCAGGTGCGCGTCGGTTTTGTTCAATGTGGATTTGTATAGTTGAATATTTTTGAAGCCTATGGGTGTTTATGGGACGTCTACGTTCTACCAAGGGGAGCCTGTCACGCCATCTGCGCATCCCATCCCCGCTTCTTCCAGTTGCACCACCTACAGCACAATCAGCAACGGCCAGGGCGTATTAACAGGGGGGCTCACATCTTCAGTCAGCACGGCAGCAACCAGCACATCAGCATCAGCGCCCAACTCAGCATCAACGACTGTGGGTACTCATCACATTTCCAATTTTCATCATCACTCGTGCCTCAGGCACAATCACCAACATAGTTCTCTTTGTCATTCTTCTGCCATGCCGGCGGCGTCGTCCACTTCAATTTCACAAGACTTTTCAAATTCTGTGCTTTCGTCGTCGCGTTACTCGCATTCAAGTCTTTCTTCTTCGAGTTTTGCAAGCACACAATCATCATCTTCTCTTCTCTTCTCTTCTTCTCGTCCGACTTCATCTTCTCTTCCGACCTCTTCTTCTTCTCGTCCAACGATGTCTTCTTCTTCTCGTCCAACAACGTCTTCCTCTCTTCAAACTTCGTCGTCATCTATTGATCCTTCATCTTCATCTTCCCCTTCCCCTTCCCCTTCCTCCTCATCTTCCATCGTATCTTCCTCTCCATCACTCTCATCCTCCATAATAAGTGGTCAGAATAGCTCACAACAATGCCCTCTTCTTATTCAGGGCGCCTTAAAATCATCGTCATCAGGAACAGGCGCACCACAATCGACGAGTTCGTCAGCAGCTCTACCGACGGCGCCTCCCGTTGGCTGGCAACGCCTGGCTGTGTTTGTTTCGACAGTCGCCATAGGGTTCTCAATGGGAGCAATTAATATTGTGGCCTTTTAGCGCTCTGCTCAATGAAACTTTTGGACTGACTATTTCAATTACTTATTCTCTCGTGTTACTTATCACCTATCGACGAATGGATAGTTCTCAGGATACTGTTCGAATACATGAACTTTGTTGCTATGTGGTACATATGGTGTTTCTTCAAAACTATACAATGGCTACAATGAAACCAGACCATTTTTTACAGAGGCTCGATGTGCGGGAGTGGCCCAGCGGCAACTACCCTGGTGGGGTTCACCTGCCGAGTGTGAACATAGGTGCGCTAGAGAACGGACAGCATAAAATTACGCACCAGTATCTGTGACCAGTAGTAATGCTCTTTGATATGATCGAACTTGGTGCTTGATTTGAAAGCGTCGTTGTTCCAGTACAACTTCTTCATCCAGCTGAGGAACGTGAGTCTGTCAGGCAGGCGTCACGGGGAGATGTGTGGCAGCCTTACAGGTTGATGTTAGGGTACCCGTGACGGATATCGCGCAAGTTGCATTTGAAGTGGCCTACGTACACGGGATCGAAGCGGATCTGAGTAAAGCGGAAAGTTTAGAGCGGGGTGGAATGAATGTATGCGTGCATGTTCGAACGTACGGTTGTGACGAATAACCTGATGTCTGCTTCGGTGAGGGTGTTGCCCACGAGGTAATCCTTGCCTTTGAGTATCTCCTCGAGTCGGTCGAGGGATTTGAATAGAGGGAAGACGGCATTTTCGTACGCGGATTGGGATGCTGCGAACCCGGATTTGTACACGCCATCTGCAGCATATGATGTCATTGGAAAACCTCATCCATAGAGACTCATACGCACTGTTCACAGTGTCATACACCCACTCATTGATACTGTCGATCTCCTGGCGGTGTGCCTCGGGGTAAATATCAACCGCCGCTTTATCAGCAGGAAGCAAGTGATTAAAAGCAGTATTGAATATGCGGATAATTTCGGAGCTTTCGTTGTTAACGATAGTATTGAGCTTCTTGTCCCACAGCACCGGGACCGTGAATCTGGATCACTGTATAGTTTGAAAGTAATGGGGAAAGAGTGGGGGAGAGACGTGCCTGCCGCCGTAGTTCGGATCAGCGAGGAGGTAGAGATCTTTGACGTGCTGGAAGTTTGGGTGTTCTGGGTCGTTATCTGCGTCTGCCCAGCTTGGATCTGCGTTCTTGAACGGCCAGCCTTGTTGGCCCATGTGAGGGGACACTGCGGAAAAAGCTGCAGGAAGGTATTATAGATTCGTCAAGTACACGGAATGGGATAGGACTGACGGATGAAATCCTCGAGTCCTTTCAGTTTCCGAGTGATCAGAGTTCTGGTAGCCCATGCTGAGGAATGTTCAGCCAAGATGAAACTACATGATGTCACGGTCCTGTCACTGACGGCATGAATAAGATACATAAAGATGGTATCTTCCTGGATGTGGAATGAGCTTTTCAACAAAGACACATATACATTTGTTATTTACCTTTCTCCGGCGTGAATTTGCCATCGTTCTTGATAAAGTTCCTGAAGCTCGCTGCAGCTCTTTTGAAAGAGCCGTCTGACTCTGTCTTCAATTTACCGATGTCGCTCTGGCCCGATACGTCTGTTGTGGAGGTCATTGTTCGTATGTGATGGTAGCCTGAGAGCGATGAAGGAGATGGTCGTGGGGAAGGAAGTGCAGTCAGGGGTTTGGAGGAGCGGCTTATAAGCATCAAAAGCCTAGAGCCATACATGGAAAGATGGTTGCACAAGCTAGAGCTGTGAATCGGCAAGTTTGTCCGCCACGGTCCGTCATGGTAAGCAGCGTTTCAAAATCACGAAGATTTGTCAACTCGTCCATTAATCGCGTTTCAGACTCTGGTTCAAGTAATCGGCTATATAACAAAAAGACGCAATACCAGCGCGAAAAGACGACTTGATAATGTGCATTGGAAATCATTAATATTGTTCATTCCCGCCGTCTGTGCAGTACTGCAGAATGGCAATGCGTGCGATGTTGTCGGTCCGTCTATGACGCTGAAGCTGCGGCGCATTCGCAATTATCGGGACATTACTAAGTTGAAGTTTGCGACAAGTGCGAAGCTTGTCTTCGCGGCCGATTTCGACAAAGTACGGAAAATTACCTTTTCTGGTATGTTTTCCGGTGATTGCCGAATTACGCCCAAATTGCGTCCACCGTGATCAGGGGTTAACGCGTTAACCACTAGTGTGGGCAGAATTCGAACTGGTTATGCCTCCCAGGTGGCAGAACTCTGCGAAAAATGGCTGGCAGAGAACTAGTGCAATATGTGCATGTACGCGTTTAATTTCAAAAATGTGAAGCCGTAGACGCTCATCCTTTGTACCAGAATATCATAGGTCCATGCTGGTGGCCGCACAGTGCCAATGATTGTATGATCCCTAATCAACGATATAACTTTGAGTGTCTCGACTCTCAACCCTCGACAACTCCCCTGGTGCTAAAATACAAGGTCGCGACAATAATCTGCCTAGCCACATCATACACCACTTCAGAGATGCTACTCTTGACAAAATACAAGGTCGCGACAATAATCCGCTTACCCATATCATGCGCCACTGCAAAGATGCTTCGCCGACAAGCCCGGACATTTATTATGAACAAGACAGGTGATGATGATGATCAAGTTCTCTTACACAGCACTTCTCTGGTTGCTTCATCCAGTTCTTGCCCAGGATACGGAAGAATTTTTGAGTATTAAAAATGCAGAGGTCCTTGGAGGGAAGGCATTTGATTTTGCCGAATTGGAGCGGATAGTACCCCAAGCTGCTATAAATGAAGTCGATGTTTTTCTGCCAGTTCTGCTGGTTGTGCCGGTACAGCCAACCTCAAGTAGTTTTGCCCACGACACTAAATGCATGGCAAAGAATTTATTGTAAGTCGTGACGTGAAGCCAATTGTGGAGACATGTGTGCAATGCGGAAGCCTAACTAACTTTGCAAGAGATCCTCATTACCCTACGTGCCCGCCATCCCGACAACGCCCACATGATCACGGATTTTCGCGATTTCACTAGCTGTCAACCCTCCTTTGCTTGCCCGGAGGAAGTCTTCAAACGCGATGAGCGCATCAGTGTCGTTACTGAACTCCGTCCTGATGATATATGCTTAGTTGCGATCTGAGAATACACAATCATTTGACACACCTCAAGAAAGAGTACACACGATCCCAGAAGGGTGGCTCCGAGATAACAGTCTGATAGCTTGATCGCGCTGCACGCGAAATTGAAGCGGTGGGTATCAAGGACGTGTCAAGGGTCAGATCAATGTCGTGAGGTTTGCCCTCCGGCTCGAGAGAAGCGATTGACGGTGATGGCGACAAGACTATGGAGGGCGTGCGTGTATGTCTATGTCCTGTTGCCAGTTTCGGTTGCGGCGTTTTTATTTCGGGAAGATTAGAGGGTTTCATCTTTACTGGTGAAGTGGTGGACGGCGATGAAACTTTAGTAGGATCCCAATCGAACCCGGGTTTGAGCATTAAATTTATAGTGTCTCCCTCTTTCACGCCGTATTCCTTGAGCAGCTTTGCGTCCGCAAGTGCCTTTCCCTTGAGTAAAAGACGCTGTGCTTCTGCAAGCGGTGCCTTCGGCTGAGAGGCAAGCAAGGCTTTAACTTCGGTTACAGTATCTGTTGGCTGCACGGCAAGCGTGAACGACTGCGGAGGCTTTGTCGATTTGAACGTAATACTGATTGATGCGGCTAGTGATCTCTGGTTAGATAGCCATCAGTGATAGCGTCAAGATGAAATCTACCTGGTGGTGTAGAAGGCTCTCCTTTACGTTCTGGAACAGGTGGAAGCTCGACCTGAAACAAGTTTCGCTTAAGAACATGCCATGAAACACGATCCTCGAGCCAAACACGTACTGGTAGGATAGGGACTTTCTTTAGTGAATTCTGCGGGGGCTGGTTGTAGTCGTCACTGTACACAATCGGCTGAGCTCCGATGACCTTTATGAAACTCCTGACGAAGACCAATTCTGCTTGATCAGCCATTGCTCTTATACGATTAAGACAAAGAGCAGTGCTCGCGGTGTGGCGGTGCAGTTATGATGGAGTCTGTGACTTCTGTCACGTCTTCCATTACATGTGACCGTGACCCGGAATCCATTCGCGTCACGCTCGTTTCTCCTCCCAAAGCTCGATGGCTGTATGTTTCTCATCTGGTAATAACAAGTCTTTCACTAACATATTGCTTGCACGCAGTCAGGTTTCAGTTACACCGGAGGTGCGTATTATTCGCAGTCAATCATGTTGAATGCTGAACATGTTGTGTTTAGGCCGCTCGCGGTGTTTTGCTTATTGGCAAGAATTCTCGAAAGTAATACCCGAGAGTACCCGTCCATGGAATTAACTTCTTACAGTTGATATTCACAGTGTTACGCTGACGCTGATGCGCCTAGTCAGTGCCGTCTGCAGGCGGATGACTACATAGAGTGCCTCCACCACACGAAAGAGGTGAGTGTTCCTGCTGTTTGCCGTATTTTGCCTCATGTCCTTTTTTTCGTGCAGATTGCGCGTGCAAAAGCTGTAAAGGCCGAGTTTATTAAACAGGCAGAGCACCATGCCAAAGAAGGCCGTAAAGTGGCCGATGTTCTCGCAGACGGCGTGATTGTTGGAGTGGGGCTGATACAACGAGACAAAGGCGAGGAAGGCAAGCACAAGTAGTGTACTGAAATACCCTTTGTCGCTGGTTCGACTTGCACTGCTCCGTCTTTCCGCATTCTTTCCTGCCTTGAGGCTGTCTGCCGGAGCGTTAAGCCGATCAATTGCTGATTCGAATGGAAACCACGTTTTTGGAGGTCCTACCTTGCGGCTGACTGTAGTGATTACAATATTCCAAACAACGTGTTTCTGGCATGTTTCTTGCACTTTGTACTCGCCGTTGAGCTCGATCCTCCCCTCAGTGGCGGACTTTAAACGAACCCATGAGATCGACTCTGAGAACGTTTCTTAGTTCGATACACCTTGGTTCCCGACCATCAAATAGTTCAACAGATTCTCAGACCACCGACCGTACCATGGTCACTCAAGGTGTCGGTTCTATCAGTTCCCCCATCGTTATTTCAGACGATGAGGACGAAGCTATGATAGACCTCCAGCTGCGAGTTGATTCGGATTCTGTGGACGGCGACCAGAATGATCGCCTGCGTACTCCACCAGATGGTAATTCAGAGGAGTTTTCCATGGCGAGCAAGGGTTATGCTATGGCCCTAAACATGGGCTATTGCCCAGGCCGCGGTCTAGGACGCGGTCTCGACGGTGAGTGCCGTTGTAGCGCGCGTCCTTCACTCACCCAGATGGTATTCGCTCTAGGTCGAGTGGAGCCTGTGTGTCTTGAGGTTGGTCAGAAACGCAAACGGGTGGACAGTGGCATTGGATTCCAGCGATATCAGCCGTACATGACTAGCTGGCCGCCGAGGAAAGGTGATGGTAAGCTAAACAAGAAAAGGAGAAAGGAACAACAGACGTTTGGAGCTCCTCCGCGAGGTTTCAGGTCCCAGCAGCATGGCGCGTTGCAACCCACATCGCTCGCCGCCCCGACTGGCCCTGCGAATACTAATCAAGGGCCTTGGGCAGCGCTCGCTTCAAGTAGGAAAGGCAAAGAACGAGAACGACTTACAGCCCCGTCGCCACCGATCCCGGTGCGGCTGCCTGCGCCTCCTCAAGGCCCTAGGTCGAACATTCCGTACAGTCCTCCATTGCCTTCCGTGTCTCCGCCTAAAGGACCTCGTAGCTGGCTCGCGTCTCAAGCCCAAGCTCAGTCCCCGCCCCTGGCCCCTCAAACTCCACCCATTGCACCACGGACACCACCCACTGCGCCACGGGCCATGCAGCAGCAACAACAACAGCACCTTGCGAACAATGGATATGCCGGGCCTTCCGGTATTGCATCCCCTGTACCGCAGCCTGGTTATCCCCAGGTGCAAACACAGCCAGCTAACAGCTACGCTGACGGGCAGCCTACAGCCATATCGCCTGCTCCACAATCTGTGTTTCAGCAAATGCAGCAACAACAGTCGCAGAGTGCCATGTACAACCCTGCATTCACGGGCGCTCCGGTTCCATATTATACCGGAACAGAACCGTCCGAGCCATGGCCCACACAATATGGCATGGTGGCTGCTGCAGTGCCACCGCCTCCACCTACCTATTTCATAGCGTACCCAGACTACACGAACCCGGGAGCATATACATACGTACCTGTTGTCCCGACTGCTCCTGCTGGGTATGCACCCATATCAGCACCTGCTCCTGTCGATCCATCCGCCACCGCGGCAGCTGGAGGTGCTACAGGCCTGGCACCGTCCAATGGGCTTGCTCCCGTGGCTGCTGATGCATCCATGTCTACTGCTGGTTTTAGCCAGTCCAACGGATATCCAGTTATATCCGCCACCGATCCTGACCACAATGACGATCGCTCGGAATCTTCAACGCCTGAGCCGCCTTCTTCCAAGAAACCGCTCGGAGAGCGGATACGGAAGCCCAAGCTCCTCCACATCGGGCATGCGCCGGAGGCAGATCCTAATAGCAAGACGGGGACGTATGCGAAGCACCTCGCCTCGCAGCCGAACCCCTCATGTACGCTTGTACTGGACAGCATCCCGACGCGGTTCCGTAACCCGTCGTGGGTGCACAAGTGGGCGGTGAATGCAGGGGAAGCAGAGCCAGTGTGCGTTGATGTGGATGTGAAGAGCGGGAAGTCGCTGGTGGAGTTTGTGGATTCTGCGTCTGCCCGGAAGGCATTTCAGAGTAAGCAGCTGAAGGGGAAAGGGAAACACGCGATTCGGGCGTGGTGGTATAGGGTTACGGGGGTGGGCTCTAACGCTGGTGTTGGCGAGATCGAGGAGGGCGAAGTGGAGGATGGGAGCACGAAGATAAGCGAGCCGGTGGCTCAGTTGAGCAAGAAGCAAAAGAAGAAGCTGCAGCGGAAGCAACAGGTTGGAGCGAACCCTCAGGCAGGTGCAAGTGGTGCACAGGTTGCTGCGAGTGAAGGTACCACTATCGACGAACAAGCACACGCACCATCTACTGGGCGGGAAGTGGCATCTATCGATGCACCAGCCCCTCGTGGACGTCGGTTCTCGTTCGATGATTTTTCTATTCGCTTTGAAGTTTCTAGTGGTTCGCAGGATGGTGTCGGGGTTGGTCATTTTATCCAAGAGGACGATGAGGACCATTTGTCCATTGCATCTTCACGACCACCCTCTACTCAGCTCGTCATATCCCACGACGACCGAGGGGAGGATGTGGAAGTGTGCTCGCCAGTAGTGACTAGCCCCATGCCTGGCGTTTCGCGATCGGCGAGTGAAATCTGTCGAGACCGAAGTGCGACTGTGGACCCGCCCAGGTCTGTGGACGTGGACGTGGGTTCTGGAATTATTCTTGTTTTATCAGACAATGGTCCACATGCATTGGATTCAGAGGCCGCACATCCACAACTGGATATGGAACCTGCGGAAGTCCCAACGATGTCCTCAATACTGCCATCTCCCGAGCCCCAACCTATCTGCTCTGATCCCACTTTACTTTCTAACCTATCATCGTCTCTCTTGTCTACAGAAGCTCCTACCGACGAATCAGTGGAACAGCCACACTCAGCCGAAGTCGTGCCACTCACACCCCAAAAGGAACTTGAAGAAGATATTGCCTCTCTTGAATCTACGCGAAGTGTGGAAATTTTTGACATGACCAACAACCCCATCACATCTACTTCCACCGATTCCAGCTCCCCCTCACAACTACCTGTACCCTTGGCACGCGAACCGCCGATGGACAAAATCGCTCATGAAATGAACTTGCGAAGGCTCGTTCATGAAAGCAAGCAGAACAAGGCAAATGCCCGCAGTACAACATCCTCTCCCATGTCCACACATCCCGACACACTTCCCCCTGCCCCATCCGCTGTCAACGGTGATGTTGCCCTTGCGCAAACCAGTCCCACCGTTTCGTCAGCAACGTTTGTTCTGCCTGTCTTGTAGGATTTTTATTGACGCTGACTTTCGACTAGGAGCTTGGAAGACCTTGCTGTGACGTTCATTTCAGAGACAATAGAAGGCATCAAACCGACGGCGCTCAAACCACCAGCGCCCTTGACTACACGACAGGAAATGTTCCAGAAGCAGCTGAAACTTGAGCAATACATTTCGCGAAGCAAGGAGCTTATTGCGGAGCTCAGCCAGGCGCAGAGCAAGGAGGAGAAAGAAAATATTATGTCCGCGGTTCGTGAGTGGAGCAGGTATGTGAAGTTCGGAATTCAGGGACGATGTGGGTAGGGCTAAGCCGCGATGCAGATTGATGGAGATGGATTCGGTGGGTGTGCCGAGCAAAGCGCCTATTGTGACAAGTAGGTTTTGTTGGCCTTGCTCGTGCGAGGAAACGGTGCTGGTCATCAGTGATGATGAGGACGAGGAGTGAGGAGATTGGCCGTCGTTTGACAGGCCTTGGTAAGTATGTTAGATTTTCCATTCATTCAGCATATTGTCAGGTTGGGCGTGATCACTGGGGACTTGGATACATTGTATACTTAATGACACGAAATTTGTTCATTCAAACAATTTTTAAATTGTATATAAAACACTGCATCGAGGCAAGCTGGCTGTGATCTGGCTGGGCGCCCTCACGGTCTCGAACGATGAAAGGGCTGAGGGTAGCGAGCACAAATTATACCCCGATATCAGACCAGATCTACCAGGCTGCCCTCCACAAAAGCACAGCACTATAGATAGCACGCTTAAAAATCGCAGAACTCAATAGCGAAGCTGCTGGGAACGCGGTCTTCCTTTTCTTGGAAGCATAGAACGTCGCCCGAGGTCAATTGTTCTGAAAGTAGCTGGGCTCTAGTAGCTCAGCGGCTGTATAGACTAACTATATATTCACATGCTCACGATAAGCAGCGGAAAGTGTCTTATCGGTACAGATTGTTACAGTCAATGTCTGTCTGTCCGTGCCCATGCCCGCCAGTTCAACACTGACAAGACCAGAATTCAATAGAACTTAGGGCTTGTTCCGTTAAACGGTTATCACAGAATTGGCAAGGGCAAAGGTACAAGACTAATCCGAAAGATACGCGCTGCTTGTGTCAGCGACCGGACCAAACAGGATACAAACATCATAAATAGCCACAATCTCCTGGCTTTGTTACTTGCCCTTCTACCACCACCGCATTCCCGCTCATCGTCGTATAAACGCATCTGTAAGTCCTCTTCCAGTTTTCATAGGGCATTATCTTGCTCACTATTATGCCTGTTTCATATTCCACTCTCTCGGTGTCGCACGCAACGATCCTGTGTCTATGCCTACGCTTTAATCATATCGTCTGATCATGTGCGATTCCGGTCGATCTCTCGGCGATTCTTTCTGGCTTGTTGTTGCAGTCTCGAATCTTGTATAACAACTCTTTGCCATGGCCTTGAAGCGCATTAACAAGGTCCGTTTGTTGCTACTTGTGTGCCTGTGGCGATGCTCGCGCTCAATTCTGACATTTGGCGCACAGGAATTGATCGACCTCGGACGTGACCCACCCTCATCCTGCAGCGCAGGTCCTGTAGGCGACAACATGTTCTCATGGCAAGCAACAATCATGGGCCCTGTATGTCGTTTTGCTCTTGCTTATGGTGCTATGCTGATCGAGCGCTTCTGACTTTGTAATAGACCGACTCACCGTACTCGGGCGGGGTTTTCTTCCTTACAATCACGTTCCCAACCGATTACCCCTTCAAGCCACCCAAAGTCAGCTTTAGGACGAAGATCTACCACCCTAACATCAATGCCAATGGATCCATCTGTCTGGACATTTTGAGGGATCAGTGGTCACCAGCGTTGACTATATCGAAAGGTGCGTAAATATGCTATACTCTCATTCATGTGGCCTATATCGCGCTTTGTGCAGTGTTACTTTCTATTTGCTCGATGTTGACGGATCCCAATCCCGATGATCCTCTGGTACACGACATTGCCCATCTGTATAAGACCGACCGTACCCGCTACGAAGCAACAGCTCGGGAGTGGACAAGGAAGTAAGTACCAGCGATATTCAGTATCATATCATCTCATCTCATAAATCTATTTCAGGTATGCCACGTAGTATGGTGTCCAATTACTTCTCTAAGTGGTACATGAGTTGTATTGGTCAGCTGTATGAAAGTGCATCAACATCCGTTGTACATCATTGCATGTCTATGTTTTAGTATCCCCCCCTTTCGCTTGTTTGTACCCAATGAACGATGAATCGCCTAGGAATCCGTCTCAGTCTGATACTGCTCTGCTAGTCCATGTCAGGTCGCTCTTGCGCGCTCGAGTTCGCTGCTGTGCCATGCGTCCGAGTGATTTTTGCGAGTGTTATATGCCCAAGGGCTCATGAGACTCTTGGCGTGGTGTTTAGTTTGGCAATAAAATAGGTGTTGAGCTGCACTGCCAGGCCCTGTGGCAATAACTCGAAACGTGGGTGCGCACTTTAAAATTGTTGTCTTGCAACGGCTTAAGCGCTTGCCACCGATGGTCAGTGTTAAAGACATAATATTGCTACTTCCTTCAAACTCTGACTCCGAATGGTTTAGGACACCTTCATTATGGACGGGAGCTCAACATTCCGCTAGCAACTTGAAACGCTTCATCCAAGATGAGACATGTCTTAGAAAATGTTTTGATGCCTTCCTGGTGATGTACGGATGCTATTTTTCAAACTTCTAACTGCACGCAGATATCCAAAACACGAAGCCGACTACTTGCAAGAATGCGTCGTGCTTAATCGTACGACGTGCCCGCCTCGGCGAGTCGGCGTGGCGGCTCAACCTTACTACATTCAGCACCGCTTTGCCTCATGTGTCAAATGGAGTCCAAAATAGCCTCACCTCAGGCTAGCAATGACGACGGTATGGTATGAAGTGTGTATAGCCCGTTAACACTTGACGCCTATGCACAAGCACATCCTTCGTGGCCATGTTGCGCGTAACCGTGCTGCTGCGTGCGCCTGCGGCCGCCATTGCACCCGTCGGATGGATCACGGAATTTTATCCTCCGGATTTACATATGCTGACCATGCATTCTCCCTTGCCGCGTAGTAATTGTACGCGTCAGCCGTCCTTGTTCTCCAGTGCGGCTAGCCTTGTAATGACAGGTCGCAGATTGCGGTGTGCTCAAATGCCCCTGTTGGCGTATAGCAAATTGCGCGTATATGAATGAATGCATGGGCTGCTGTTCAATCCGATTTTTAACACATAAGCTCTTCATTCACTCAGGTATTTCCCTGCTCACATCTGTAGCCATGTACGGAACCAACCCATTCGCAGCGCAAGATGGATGGAACGCAGGGAACGGTCAGTCCGCCTGGGATACCAGCGTGCCCCCGCCGTCCGTCTTCGGCGCCCTCCCCTACCCCTCTGTATCATCAGCGCTTCCGGGCTCCATCACACTCCGTTTCACGTCGTTTAGCCCAACGATTATGAACTCCATGGTTATCGGACCACGCAACGAGACATATTTCCGCGTCGTAACAGACGGGGGCCACACGCTGCTCAAAGATTCACAGGGCTCAAATATTTCTCTGTTGGAGTGGCGGGAGCACCCCACAATCGAGGTGCGCGGTCTGGTCACCAAACAGCCCACGGGCCAGTGGCTCAGACTCTCGACGGAGAGGAGGTGCGTTTGATTGAATTTTCAGGAACGCAGGTTGTCTCATTCGTGTAAAATTCGGTAGTCATCGATTCATGGTCCACAACGGTGTTGGCTACTCCTGGAGTCCCCATGACAGATTTCTCCAGGTAGGTTGGATATTTTCCACCGTGCAACCATAGCTGATCCGGGTGCTGTGCTGCCAACCAGCTATCTATTCCGGGCTCATACGACGTACTCGCTCGAGTGTCGAAGACATACGATACTGTGACACTAGAATTAACACCCCATGCGATCCAGCTTGGGCTATTGGAGCTTAGCGTGCTGGCAACACTTCTATTGCAGTGCGGGAAGAGCATTGACTGAGACAGATTTTTAGTGTTTTAATGGCACATAGATGAGGCATAGATGGCTAGTATTTATTCGGACACAATTATGTTATAATAATATTTATTCCTGTCTAATTGACTTGTTTTCATCCTCCTCCTGGTACTCCAGCGCCCCAAGGATGAGGTCCAGCGCGGTAGTCAACTCCTTCCGGTGCACGGCAAGACCCTCTGCCATCGCATTGTTGAGGGCAAACATATCCTCCACCACATCAGTTAATTGCGCAACTTTCTCTGCCAGCACCTCCGGGGCGGCTACCGCTGGCGCCCTCTCATCATTATTGCTTCTCAGGTTGTTACTATATTTCGAAATCCGAAGGCGTGTCGTAAGATCCAGGTAAGTGCTACGTTCCAGTCTAACAGGCTTAGACTCCATGGAGAAGACTGTCTTCCTTCTGTTAGGGTCTGCGTACGTACGGGAGACTAGTTGTCCACTAAGCCAGAGACTGTAAAATTTGATCGAGTGCTCTTAGCAGCTGATGGACACGCATAGGTTTGTTGCAAAAGTGAGCTGTGTTCCAATGATTGGCGCCTTTACCATAAGAGTAACGTTAAGAATCTTCCGCCGATAGGCTGCAATATAACGAAACACACTCTTTACCAAAAGTAGTATCGGCCCAAACTCAACTGCCACTGCTAATCTCTACTGCCCGGATCATCATATGCGCGCTACTGAGGCTAAATAAGCAAAGTACAACCAAAACGCTCGCGACGCGTACCAGCCTTGTTCGTGCCGTTACGAATACCGGACATCTCAGTTTTGACCTTTGTACCTCGAGACGAGTCGACGACTCACATGTAAGTGGCGTTTTCCCTAGCAGTGTACAATCTGACTTGTTGTTAGAATATATTTTCATTCTTCCGCAATCACTCGAAATAATCTTATTAAGACTGTCTTCATCATGTCCGCGCTCGTCGACGTCGATACCCTCACCGTGGAGCAGATGACTGCTTTGGTGGCGCAGCTGGAGGCGAAAAAGAAAGAGGCAGTGGCGCGCCAGCGTGCCGAGGAAGATGCTAAGAGGAAGGAGGAGGAAGCTCTGAGGAAGGCAGCGGAGAAGAAGAGGGCAGAGGCAGAGGAGCGGAAGAGGGTGGAGGCGGAGGAGCGGAAGAGGGTGGAGGGGGACAAGAAGAAGACCGGGGCAGAGAGCAGTGTCCGATGTACGGCATGCATCAAGGCCAATGCGGAATGTACATCCTCAGCAGCGAGCAGGAGAATCCGAGTCACTTCCTGTGACCGATGCAGGGCTACAAAGTCTGCCTGCACGTTTTGCGGAAAGGCTGAGAAAACAAAGCGGAAGAAGAGGGCGGACACAGACTCGGAGGAGGATGAGGCAGAGTCGTCCCGCGGAGACAGGAAAAGGAGTCGCCAGCCATTCAAATTGGGCTTTCAGCTCCCACCCCCTTCCACCCCGGCCCAAGCAGCACTACCTGCCGGCCGAGTCCAACAGCCATTCAATTTGGGCTTTCAGCTCTTTCCTCCCTCCACCCCGGCCCGGCAGGGCCTGAGCTTGATGGAGGCTGAGGATGAAGTGGACGAGAGGGGACTTGTAGTGGCTGCCCTGGAGGTGCTGGCAGATAAAATTGGGCAGGTATCGGAGGAGTTAGCCGCAAACCGGAAGATGCAGCAGAAGATGGTTACCGTGCTGGACAATATTTTCAGAACTATGGAGTCCCGGAAGGAGGTTGACCAACTAGCTAGCGTTAAATTTGAATAGAAATCAGCTATTTACCTTGACATAAGGTTGTGTTTTGTTGTCTGTCGTCACGCGCCTGTGGTCTCGCATCAGTCAGAGCTAAATTTCCCGCCTTACATCAAAATTGTGGACAACTCAGGACTGTTCTCGTAAATGCTTGTTTTAATACACGTACACTGCAAGCCACTTGGGCTAACTGTTCGGAGCTACTAGTATACCAAACGCGTTTTGTCAATGGTCAGTCTTTCAAAGAGCACTCTTGGACCGAACCAGGTTTTTAGATTCGAATCAGATCTAGAACCGCATGAATATTGTCGAATGAATGAGTAGCTCGCTATCAGTCAACATTACGGGAAGAAGAGGTATTTACGACGGTTAGATACAACGATAAACGCGAAGAGCAATAAAACAGCGATCACGAGGCTTGAATCGACCTCATATATTTTTCAAAGAACGTCGTTTGTATGTGGCGCAGCTTAGTAGCTTCGTCAATTGCAGTCAACTTTATTTGTGACTGCGACTGCGACAGGGATCAAAATTCAGCTTCCTTAGTCAGCACGATGCAATGAAGAACGCACCAGTGCCAAGGGCTTCACGATATCAAGCACGGCTGTCAGGCCAGAAATCATCTCGGCCAATGCGACTTTGTGTCGTGGGTCGGATGAATTGGACAACACGTCGGGCAACATATTGATAAGTCGGGGCACAGTACGGGTGAAGTTTTCCAACTCCTGCTCCTCAACTGCATCTGGCACCGCTGACTCTGACAGCGAAGCGTGCAACTCGGGAATACGTGTCATGGCATGAGCGTAGTCCACGTAGGCCTAGACGGGCCATATGTTTCAGATAGATGGGTAGAGCGGAAGGAGAAATGCCATTACCTTGCCCCGAGTATGCCATCCATCGATGGTCTGATTGGCAATTCTTTCGAATAATGATATAAGCAGATCGAGGTCCTGCCGAATGACTGCTTCAGGTGCAAGCTCCATGACGGCAAGGTCGTGAGCCTGCTGATACAATCCTGCATTCAAGTACAGTTGGTAGGCCTCGAAAACTTTGCCTTCGTAAATGGCATACACAGCCTGCGCAAATGGGTGAGTGCGTGAGGGCGGAGAAGAAATAAAAATGCTGACCCTTGATTCATTTACCCAAGCCACAGGGATCTTGAGGCTTCCAAGAATCCCACTACACATCCACTCGTCCAATTTGTCGGCGGAGCGGTGAAGAAGGTCCTTGATCGCCTTTTCACGACTGTCATCACCGTGAGTAGCCATGATATACAAATTGACAACGTGACTCACCCTGCAGGTCCTTCAATGTGCAAAAGCACGAAAACAGCCTCCTGGAGCATGCCAAGTTGCTCCAGTTGATGTGCATAGCTGCTCGCAAGCAGGTCAGCACTTGGACTATGGCCTTCATGCTGATCTTGTTCATTGTCATCATCCGTGGCGTTCCTGCGCCTCCCTGGGTCTGCGCGATCGGCAAAGTCGCGGATGCGCATGCATCGTGATAAGATTATATACAAATGCCACGAGAGTGAATAGTCGCCTGGCGATGGCCCAAATGAGAGTGGGGAAAGGGTCTGTGATAATGAGCATGCAGGGTCTGCATGTAGGCGAATCAGAGAGAAGAGAGCGTCGGAAGGTGATGGGGTGGGAATGTTGAATGGTAACGGTTCTGATGAGGGCTCGAGGTATGACGGCAGCGGAGGGGAGACACGGAAAGGGGATTCTTGTCGTGATCGGTTGTATGACTCGAAAACCTGTGATATCGATGCATCCATCGGCTCAGAGAACCACAGATGCAAACCGAAGGTGCGTTTCCAGTCGAGACCTTTGACAGGGTCAACATCTGGACATTGCTCTAGACTACTGGCTTTTGAGCCCTCAACAACGTCCAGTATTCCAGCGAGTAAGGCGTAAATTTTGCGCGTGCTCTCCCCGATGTGCACGTCTATCCGCTGATCCCGCCAAAGTTGTATTTGTTCCTTCAAGTCCTCCCTGAACTCGAAGTCGCCCGAAGCCTGTGATATCAGAGTTGCGAGTTTGATGTAGCCGTTGTCCATTGCTACTTCGCAGGCTTTTTCTATTTTATTGCCTGTAAGGAGTGTGTAAATGCATGCAGCAGAGTCGCTAGAGGCATATTTCTTGATATCGGCATCCACAAGATGACCCACGGCCTCCTCAAGCCAGTCTGACAATGCAGCCTTCCGGCGCACTGCAGATATCCGATTGCGCACGTCAACTGTAATTTCCGGCGCGAGGTGCAAGTCGATGTTGTCGAACAACGCGCGACCGAGTCGGAAAAGAGACTGTTCATCAGAGTGATCGGAGGAAGGGTACAAGGAGACGAAAGAGGAAAAATCAAGTTCGGTAGATGAATCGGCGAAAGGGATTCCGCTTTCGTCTTTGATAATCGGCGTTTTGCTCAAGTGGTGCTGCAGCAGGCGTGAAAGCCGGAAGTTGGCCTCTTTGTGGGAACCTGCGAAGAGCGGTACGATTGTCTTCGTAATGACGGAAGTATTTGCAGAAGTGTCACTGTCGTAAATACACCGTCAACAATTGAAAATTATTATTGCATGAAGATGCACAAAGCTTACATTTGACTCGACGGAGCACAGAGTTGCCCAAGATGGACTAAAGTCCCACCTGGTCCCCAACCTACGCGGAAGGAACGACCGAACGCCAAACCAGCATCTACCAGACCATCTTCACAGCCAGCCACAGCAGAGGCTGAGATTTCCACCCGGGCATATTTTCTCGACGGCCGGTAAGCTGGTGGCTCTATGTCATGCGCAAATGAGGCCCTCTGCAGAACATAGAATTAATTAAAGAATCATAATAAAACAAAATACACGACATACCTCCTGTGAGTCCACCCGCAGCCCATCTCCAATGGAATCACGACTATGCTTTCGCCTGACTGTAGGCGGCAACTTCAAATGGGGTCGTGTTCCACGGTTCATAGCCTTAATTGCCACGGCCTCCTCAGGTATACGAAATAGTGAAGTCTGCATGACATGCATCTTCTGTGCGTCCACACCGACTTGTCTAGCCCATGGTATCACAGAAACGTCCTCTCGTTGCGTTGAAACATCCACATCGGATTCACCGGACGAAGCAGAGCCTGAACTTGTATTCTCCGACCCGTCCTCACTTTCGTCATCGGAATCCTCCGTCAAAGCGTGATTACGCGTCAGTCTTGAGCGAGTGGGGGCTAGATCGTCCTCTCGCATGTCTGACGAGCTTTCTTCCGAGGTTTCTTCGTCTGAATCTTGGTCAACTCCTATGTCCTCATCTGAACCAGCTTCGGCATTGTGGTCTTCCGATAGTTTGGGTGGCGACCGCACCGGGGACTTCTTGAAGTCCTGAAGCATATGTACATCGCGTTCGTCATCGCTGCTGTCGCTGACGGCGGCACTGAAACGTGTCATAGTGCACTCGACTTTGGCGGCCCAGGCGAAACTTTGGCAACTCAACAAGGCAAACCGAAAATCCGTGACATGCAACAAACACGAACAAACTATTGAAAAAGGTGTATTCATTGTCAAATTCAAGTCACGATCCAAGTTATCAGTTGACTCAAGCATCCGTCAAGCAAATCTACGAGCATGCTTTCCTCGCGCGTTGCCCAAGCTGATTTGTGCAGGTATAAGAGGCCCCTGCTTCACAGGAAAAAGATGCCAGCTCGTTGCGGCATGCTCCAAGTCACAGTCACGCTCAAGGCTCGTTGTATCGTCTGCTGCCGCCGTTCGGCCATCACATCTTGCAGAAATTTGACCATCCTTCGCCATGATCCATCAACTCGATCAAACTCGTGCCGTCTTTCTGTGGACTTGATATCGTTTTCAGCGGCTTGTATTGTTTGCATTATAAAATATACCTTTCTTCTACATTTTGCCCTAGTCCACATGTGCTAAATGACTAGTGGATCACGGATGAGGCTCTCTTGCAAGTCCACCTTCATCGATGCATCATTCAGGGAGATTCAGATAGACCCAGGATGTAGCTGCGAATCGATTCTTTCCATCCAAGATACTTTCAAGTTTCGAATATGATGTCTTCAGTACGTTTGCAGCCGGTGCATTTCGAATTCTGGCCTACTCATCTTCTAGATTATTCTAACCTAGACCTCGTATGGTAGCATCAAGTGGATCTTGCCTACGATTCCTGAGTCTTGAACTCGACCCATTCATTGACCCACATATACCTCGAAAACGACATGTACAAGTAGCGAAACCACACCATCTGCGAGTCGTGCGCTAGAATGGCCCTTGCAGTTGTGAAATAGTCCGGGATCCCCGAAATAAAGACGGGCAGTGAATCCACCGTTGGCTCAAAGGCTAATAAAGCTTGAGAGACGACGCCAAGTCGAGCAAGAATAGCGGACGGCGGCCCGGTGTATTTTGGAAGGACCGGCACTGTGACTAAACTGAAGAGACGTGGCACAGATGTATGCGATAAAGATGACAGGGATTTGATGAGGTGGGATGCACCTAATGGGAGCGAAAAGTGATTGGGATGCAAAGATATCCCTTTGATGTCGAAAGTCAGTACCTGCAGTGAAAAAAGGGTTAGTGTGTACACAACACCAAGTAAATATGATTCCTGACAGAAGTGATGTGGTGCTCGATTACAAATGGCCGAAGGACTTCAGCAATGATCTCTGCATCCCACTGCTGCGTTATGTTGTCTTGCAATTGTCTGAAACAACTCATGAAAATGTTATGGACTCTCTGTAACGGGATGACGCACGGATGCTCAACAATCCAACGTTTATCCTTCTCAACTCCGAGGATGTCTAAACTGCGCACAAGCTCTCCCTTTCGTCGTTCCCCGAGACCATCAGCGTTTCCGCTAGATAAGCATAAGGAGAAGATTTCAGGGCTTGAGCTGCTTCGCCGAAGCGCCAGAATTGTGGGCGCAAAGAAAAAACATTCGTCGTCAGGATGAGCAGTTAATAGGAGGACGCGTGGAGGAGATGTAGTCTGCTGACTCTGCTCGAATAACGCGTCTGTGTTAAATTCAGACGGTTTGTAAAGTACAGAAAGTAAGAGTGATACAGCTGCCAGAAGGAAAGGAAAGATCATAATAGTATCAAGTCAGTCACGGCGAGCGCCGAGAAGCTTGTACTGGCTGCAATTATTCAATTTGGCTTGCACATTCTGAACCAAAATATTGATAAGTCCCAATATTATTCGAAGAACCTATGGTAAATGTCGTCTGTAATGCATAGTTTATCAACGCGACGTGACATGAGCACCATATCATCTAGGATGTGTTTCAAAAACAATCATCATCTCATGCCATCATGTAGCCTATTCCCATCTCAGATACCGGGGTACGGGCCGCGCCGTTTACCTCCCCTGATTCAGGTCTCTGGGTCACGGTGATCTTGGGCGGAGCCTGCCGACTCACTGTCGCGCGCCTAAATGAGATGAGCGGTACGGATGTCCGAGTCACCTCTCGGGTAAGAGGCGGTGGTCCGCTGCGTATACTGCGAACAGAGACCACTGAAACTCGCTTCTTCGTAGAGGCAAACCAGCTGCGCAAACGAGAAGCCGGACTAGGGCGGCTAATATCCTTGCGCTTGTTGGTCTCTTGGCTAGTAGTCTCTTTGCTGGCTACTGTCGGCTGATCTGACTCCCACCACCACGGCGCACGCTTATCTGATGCTACGGATATGCACCAGACGACGAGCCCGCAGACAGTCAGTAGTACTGCGCCGACGATGGACCTAGAGACTGCATCTCCAGGGCGACACCATTCGTAGGAGAATGCCACAATGAAGAACAACATACTGGGGTTACGCTCAGTTAGCGATCGTCTAGCAGGGATAAACAACTTACCTCCACATGAGCAATGCGTAAGGAAGACTGTAGATAATTGCCAACTTTTCCAGGCCACGTTTTCCGTCATTCATCCGTTGCAAAAACCTTGACTGATGATATCCAAGGGCCAATGAGTAAAATGATAAAGTGCGCAGATAACAGTTCCTTACAGCCTCAGAACCACGATCCTTGCCAGTGAGATCCAGAGTGATGAACGTCAGACCCAGAGCAATAGAGCCGAAGCTAAGAACCAGTGACATGTAACTAGCTATCTGCGTCGGAGAACGTCCGGCGCCCGAGTCAACCGTTTGAATTGCAAGAAAACCAACGTTGGCACCAAGGAGCACCGTGCCCTAGAGAAATTCACTTCAAAATGATATTGTGAGAGCAACACTTAACTCACAAGAAGGTTAAGATTCTGGAGTTGCCCGTTCAGTCTCGTGATGAATATCTTCCACTCTGAGGTACTTGCGAGATCGTCTACAAAGCTAGTGTGCAGGGATCGAACGTGAGCAACGGGGGCCATGCAAAGGAGTGGAGCAAATATAGTCATGTAAATCGATGGCTTATAACTCCAGCCGCGCACTGTCTGGTCGACACTTAACCGAGCACATGGTTGACCATGGAAGTTCAGGTACTGATTGCGACCTGAGGAAAATTTGTTGAGATCTGTGATACTAGCTTTGATAAGAAACTCACAGAAGGTGTGCATAATCCGCCCTGTTAGTCTGCTCAGCGGCATGCATTATCTGAGATTGTAGTCACTCTCACCTATGATGACCACTGCATGCGCTCTGTCGCCGGATGAGTTCACTGAGGATCCAAATTACTACAACGAACAAGAAACATAGAGGTGGTATTACCTCGTATCCACTTCACAATCTCAAAGTACTGCTTGAGTTCATCGGTGCTCAATGCTGCTGCAGACCGTGTGGTTGTGAGGTGGTCTGAAGATGTGTTCAGATGATGAGCTACGTCTGTGGCTGAATACTAACCGCAAGTAGCGTGGAGCATAAGTTCCTTGAGCTCATCTAATACTTCTTGCACAACCATGCAAAGGTTAGGAAACATTTCCCAGTGCTTCCTGGAACGACGTTCGTTAAATTTTGGAATTTTAGACTAGCGAAGGTTGTCAGCGATAATTATCAAACAATGCATGTACGACGTACTGTGGTAGCGGTACACACCAGTATTGAGCTTGAACCGCTAGACCTGCAAAGATACCATACCATAAGACGGAGAGGATTGCCCACAAAATACACTTACGTTTGTGGGATAATGCAGTAACCCCCCGGCATTCCCCTAGCATATCCTCTGCATCATATTCATCTAACCAGAAAAGACATCTCTCTGCGGGGTTGACGAAGTAGTAGCAGCATATAATCTCCGAACCCTCAGCTTTCTTCGGCTCAAGAACTAGTTCCACATCGTCGTAGTCAATGTCAATCTTCTTTTTGTCGATGGCGAGGCGGAGTTCTCCGTGAAGATAATTGGAGAAGTAGATAATATCGTTCAATACCTCCATTGAACAGACATCTGACTCCGTGTATGTTCTCTGGGGGTCGAATCGTAATTGTTACACACCGGGAAAAAATCATCACTCACTGTTTGCGAATGCAGGAAGTAGCGGGCACCTTCCGGGTGTACATGCGCCGTCCAGCCTACAGGGAGAGTTCCGCTAAAACCACGACGAGAATGTTAGTGGCCGTAATTGGCGCTACAAATTTGTGGACTTTACTCGTGGCTGGGGTATTGGACTTGGTAAGCTTTAATCTTGTAGTCAGATATTGAAGCATCGCTAGCGCAACCTCAGTATCCGTGTGCGATATTTGTAAAGAAGAATGCGTACATCATGGCAAATTCCCTGGAATGTCGATCAAAACGTTTAACTCCATTCGCTGACATCGGAGCAAAACGCGGTCCAGTAGTGTCCCTCGAATGCGCATGGCCCGATGATGAAGTGCGTGGAGCAAAGGGAGCCTGTGAGCCATCAGCTTCCGATGCCAAAGCCGCGGCGAGGGTACCGGAAGATATAGCACCCATATTTGATGAGCTTTCATAAAGACTCGGAGTGGGGGAGCGAGGGCGTGGGGCTTGTCCATCGTGTTTTCGATACGAATTTCGTCCAAAAGACACATTTGACTGGGCGCTGCCTGGTCGGCTTATGGGTTCGCGGTCTGGTGAGTTTGGCACTGCCAATGTATGCCGACGGGGGCTCAGAAAAGACCGTGTGGCGAATAACGGGTCATCTGAACTCCCACCGAATGTGGCTGCACGATTGAGAACAGGTCGTGAAACGAATTCCTCTGGTGACACAGGCGTCCGTTGACTCGGTGAAATCTGAGAGAACTCTGGGTAGCCACTAAGAAAAGCCTTGTTAAACCTGGTGTTCACAGAAATGGGAGGACGAGTCGCGGCTGTAGGAGAAGTGGGAGAAGTGGAAGTAGGTGGTGTGCGGTCGGTAAAGGGCCCTCCCATTTCTGGCGGACCCGGCACTGTCAAACGTTCAGGACTGGACATGACTTCATGAGATGTCTGTTGCCTGGTTGGGCGGGGATGGGGTATCACAAGACGCGCAGGTGCGTCATATGGAGCGTCTGATGGGGAACATGGTTCACTAGGTCTGGCATCTGGAGTGGAGCTTGGGGGCAGTTGACTAGCACAAATATAATCGCCAGTTAACTGTATGGAGCGAACTTTGTATGTCGTTGCTGATGCCTTTTCTTCATCATCTTGAACCCGTGAGTTACGAAAGTGTCGGGTAAGGTTAATGAGGAGCTCGATTGCGCGGCTCAGAAATTGGTGAACGTGTATGATGGACGAACATTGTTGGAAGTAGCGTTGTATACGCATAATGACAAAAGAAAGCATCGAGTGCAGCTCAGCGCGTAGCATCTGTTAGTAGATAGAGGATAGAAAAAGGCCCAGTGCGTACGTGAGGAAAACCAGGGATGCGTAGGCAATGCTACGGACTCCGCGCTGTATCATTTCAGAAAGACGCATGTTGTCCACGAGGTAATGAAACAAGCGGATGTTAGCTAACAATCACAATCGCAGCCGTAGAAAAGGGGGGTCTGTGAAAACGAAGCGAGTGTGAGCGCGGAAATTGATCTGATACCGTCATGAGAAAACAAGTTCAAAACTTTATCACTCTGTTTTGATTCAAGAGGTAAAGGCGATGTTATCTACCGTATCCTGAAAGTGAAATGTCAGGAGTGGGAGGCCAAAACAACAACCTTCCTCCACATATCAATCGTCGAGCGGGGTCTGTGATAGGGTTCTCGAGGCTGTTTATGTGGGCGCACGTGCAAACAATGTGCAAGACTTCGAATTCCTCCAAACGTCGGAAAGGGCGTGGATCGATGGCTCGCAGCACTCATCGAAAGCCAAGTACTGCCATCGCCTCAATGGAATTTCCTAATGCTATCCGATCATTGACACATGTAGTCGACCAGAAACTGGAGTCAATTGCTTGCGCCGTGATAGTGGTACGAGCTAAGTCCGATCAACCACGGTGGCACGGCCGAGGCTAAGAAACCACACTGTTAGTTGCCAGCCGCTTTGAATCACGCACTTGGTCTCCATGAGCTGATGCAGCATCACCTTTGGAGGGAATGAAGGACCTACACAAAGTGCATATCATGATCATGATGCATGATGCAGTATGCAAGTTCAATTACGGTATGGATGAAAGTTTTATTGCAAATTGATCCTTCGAGATCGGGAAATGCCGCGTTCACTTAAAAAGGTTCGTCCCCCTTCGCTCCTGTCCCGCTTGAACTCACCATGACCAGCAGGGATTTCAGATATCCGTCGCCCGCCGACTCGCACGACTACGTATATGGTTTTTCAGACCACATTCGCCGTAAACACGGCGAACTAAATGAGGGCCTTGAAACTTCTCACCGGATACGTCTACCTATACCAGATATCCGGTTCGAACAGACATACCTTAGCCGCGTGCAGACGTGCCTTCATGTGGAACAAATAGCGGGAAGACGAGGCGGTGTCGACTCTCCGTTATCCACTGATGACCCGTTCACTGCTGCTACACACGTTTCACCAGTCATCACTTCATCACAACAAATTACACGCATCGACTGGGGAAAACTAGGTTGGATCACGGTTCGCGATCAAGTAATTATGCCGCTGCTGCAAGGGATGCTTTGGTGTGTTACATTCCCTGTAGTTAAACGTACCTTGATGGCTTCTGTTGTAGGGGTATCATTGGAACATACTACCACCCATTTGTTGGCGTTATGAAGAACAGTCTTCGCAGTAAACCTGCTTTACCCAATCCAGTGGAAGGGGAAGGTGTGGGATGGTTAAGGAACTGGGCAAAGAAATCGGGTCTCGGACAGCTTACAATTGGACCTGCTAGTACAACTCTAAGGTTGTAGTTTTTTATATGCATTTGGCGATTCATGACCTTCCATTCATCCTGCACACTGACAGTATGTTCTCTTTACAGAATTATCCCCGACTCAGCCCCTCAGTATCAAACGCTTTGAACATTGGGAAAATCCCCGCCTTCTGGGATGGTATCAGAGTGTCGGTAGCAATGAAGTCCTCGTTCAAGGGGCCTTGTTACATATCAATGCCAGTTGATCCGATCACTTCCCTGAGTCGAGGGAACTATGTCCGCGGGCAGATTGACAACGCCAAATCGACATCAAAGTTTTTGGTGGGAATGTTCTCAAGTACACGACACCAACTTCACGATGCCGTAGAATTTAGACCCATCAGCGAGGCTCGAGGAGTGTCAGTCGGACCGTCCGATGATGATTTCCGTTCACACGTCTATTCCTTCCACACTGGATCTAATCCAGCTCATCGCCCGTGAGGGTGTGAATGAAGCTTACATGAGTGAGCATTTCAAAAACCATTATTTAAACCAATTCCCCTTAGTTGCCTCTTTCATTCTGAGAAGAGGCTGGTTTAGGACAGAGCCCTGGGACCAGTCACCGTCGATCAACAATAAACGGATCATTGCGAATCACAGAAGCACAGCATGATTTACGCCGGTATTGAGTCTATCTGCGACGGCGCATCGTTAAAAGCCCCAAACCGGCATTACAGCACCAGGAATTCTGATAAGTTGGTGTTGGATGTTACGCTTTCACTAGACGGGCAGTATTCGTGGGCTTCCTGCTGCGCCCTATAGTCATTCCAGGCAAACCCGCTAACCCTGATGGGTGTTTCGCTCATTTCATGGCTTGCTCGTGGCACCCTTATCGTGCCAAGAAGCTTGTAATGCCATGCGTCCTTGATGCGTAGTGGGCATGGCGTCGTATGAGTGTCGTGAATAAATAAGGCATCACATATACCAAATTTGCCCACGGCGCAGCAAATGAAAATGCACGATTGTAAGCTGCCCTCATCGATCATCCAACACAAACTGGTAGGTTCATTGGACGGTAATTTCACAGTAAGCGAAAGGACCGACAGAGCCACTTTCGTCCCAAGCGAAAGGTTACATAAATAGGAGGCCGAGGTTTTCAAACGAGGCGGCTTATTTTGGAAGATTGCACCATAGCATTTATCAGACTCGGAGCAATGCACCAAAACACCGATTACACGATCTACCTCTCACATTGCTTGCGGCTTTATGTTGATGCGGCTTTTTGAGCTGACGAAAGAGAATATTGCATATAAATGGCAGTACGACAGACACTCTATCGACGGTAGGGTGAAGTTTTGAAATATAGACATCAGAAGAGCCCTGAAATCTCGTCAGTCGTCATTTATTGCTATGGTTGCTCGGGAAACACTCACAATATTGGGAAGTGTATTTGACAGTAATGATGGAATCTCCTGCTGCACACTGATGGGGTGGCTGACCTCCGTTGGTTTCCACCCTGAAAACTAGGCTAGCTAGTTCTCCCTCAACAGCCTTAACCATCAATTCATCAATATTGTTCGAGTTCGAACTAGGCAAGTCTCCAATTTTGGCACCGATGACATAGGCATTCGGATTTCCAGCTGTCACCCCGGATGATGTGAAGTCCCACTTTGGAGACAAACCGGACCCTATAGGGTTCGGAACATAATAGTGTTGTCCCAGCACGGCAGGATCGGGCGTGAGCTCCAGGGCGGTGATAACTTCCTGAATTGTTATACCAGTAGTAGCAGTCCACACATCATATGCTATGGTTGGAACACGGTCGAAAGCAGGAGTGCCATATAAGCATGAGCTGTCGAAGATCTCTGCGACAGCCCCGATAAGTCTGTATAGCTATCAGCAATCATGGTGTTAGAGGAACAAGACTTGAACTCACGCATATGTGGATGAGGTCGCATTACAAGTGTAGTTTTGCGTTCCGACAGTAATACCGATAAAGCTCGGTGCATATGTGGGCGCGACGAGCTGCGTCTGATCAGCAGGCACTTGGAGTCTTGCACCTGACAGATCACAGCTCGTGCTAGGATGCCCTTTAGCGGGTGATGCATCAGCATGTGATCCGAGGATCACAAGAGTGATGATACTGAAGATCAGCATTTCTGGAAATTGTTGGATAAATCAGCGAGTGTAATTATTGAATGAGTGTGTGCTTGGCTCTTGGTAGCCCAAAAGCTCAAGCCCGGTGGACGTTTAAAGGGAGGAGGTTGCGTAAAAATTGAAACGCTTTGACATTAATATTAATAAGTCGGCATGCGAATGCGGTTGGTACAAGTTGTTGACAATACGCTTCCGCCTGAGAACTTGATCAATCTAATTATGCCAGCCTAGCTGGCAAAAGCTGGCAAACTCGCAGCAGAATCAGATAAGCTGTCAGAGATTGCAGAGAAGCAAGGATACCGTTTATTCGAAGAGATGTACCGCAACCGGACGAAACCGGAGTCCCGCCCATCCCCATACATCTACAAGTTAACATGTTAAAGCAGTTAAACATTAAACCCGTTTTTCAGTTACAAGTTGCTCACTGTTGCTCAGACTTCAGGCCTTAGGCCTAATAGGTTTGGGTACTAGGTAGCAAGATGACTTAGTGGTTTACAGCATGTGGATTATATTTAGTACTGTGCGAAACAGTGGGTGGGTATTTATTATGGCAAGTGGGGTTCAGGAACACCAATCATACAATACATGTTGCCAACATGATACAAGTGGCGAGTGTAAATACAAAATAAGCACAAAATATTGTCCTCGACGTGAAACAATCGTCAATCATCAAGAATACAGAGGTGAATCGATTGAACAAGACAAACACTGATTGAATCAAGAAATCAGAAGATAGTGTCGACAACCTGATCCATGTCCTGCATACCGGAGGTCAGTACGAAGTGAATACACTCCAGGAAAGGACCTACTAATGGGTAATGGCTGGCGTACTGTCGTCGAGCTGGTCAGACACGAGAACAGAAAAAGAAAAAGAAAAAGAATACCCCTGGGTTCTGCCAGTTGTTTTTCGCTTCTGATGTGAAGCGAGCTTTCTGACAGCTCATGTACTCATCCAAGTCATGGATGACTACCTCGGTATTGCGTCGGAGGATTGGCATTCTCCTCTCTGTCATCCTATCATTGACATCCGTAGCGCAACGCTCGAAAATCCTGAGTTGCAGCTGCCGTTTCTCGTTCATTTTATCCACACCTTCCCTTGGGTATTTGTCAGGAAGAATCATGCAAATGACGGAACACGAACTTAATATGTTTGAGCAGGGTGAGCAGCGATGGTTTGGGATCTTGCGCTGTGTTACAATGTAGGTGTTCATGTCCACATTTAGAATTTTCCAAATACTTACATACGCATTCAATGAAAAACTGCAAGGAGCACGTCAGGCAAACCAACTGATGATAGTGTAAAACTCGCACTTTGGTCACAGTGCCATGGGTCTCGTTGTCATCGTACGCGGATTCGTTGTCACGGCATGCTGACAATGAAACCTGGTGACCTCGTCGTTAAGTACATCAACCAGGAGCAAATCCTACGCACTACATGCGCTGCTGTCTGGTCTTCTGGTTCCATCTTCTGACAGTCGCCCGTACACTTGACCCAAGAGACTGGGGACAAAACCCTACGGAGAGCAGAAGGTGAGTTCTCAATAAACATGCGCGGAAGCCAGCTGTTAGGAGATTGAGGTCGCATGAGAACACTATTTAACGACAGCGATGGATTCCCTGCACGACCACGTGGTAGAGGTTGTTGGCTGCTGGATGCTGATTGGCCATCATACAACAAGTCAGATATTTCAAGGGAGGGACGGGCGGAGTGCTTACGGAGTGTTCTTAATCTCGGCACGAAGTCTTATCCTTACATCAACATACGAGACTATTACACAATGCAACTTAACATACCCGGCAATCGGAAGCGTCCCGTGAGTGACCTTCGTTGAGTCTTCGCAGCGTCTCCAGACAATAACTTGTTGCACTTGTGGTGGTCCAAGTCTTATTGAATTGTTATCAGATCGGGTATCAGCTAAGCAGTAGGACCACTAGTACTGACCCAAAATTGTCGCAGAGTGACAAGAGTCCCAAAGTGCCTGTCTCCCAAAAGGAGAATGAGCTCGCGTTGCACGTTGCCTTGGAAGATTCACTCACGAAAAGTTTACTGCCTGGAGGTAAAGGCTTTACCAGTACCTTTTTTAGTTTCTGTGAATGCATAATCAGTCTGAAATCGATAGATGACGTATGAAGGAGCCGTACGTTATCCATAATATAGTGGCCAGTGTACGCGTATATGACTAGCAAGGACATAGGGTCAGATGTGAAGAGGGAATATGCTATCAAGCATACGTTCGTCCTTTCCATCTGTTTCCGTATTGTGCTCGCAAGTTACTTGATTTCCGTGACCAGAATCTTGTACATTCCAACGTATTATCTTGATTCCTGCAAGCTGACGAATTTCTGACTTACAATAGAAGAAGAACTGGTCATTTGCGGATGCATTTTTGACCATCTTAGCGATCTCCGCGAGCTGCCAAACACCAATTCAGCCAATTGAGCTAGCTTTGATATTAAAGTGTCTTACTATGTTTCTCCGTGATGGCCAGAGATGTTTCGGGACATTCCAATCATGCTTCATCAAGACGACATTCGCTTCGGGATAATTGAGCTTATCTATGAATGTTATAATGTAATGGAGATCCAGATTCAGAAGAATAATGCATGCAGGCCTAGGCGTTAACGACTCACCGATAAGGAGACATTTAAGCGAATCGGCGTCCTCGTGGGCATAGTGCAAAGGAAGAAAGCCTTTTTTATTCACAGATTGGACTGCGATGAGCAGGGCCTTCTTATTTCCAGCATTGGTAGAGTTTGCCATAAATTATGGTTCCCAAAAGGCCAAGTGATATGTATGAGGGTTTGAGATCGACCGCAGCAGGAGATATGATCGACAGTTGTGATCTATGAAAATGTGACTTAGTAGAGAGACTCGACTATTGAGTCTTCCTGCTGCCAACACAGATGAAGTTTGCTTGACTCCAAACGTCAAGGCGAGGTGATTGAGTCAACGGGCGATAAGAGGTCGAAGAGGAATGACAGCCCAGCGAGATAGCATTTTATACCCGACACGATGCTGTTCGTAGAAAGGACTCAGGAAGTTGAACCCCACAGGTTCCACACAGGCTTACACAACACGTATGGCATTGGCAGTGAACCGGTGACCCCATGCGCTATTAAAATATTTACATACGTAAGGATAATTGTAGCCGTGACAGATGATTATGTAGACAAGAACAGGTACGCACGCTGATAGCAAAGTAGACTTACTTAGTGAAACATGTCCACTTATCGAAGGCGCGACCTATTTGATGACAGTTTGAACTTTGAACATAGCCCCGAGTTATGAATATGAATATCGAAAGAGGATAAATGACTGATAAAGTAGATACTGGAAAACGTTCAACTTGAATCAGATTATTCGGAAGAAGGGTACTGACCTTGGCCTTTCGTGAAGGCTAACGCTTAGATAGAAAATTTCTTGTTCCAGTTCTATTGTAGTTGAGTAATAGATCTCAGCCGCAAAGAAATAGTACATACGAATGGGCAATTACTTGCAATCTGGGGGGCCAATTGGTCATTATTTTATAGCGCCAAGCGAGTCTTACACTTACACGGGGTTCTTGAGCAGAGCCTTTCCTTTTGATCGAATTGTCATCACATTCTGATGTGAGCTCCAACGGTCTCCTTCGAGCCGAAAACCAGCCAAAAGTTTGTCTTGGCATCTCTGCTGCCCGCTTTTTCTGGAGGTCGGTAACTTGAGACCTATAAGGACATAGAGTTAGAGACATCGAAGCAACACAGTAGTCATATAAAACCAACTGAATGTTGTCGAGTAAGCCTCGGTAAGAGATACCGGAATTCTTCTCTGCGAACAAAGTTTTCAGGGGTTATCATGTACAGATAACTCACAACTTACTCAGTGAAGATATAAAAAACTGTTGAATCATATTAATGAGCATGCGGCAAATGCAGCGCAAGCTTTTTGTTCACCTTTGTCAAAGTTCCACCTGTCTCATTATCGTCGTGTGCCATTTCGTTGTCCTTGCATGCTGACAAACACACCTAGAGTGAAAGTTCTAGATGTGTGCCATGCCGTAGATGTGTAACGACTTACAACACGACCTTGATCCTCTTCTTCTGCAGTTATGTCACAAGCACTTTTGCATCTAGCATTTGGATAAATCGAGATAGGAGACATCACAGTCCGATCTGGGGACATGAACCTCTGGGACTGAGAAGCAAGCACAGTATTGACTGAGACTGGTGGCCTCGCACGTGCAACCCGTGGTCCATCGGGTTCATTACCAGTAGATAGCGTGCTCTTGAGAAAGACCTTCAGTATTCTCGCGGCACGGTTGTAAACTGGATCCTCCGTCAGACTGCAGTAACAGCAATAAAATTGAACTCACGATGCCACATGGCACGATTTGCCAGCCCTATCATTGCTACGTCAAAAATGGTAGGCCGAAGGATAAATGGAGAACACATACCAATGGCGGACCACGGAGATATAATCAGGGCGTTTTTGTTCGGCCGCCGTATGCTTTCTGAAGAATATCGTATTACTCTCCCGGTTAGCGAAGGTGTTCGAGTTAAATCTGCGTCGCTCTGGCTAGAGGCGACAATGGACTTGACAGGGGACAGCAATCGAAAGCAACAGTTACAATGCTTAAGGTCTGTGTGGATTGTTCAGTCGGCATGGATGGCAGAGATAGTGGAGCAATCACCAAGGATGGTCTCAGAATGGCAACAATCGAACAGTGCCTACGATGGCCAATATTGGATGATCGACTCGGGCGAATATGCTGTGGGGATTACTCACAAACAACTGACAGCCCTTCTTTTCTAACACAGGATCTACCAGGTGTCGTTTCAGGTCCTAACATGAGATTTAGCGCCACCGTTAACAGTTGTCTGGTCTTCAAACCTACGTTGTCAACAATCTTGTCGCCGTTGTATTCATATATAACTGCGGAAGCGTCAGTTTTGGAGATAAAATTAGGAAGATGAACCTCACCTTCATCGTGACCATCTACTTCACTATTATGGCGGCAGATAGTCTGCCCGCCGTGACCCGAGTCTAACGAAATAACATGAGTCTGACTGGTGTAGTTGCAATTACAAGGGGAGACAGACAGTAGAATACCAGTTTGTCGTGTTCTCCAACATCATCTACGAGCCATTTGATCCTCTTGAACTAAATATGAAGTGAAGTCAGATTGGGTATTGAAACAGATTCAGTGTTCAAGCTCACAATGTTGACTTTGGAAGGCCAAAATGACTTGTCTAAATTGCGATCGTCCCGCAGCATTACGATGTCATCTTCAACATAGCCATACTGGCCTAGAGTAAGAGCGTCAAAATGCAGGGTTCCACACACAACGAAAAGGACGAACTAATGAGAAGTTCTTTGAGTTCTTGTGCATCATAGTGCGTACGGGGGAGCGAAACATCGATCCCTCTTACGTTCCTCACGGCGATGAGCAATGCCTTCCTCCTGCCTTTGCAGGATGCGCCTTGAGTGAAAGACATACTAGTAGAGGTGGGAATGCAAAAAAGGCGGCCGACGGCAATTAAGAGGGCGAGATCGCACTAGTAGGTGTCCACTTGGTAATATTGAATCAAGCAAACCGACCTGCGACATAACTTAATCAAAGATATAAGTACCAAGCCTACCCACGAATGGGTACTGAATAAGCGTCGCCCAAGCAAGGCACATGATGCAGTGAGCTCACAAGTACGGCACAGCCATGGCATCCGGATGCTGACTTGTTAGCGGAGGGTTCTTCGGGAGAAGGGCGTACGTCGGACCCGCCCTGGCCCGTTGTCAATGAACAAGAAATTACGGCATCATCTGATTTGCGCAAGTCAAACTTAAACTTACACTTTGTACAGCCTTGCAGAGGCCAGACCGCGAGGGTCCAAAATCAAGGATTTGAAGCTCTGATTGAGGCTGCAGATATTTACTGGGTATCACTGACAGGTATCATAAAGCCAGGATTCAGATTCCCCGTTTCCATGTGCACTGCGACTACATACTCGTATATATCAGACGAACTGCAGTGCTAGCAGCCTGTGCAGGTACCGTCACGCGTCCCAGATTGCTGTAGCCCAATGCTGTATGATAATGATAAGATGCCCACAACCTACAGCTGTACATGCATACAGCAAGAGAACGTACCAACTTGTATAATATGACAGTCCGAACGACATTCTGATTTGGAACGCCGTGCGTCTGAACTTGGATACTTATATGGATAGCCTTGTGCGGAGCGCGTTTTGTCAGGGACAAATGCACACGGGCTTTTGGCAATTCGAGATGCATAATGAAACTTCTGAAACTCTGGGTGGCTCTCATCCAGCGACAATTAAAGATGACACGATACATCGGCGGCGACCTAATATCTCCACGAACCGATGTCAAAGATCATGTCCATTCGGGCGTCATTTTACTGTGCGAGTGTAAGTAAGCTTGTGCGCGATTGCATGATAGATCATATATTAGTCAAGGAGTACACACAGAGATTATTCTTGTTCAAACTTCGAAATAAGATTCAAGCATATCTGCCTTTAATTTCCTGCGAAAATTCCTCCAAGGTGTGGAACTTCACTCCCAAACTGATCAGATGTGGATCAGGGATAGCGGTTTGCGGGTACAGTCCAAACTCGGACTGGAAGGCATACTAAGAAAGATATCAGCATCGAAGTTCCAATCATACTGGACAATACCGACCATGTCGTCCATTTCCTGCACGACATTTGAGCACATGTATTACATCAGAGAGAAATTATTGACGAACCTGCATTCCAGTTGTGTGGGATGGCACAAAGGATACCGGCTTCCCCAATGCTGACGGTAGCACGAAAATTAGAATAGCAATAAATTCCTACGTTCTGACCACATACCCTCCTGAAGGATTGATGCAAATTGGGTGTAGTTCAACTTTGCACTGATGGCATAGAACGTGCGGGAGAGAACTTCCGAATCACGATCTTTGTATTGCTTGAGGAGTGCCAATGCACACTGGCCAAGGTCCCGCTCAACCCATGTAAAATACTGAGGAGATTGAGGGTCATATCTGGCCGCGGTTAGCTCTAGGCAATCGGAATCTAGCACAGGCATAAGAGCATTGTAGCTGCACAAAGTTTGCATCAGCTATGCATAGGCTTCATTACAAAAGTCTTACTTCCAAAGATTCTCCAAAAACCAGCCTTGAGTTATCAGTGTCAACTGATCGAAAGACACTCAAAAGAAATAAAAGGCTTACCGGTGTACAGGATGGAATGGGGTACACCGGAGTCTCGGAGATAGTCATCCACGTTAGCTTTATCTAACAAGTATGAAATTAGTTCATGTCGCGTGCTGGGCGAATGAAAACCTACTGTCGAAGTGGTAAACATTTGCATACTTCCCGTTGGACACCCTTGTACAGTGCGGTAGAGAACTGTGAAAGGCATGCATTGAGGATGAAGTCACACTAGAGAACAGCCGAATTCACCTCCAAATGAAGTACTTAACATCCGTTGCTTTAGAAGCGTCAACGAGATTCTTCCCGAGTAGCATTTCGCTGTTGTGACCTTGAGCGAAGTTTTTGGGGTCATAATAGTCAGTTACCTGTTGAAACAGACAGCAGTTAGTCAGGCCTTCGGGGGGCCACGGAGAAAGTGTGTCATACCCCAAAGACGGCCTCAACACCGGACAGGGCTTGCTTCAAGGAGTCGATGTCCCATAAATCGGCTTGGGCAACCTCGGCCCCAAGAGCCTTCAGCTTCAACGCCTTCTCCGAATTGGAGTTTCGGGTAATTGCACGCGGTATGAATGTACCATCCGCTAGCAGGGCTTGGACGACAGATGAGCCTGATGATTCTGATTAGCTAGAGACTCAAGTATGAATGACAGCAGCATGCCTTGAGTTCCAGTAGCTCCAAATACGGCAACTATGCGAGGTGACATTGACATTGCTGAGGTTTGAGTGAGTGAAGTAGTAGAGAATGGGAGATGCTTCATTCTATTCCACACCTTGACGTCTTAAGTAGCCATCCACGGATGGTTTATGTCCTGCTGCGGCGCCCCGTCAGGTGGAGTATATCTACTGGTTGTCCGATAATCGGGGCGAAAGTAAAGTCCCCAAGCTCTGCTCTACTCTGCTCCATCCAATGACAAGTATAATGATGTCAGCTATGAGCGGCGGCCGCTAATATCACCTTCTAAAAGAGGCGGATAGGATCATCGCGAGTCCGAGCAACGGGCATCAGAACCATCCAGACCTTTGCAAAAGTTGACCCATCAGTGCACAATGAATTTCATTTGGATGATTGCTCACTCATCCTTTGTGCAAGGATGATATTTGTTTCGCGGGCCGGTCACCCCACACTAGTAACATGTGCTGCGGAGAACTTCAAGGAACCAGAATGACCCGGACCCTCTCGGACCTCACAGGCGCACAGATAAGTAGCGGCCAGACTTCCAGTGGCGTTAGAAATCATGTGCTGGCATAGTCACCAATGCATGTGATGCCAGCATAAAGAATCCTAAAGATCAAGTAAGTTTGTAAGACCTGGAGACAAATACACCGTACGGGGAAAAGCTGGCGTCTCCTGCGTGTTGCCAGATGACAATAAGCATACTGAAAAACTGTGACAACAGCCAAATTTGACCATTCGGGTTGCGCTGCGGTGCTCATCAGTTGGGTTTGAGAGACTGATCGGGATCACCGATAGGTTGAGAAGCACTTGTACAGTACTTGTGACTTCGATAGGGTTGAGTTCAAAGGACTCGGACGGGAAGATGCTTATATCCGAGATCGTGCTATTACGTAAATTGAATCTTGGATGATGCGCGGCTTTCCCTCGACCCGGTTATTCCAGATATATTGTAGACACCATCTTCCTTTACTCTTTGCTACCGCCTTTACTATTTATCAATGAACTTTTTTCACGCAGGCAGTCGCCGCAAAATCGATGTAAAACGGCTGCCGCAATATATTATCCAAGTAAGAGTTGTAATGCCAATTACATACGAATAAGTACAGGACTGAGGACAGCTGTTAAGTAGGATACAAAAGGTCCACAGAAAATTCGAAGGAGGACCGGTGTGCATGAATATTCATGTAGAGTATGTACTGGTGTGCATTGGGCATAAGATCGTCCTGGATATAATAACTGTAAAAAGTGGTATTTGTTCGAAGCCAGGGTATGATTCTGAATGAAGGGAAATGCTTGCGAAGGTCCTGCCAGGAATAATCAAGATTTAATCAATAAGGTAAACGTCAGACCAGCGCAGTCTCTCTGCCAAATAATATCGCTCGTCTTCAAAATTCAAAGGTCTGCGACATATCCTGTATCACATTAACATTAACATGACAGTCAACGCAAGGCACGTTATGACACTCACCAGGCAGTAGTGACTCGCGAACTGCACGAAAAACAGGGTAAGCATGGCGAACTTGATAAAGCAACGTTAAACACACCGAAGGTTGCTGAGAGTTTATAGTTGAAGTGTCATTCCAGTCATCGCTATGGCCAGGGTGGTGTTCGCCTGTGTGCCAATCCTCGATTTCGACTTCGTGTTCCGACCGTCTCTGTGAGTGGCGAGTTGTCGCCCCTATGCGTCTGCGAGTTATTTCATCAACCCTTTGCCTGTGAGGTGCCGGTCAGCGCGTCGCAGGAGATAGGAAAGTCCCACTCACTGTATGTTGGAGAGTAGATCGTGATAAGAAGGCCTAGGATTGCGCTCTAAAGAGAATAAGTTCCAAGTATCGCTTTCTCTGAATATGCCTCTCACCGAGGTACTCGATAAAGAACTAAGCGGCCATCAGTCAGACTGAAAATGCTTAGAAGACTAAGCCATACCTTCGTCACAGTGTCACCCGTGGCGTTATCATCATATGCCAACTCATTGTCCCTGCATGCAGATAAGGAAACCTTGGAGGTATCGGGTTCAGAATTTCCTAAAGATATCAGTAAGAGAGAGAAAACGCACGACATAGGCCTTGTCTCTGTTCTCGGGGGGCGTCATAATACAGTCAAATGTACATGGAGCCTGAGGTAGGTATGAATCAGGAGAAGCCACTCTGCTGAGGGCGGGAAAATCCACGCCGTCAATTGCTATCTTCAATTGAGAGTCATCCTTTGACGAGAGCCGTCCCTCGCAGCCATCTTTCAAGATGTTGGCACTGAGCCTCTTGCCTGTGTAGCGAACATTCAAGTAATGACGAACAAAACAACGAAATACACACCAAGGCTTTTGGTTTTCCTTGCCAAACCTGAGATCATAAATATCGACTCGGAGCCACGATCAAAACGTGGCTCTCACCTGTCAGGACTTTGAGGGGTTTCCGCCACAACCCGTTGCAGTTTGAATGCGCCAAATCTTTGATACCCGTATGAGTGCGAAAACGAACATGAACTATAGACCAACGTACCTAACACTGTGTGAGAATGGCAACAATCCCAAAGCGCCTGTTTACAAGACGACATCGTTGGTGGGACTTTATAAACCAAATTGGAATACGCACGAAAAGCTTGGCGCCTGGAGGTAATGGATCAACGAGGCGTTCTTTCAAAACCTTGGAATCGTTCAACGCCATGAACCGAACAAGAATTTATGACTGGAGCATACATTATCAATGATACGCTTTCCCGTGTATGTGAGGATAGCTATATCGAAGATATTAACACGCGCTGTAGAAATGAGACTTGGATAATACCTTCATCCTTATTGTCGGGTTCAGAGTTGTGTCTGCAAGTCACCTGAGCGCCATGACCAGTGTCTGACGGATCATTACATTAGCACTCCAATGTATTCTCATTCGTCGCAGCATTGCAAGAGCTTACTCACAGTAGAAGAACATCTGGTCTTGTTGAGATGTAAGTTTAACCATATCGTCAATCTCGCGCAACTGCACCCGACGATCAGATAACCAATAGAAAATATGCACTTTAGGTGCTCACTATGTTCGCTCTGCTGGGATATAACTCTGGCAAAACACTATTACGGTGCATCATAATGACAATGTTTTTCGGTTGGTAGCCACGAACTGCAGCAGTTAATCAATCTCATGAAGCTTTTAGACACAAATATACATACACTTCACAAGGAAGTCTCTCATCCTCTCTACATCTCTGTCTGCGTGAGGGAGGGTGTCGAAACCGGCTACTTTTGCCACACTAATAAGGAGTGCCCTTTGAACTCCTTTCGACTTAGAAGGAAGGTCGCCCAACATTTATGAACTGATCAATGATGAGTGTGACCGAAAGCTGATAGACTCAAGATGTAGAGTCAAATATATCAGCTAAGATAGCAGATGGTGGACGTAGAGGTCGAGTGAGTGATAAGGATAAGGGAAGATGCAATTTGGGAACGGCGGGGGACAAACTTAAGTGTTATGGACTTTCCATAGGAAACACAGCAGCGCACAGCTATCTCAATGGCTGTTGTATCAGAGACACCGAGCAAGTACAGGATGGCAAACCCACCGACAAAAATTATGTAATTATCTGTGCAAATGATCAGCCGCACGATCCGAAGAATCATTGACATTATTATGGCATTGATCAATGGACGTTTAGACGTTAATAGTGAGTGCAAGGAGTGGAAATCAAAGTTGTCCATCGTCCATTCTGAATCCGAACTAGTCGCGATCAAAGGTCTGCGTCCCGCAGGGTAAATTCAGGCTCCCAAACGTCGCATCCAACACGCGTCAGCCACACATCTCGCCTCTCTCTCTCCCAGCGGTGCAGAGTTCGGCAATTTCTACGGTCCCCTTCGGGGCACGCACACTCCCACCACGCTGGAGGCTTCCATGAGCCTTCATATGGTATGTCGGTGGTTGTATCAGCCTTCCGGCTAAGACCTGCCCGCATGAACTCCGGAAGATGCGCCGTATTCTCCGCCTCAAGATGAGGTTCATCAAGCTGTGGGAGTGTCCGGAAATCTGCAGCAAATGCAACGACGCGCATTCGCTGCCGGTGAGATAAATCCGGTGCCAGTAAAGCGATGATTTCCTGTTGTATTTCCTCAGGCAGTTGGAAGAACATCGAGGGAGCGGAAATGATATTTGACTCGATACTTGCGGAAAGTCGATTGAGCGTGGAAACAGAAGTAAAGTCAGGAGCACCGCCATGTATGTCCCGCATGCTCGACCGAAGGAACAATGCACGGCTGTACAGCAGCAGTGAGACAGCTTGCTTCTTCACCCGTATCTTACTCGTTAGGTTCCTCTGCGCAGCATTGTTTAAGATCCGCCAACCCTCTTGCCACGCAAGAGTGCGCTCCTCGCCATCACCGTCATATTCGTCAATATGCAGGTCATCAAGGTTGACCCTGAAAAGGCTGTAGTTCTCGCGCTCGATAGCGCTGATGATTTCGCGCGCTCCGGGTAGTGTCAGGCTGTTCGCGTTGCACTGCAATCGGTCCAGTCTGCAACGTGGTGAGGTTACATATTCGATAATTGTAGGAACCACAGCGCGGGTAATATTGATGGCAGAAAGGCCGAGTTGACGCAGATACCGCGTGTTGAGCCTGGGAAGAAACGCGCGAATGAAGGTATCAGAGAGAGTGCCGTTATGGATCAGCTGGAGCGTGCATAGCCTCGAGCTGTTCAGTGCAGTGGTGAACTGTGCGATGACATCCACATTTATCGACAATGGGTTCTGCGTTAATCACGAGGAAAGTGTCAGTCCGAGGGATTTTAACGGGCGAACACTAAGTTACTCACACCGGATAAACATAGCTCCCTGAGCACGTCGTTGTCCTTGATAAACTTTGATACAGCAAGTAGACCCTTTGCACCTATATCGTTCTTTGTGAGGTACAGCTCGGTGAGGCTGTTCTTACATCTTTGACCGGCAGGAGAGTCTAGAAAGTTGAAGAGCTGTACGCAACCCTCATCGCCCAATGAACTGTCCCCAATATCCAATCTATGGACAACCTCACGACGCTGTATGACACTGATGATGTTCCTTGCAGCTTCCAGAACGTCAATGGCTATGACTATGGAGAAACAATAACAATGAATAAGGCGCTTACCAATGGTCGATGCAAGTCTAGCGCTGACGCTCTTCAAGCGCTGATGATTGATAGAACGAACAGTGGCTGGATCTTCGTCGTAATGATGTCGAATTTTCCGGGTGGACAGCTTGAAGTACATGATATTAGGTCGAGGGCAACTTGATTGCGGTTTCGGTCATGACCGCGCTGAGACTTTGGCCCTTACATACTTTCTGAGAACGGAGACGTTAACCCGGGTGAGAGGGTCTAATGGCGGGCGCTGCACATGTCTGTCGGAGCTTAAATTTCATCAGAACCCAAACCATCACATCATAAATCCTTGCCGCTGCTGCATAGGCTTGCATATGCCATACGTTGAACATGCGCAGCTTTCTGACAAGCTGTGTTGGACCAAGACGGCCAAACGTCATTTTTTTTGGTTTCGTTCTCGTTGGGTTTCGTTCTTTGAATCCCAGTTAGAAGTTCAACTTAGAATCAAGATTACACCCGCCTTCCCTCAATTACTTAAACTTACGAACGGAAGAAACGGGACTTTGTACTGTCTTCTGCTCTCTGTATCTTGCCAGTGCGAGGCACAATATCGAGGTCATTGTCATGCCCAAATGACATGGCACCCATACGCAGGCGCTTGCCTGACTCGCTTCTCGGTTTGGTCTGGACTCTGGAAGCTATGTGGACTTGAGTACACATGCTTTACTTCCTCCTGGACCTTGACTGTGTCATTGAGTTGACAAAGTGACTTAGCATCGCTGTCGATTACCCGCGTGCGCACTCATTCCAGAAGTTATCGCAAGATTCTAGGCTACCTTAAGCTTTTTGCCGCGCTTCTTTAGCAGAAGTACTCCAAAGCCAGGAGCCTCATTGATGCAGGTATTCCGCTTCCGCGCTATGAGACCAATGATCACTGTCGGTGGCCTCGTTGCTCTTGCTGGGGCAATGGGTACTTTGGAGAAGACCACCCCGCCTAGGACTACCGCTATAGCGCTGGTTGCCTGGATGAAAATCAGCATTTTCATGCCAGTTCTTCTTAACAAAGATTCTGCAGTTAATAGCTCATAAGTCCTGCAGTAACTTTAATTCCACAGTCTTTAATGCACTGTGCAACAGCCGGCCTTCATCAACTTTTTATTTTCATTTATCCATACTTTGCCTAGGCCTGTAGCTGCGAACCTTTCCTGTATTCATTGGTTTCATTCAAAACTTACACTAGTAGTTCCATCTACTAGTAGAGCTAGTACTTACCTTAGTACCATAAGTCTCAAGTACCGTAACTTAAAGTCTCAACTGAGTCCGACTTTGTCAGATAAAGTTGCACAGCCACCGTGACGAGCTTATTGACCCCCGGGTTTCCTGGTCAATCCTAATCTCATCCTAGCCGGACCTATAGAAAAAGGAAGGCAGTCATTCCGGAATACTAAGTCCATCTAAAAGAGGGCATACACTTTTCTCCAGGCCATGAAGGTTGAGTCTTGGCAGTCATGATGACTATGGACCACTCACACTCTAATAGATTGCAGTGGAGGGATGCAGCCACGGCGCGCTGGACGCGATCTACAAGCACCTAAGTGATCTAGAGGCTAGACACAGCTATATTGTAGATGTACTCCTTATGTGCGGGGACTTTCAAGCTATTCGTAATCACAGAGATATGCAATGCATGGCCGTACCACAGAAGTACAGGCAGCTAGGTGATTTCCACAAGTACGTGTCAATACCCAGTTGGTATAATCTTGCATTGATCCACTTCTCTCCAGGTACTATACAGGAGAAAAGACCGCTCCGCTACTTACTATCGTGATAGGTGGAAATCACGAGGCGTCAAATTACATGTCAGAACTGTACGCTACCCGCTCCGCACGCCGTTCGTGTCCTTATTTCCTCTCACAGGTATCATGGCGGGTGGCTTGCACCAAACATATACTTCCTCGGACATGCCGGATGTATCCAAGTGAACGGTATCCGTATCGCTGGCGCGTCTGGAATCTTCAAAAATAATGATTTCAGTCTAGGTGATTCTCCAATCGCGTTATTGATACTCCAGTATTGAACACATGCAGGTTTTTACGAACGATTACCTTACGATCATGGCTCCATGCGAAGTATATACCACATCAGGGAATTTAACGTTCGCCGTTTGTCTTTGGTCAGTGAATTTTAGTCTGTGCGAGATCTCGGTCTCACATCGAATGCATCACAGTTATCCTCCCCAGATATCTTCCTTTCTCATGACTGGCCCCAACACATCGAGAAACATGGTGACACTCAGGGTCTCCTTCGCCGCAAGCCATTTTTCAAACAGGACGTACAGACAGGCAACCTGGGTTCCCCTCCTTTAATGGGGCTCTTGCGGACACTGAAACCAAAATGGTGGTTCTCAGCCCATTTGCACGTTCGCTTTCAGGCTACCGTGCACCACGAAGAATCCGGCACCAGATCGAATTCCCCGTCCAATACTTTCCCGCCACAAAACCCAGATGAAATAGCAATCGTGGATGATGATTTCGAAGCAGTTGAACCTCAGAATCTTCCAACTGAAGTTCCTCGTTTGCAAACGGCTTCCCATAACCCTGATGAAATAACGCTGGAAGAAGAAGAAGACGAAGTTATCCAGCCCCCTCCCGTTGCTTATCGGCCGCAGCCATCTGTGACGAATTTCCTGGCCTTGGACAAATGCCTGCCAAAACGAGAATTCATGGAGGTCTGTAGCTCTGTGTTTATGGGACGTGGTTCCGCTGATTTTCTAATATAGGTCATCGATGTGCCTACCACATCGGATGGATCTGCCATGCCTGGACAACGCTGTATGCCGAAGCTCACCTTTGATCCGGAATGGCTGGCAATAACACGCGCTTTTCATCCATTCCTCTCCATGAGGCGACGTCAAGCAGATTATCCTGATGAAGCAACAGCTCGCGCGAAGGTCGCTGAAGAGATGGAGTGGGTGGAGTCGAATGTGCGCAACAACGAAGCAAACTCTTCTGATGCCCCTCTACCTGGTATACGATCCATCCTGGATTGCCAGACATTCATGCAGAGCGCCCCTGGTCCTGGAAGTGAAGGAGCTCAAAAGAACCAACAACGTAAGTGTACTAATTTCTTGAAATATTTTCACTGACATTTGCTTGTGCAGCACCTTGGTACACTAACCCTCAAACTGTCGCATTTTGCGATATGCTCGACATTCAAAATATGATCGATTTCTCTTCCGACAACCGGGCCTAGGAAGCCTCTTGATAGCATTCCACAAGAAACATACAAGCGTTGAGAAGGGGTGACATCCTGTGACATCTTGGTATCATTCCTTCCCACGCCATGTGTTCCTTTATCACACCAAACAATACATTGAACCAAGTACCTTCGTCCGAGTCCCTCGCTTCCCTGCAGTATTCTCACTGCCATTCTGGAAGGTTGCGTTCTACGTTTCTGATGGATCACTCTGATTCACATATCCACTTGTTTCTCGAAAATCCAGTACAGCAAGTGTGTAATATATAGCCTAGTACAGCCTCTTGCGGGCCCGGCTGTGGCGTGTTTGATAAATGTAGTGGCATGACGGCCTGTTTTCCTTGCTTTCACCGCCTGGAATAACCCGCCATGATGGCAGGCCGCTTTGCTCGTATTCTCAACATACTGAAGAAATGGCTTTCACGACTTGCACGTCGCTCTGCGGGTTTATTCTTCGTTGCCTTATCTTCACTGCGCCGCTTTGCTGCAGGGCTTTTGAACCTCAGTAATCGGAGGTTGATAACACGTTTTCCCAGCGAAGTGCGCCCGCGATCTCAAGAGGATATCGTAGCAGAGGATTCACCCATTTGCCCCAGCCTTCTGCCTCCTGGTCAGATGGGTCTGGAAGTTGCAGGGGAGCCTTCATCTCCTTCAGACGATCCTTACACAGGAACCCATTCACGACCTTCACGACCTTTACGAAAGGGTACAGCAATCCCTCCGTTGGAGGTTCCTTCAACAACGACAGGATACACCAGTGCCACCGAAACAGACGGGCTTCATCAAGGCTCTGTGTCAAGCTTACACCTGTCTCTGGAGATGGGAGAGAGTTCGGTGAACAACAGGATGTCGCTCACGGACAGGCCACTGCAGGAATCTAGCAGTCCAGGCCCTTCGCGCCTTGTTGGCCCCCATGAAGTATCCACAGGACATTCACGACAATCAGGATACATGGACGATGCCCGTTCTGTAAATACAACGCGCACGCCATCCATGAGGCATTTGGCGCCTAGCATGTCTCGTTCCCAACACGCGTCCGATAGTCATGTTTCGGTTAGCAGCAATCGCTCCCTTACACGATCAATCGCTGGTTCGGAAAGTCGACAAGCTGCATATCGACCACATGGCAAGGGAGCTGTCTATTCTCGCCCGGCTAGCATCCATGGTTCCAACGCGTACCACGGATCCCCGAATACGATTTCTGTTCCATTGGATTTGCCTGTCCAGGCTTTGCCGGTATCAGATTCCGGTTACGATCATTATGTACATTACACTGCTCCCCCCGGTAGCAATGAGCTACCGGGCCCCGAGGTCGTCATGATCTATGGCGCCCAGTATGATGCTCCGCTGACAAGCTGTATGGTTGCAAACGATGTCAGGAGGTATGGAAGGTGCTCCCCCCGGTGAAAATGAGTTCGCTTTACTGCCTTTACTCGAGAACTGACCTTGCCAAAGGGACCCCAAGGTTCATGACATCACCGTCCCTGCTATGTCACTCACCGGGCATGAGTAAGTCATATTTTGACCTTTAGTTGTCGCACCTCAACTTTTTCAAGCATGCCTATTCCCGAAGGATGGACCACTTTCGTGCATCCAGAGGGTGCCCGTTATTATGTGAACCAAGAGAAAGTGCGTCAAGTCCATGAATTATTGAAGATCGACGGTCTGAGTTGGAGTTATAACGCGCAGAGAACATTCACAGAGATGGATATTCGTAAGCCAGATATAGGCGAAGACATCCAATACTACATGGTGTATTTGCTGGAAGAACTACACCAGACCCTTGAGCAAGGGGGCATCGTGCTCGACATGAGCCAGATTGACCTTGTGGTTGAGCCGAAGGTCTATGCTGATGGCGAATCGGTTGTTTGTTGCTATTATTTCGCCAATCACCGTGATAGGTGCCTCTTTTGGTTGGACGACTTCAATGCTGAAGATATCATCTCTGAATGTAAAGGCGTCGAGAATCTCTCACATACACGTGGGTGGTCAACAGTTCTCAGCGGGTCTGGATCTGACGGGCCGTCCTTGTTCTCATAACCAGGGCTCGCTATTGAAGCACAATATTGGTGTGTTCCAGCAAAAGGTTCGCACGACATCTTTACTTCACTTTCCCATTCCTGATAAAACTCTAGGCTATATGCAAGTAAATTAACGTACGATATAGGAGACATTGGGATTACTTTCCTAGCCTGTGCCCGGTTACACAAAACATTGTTGATGAGCTCACGGGTGTGTTGATGCATGCGGCATGCGGTCAGTACTCTCATAGGTCTGATAGCTTGATCTGATGCATGTGGTCACAATGAGCAGACCACTTAACATCGATGCAGTCTTCTTTACCATTTGATGCCACAGAGCTCAAGGATCACCTTTCTGTGGTTGACAGAATCAAGGGTATGCTACTTTGATACCTCGTCGCAGACGCCATGTGCTAATCCCAGTTTTCAAAGTCCATCCCACTCCCCCTGCGGACCAGATTATGCAACAAGGTCATGCTGCCATTTCCACTTCCCCTGCGGCCCAGAGTATGCGACGAGGTCACGCTGCCATTGTTATTGGTGAGGCTTGAACCTGACTTCGATTTATTCCTGATGTTGATCATTATTTAAGGCCGCCTCATGTACACATTCAGTCAGTGCTCTCCCATTTATGTATCCAACCGTAATTTACGGCCATTTTGAAGCTCACAATCATTTTGTGAATTATCACGGTGAAGACTGCGTGAGGCTGATGTATGAACAGACGGTTCATGGTTGGGAATATAAACCATCTGCGTTTATGTTCATTCTTGCACCCCTTCTGTTCTTTGATCCCGTGGCTCAAATCCAAGAACTGCATAAGATTTTTGTCGACGAGGTTGCTTGCACGACACGGTGGAATCTATTCTGTGCAAAATTCAAAGGGCAGCTTCAGGACTCCAATCTCTTGGTAAGCCCTTCTTTCCATTGTTGTCTACTTGCGTGTGATCAATGTTGAGTCAGGCCACTGTGTTACTCAATGCCAATGTTGGGTTTCTCGCTATCAACACTGTTGACAGAGGCGGTAGAAATGCTATTCAGATGGCAAGCTACATGTCCTTGGTGACGAGCTTGGGGAGTATAGTCCTCGGCTTGTTCTTTGTCTCGCATGATCGAACCTCTGGAACAAATACAGCCACGGAAGCGGTCAGTAGATCCCATTGGATCACTGGTACATTTCTGATAGCAATTGGTTCAGGCAGTATTTCTAGCAAGACTTCACAATAATAAACACGGAATGGAAAAGCTGGCTATAATTTATAGCCTTCCCAAGGCGTTGCTGATGTGGGGGTGAGTCTGCGTTCCAATGTAACAGGCGGAGGTTCTGATATCAATAAATTAGTATGGCCTTCTTCTTTGCGGCATTCTCGATCGATTGGTGGACTTCTGGAGACACAATATCCAAGACCATCGTCGGTACTGTGACAGTGGCCGTATTCGTGATGATTGCAAACAGCATCATTCGCACCAGGGCAAGAACAAAGTGGTCATTGCTTCCACCCTGGCTGCGTGGAAGCATCGACCTGAAAATGTTGTCTGGTTTAGTTAATGCTAGGAGGGATGCCATGGAGTTCATGAGGACGAAAATAGGTCAGAAAGACCCCTCCGGTGACCCTTGTTCCTATACTGAACCGATTCCCGAAGGCCTATCGCAAGCAAATCCCGGAGGGGATGTTCAAATGTACAGCACCTCCCAGTCAACACTTGCGACTGGTTTCCAACCAGAAATGCCGGGTTCAGGCGGCCATAACAATCACCCCTACCCCCCCTACCCTCCTGTTCAGCCATACCACTCCACCGCTTCCGTTCATTCTCAGCAACCACATGACGGTAACTCCGTGCTGCCATCATTGGACCCACACATCGGCCCAGGTGTTCTGTCGGGCGCAGGCGCTTTGCAACAGATTCAAGAAGACATCCCCACCGATTTCCAGGACCAGTCTACCACGGAGGCTCGCTGCGAGCCCCATAGTGCCCTCTTAGGCGGGCACTTCAACACGTCGCCAAGCTCTGCGTCAGAGGAGATTACAAGCACAGCGGCCAGTGCAATATGTCGTTCCGATGCTCTCCCAACCATGGCCACCATCCTGCCCGAGCATGAAATACAAACCGCAGCGGTAGCTGATACGGACGCACCCATACCGACTGGTTCATTGTGTACAGAAGAGAGAGAGGGTGTTACATACACCGAGAACGTGGTCGAAGAGCCCGGGGAACTTGAACATCGTCCACCTTCGCCGAGCCCGCCGCCACTTCCAAATGAAGTTCCAAGGATCTTTGCTCGAGGCGCCACTGGTGACGAGTTCCAACATGCGCCAGCGGCTCCCAGATGGACGCTACAAGACGGTCAAGACATCCTAGAGGAGCCCCAAGAGTAGGAATACACATTAGCTCTGATGGCGGGTCATGAACTTGACATGAGGGCCGTTAAGCTCATTGTTCAACCAACAGTGGCAAATTTATATAAAGTCTGCATTAAATCCCATGTTCCAATTGTAATTTATAACCACACGTACATATCTTATGTCGCCGAGATCAGTGAGATGAAAATAAAATATTTGGCTGTTGAAGTTCGCAAACTTGAAACTGATGATATATTGAGCTCCGAGTCGGTCAAGCCTCCGACGGCAATACGTACCTCTTAATCGTTGATTGTTTCTCACCTGCCACCATCGATTTTGATATCTATCCACCAGAAAGTACCATGCCCGCCGGTAGCCTGAAGGCAGTTCCAATCCCCAGTCGCTCTACCAATAAAGAGATTCTTGAAGGTATTCAAGGTCTGTGAGTCCTCCGGGGTTCTACCAAGGTCCAAACGGAACATTTAAAATGATTCAAAATAGGTGCACACACTATCATTTCTCAGCTAAATTCCTCGCGGTCCATCACCAAGCTCAAGCTAAACAACAACCGACTAGGGGATGACGGTGTATCCGCACTCTTTACGTTCCTCAAGTCGCCGGCGGCCTCACGGCACCGCAGTACGATATCGGAGATCCATCTCAATGATAACGGTATAGGTTGTCGAGGTTTGCGAGACATTGCAGACTACGTGGATGGAAATGAAGTAGTACTAAAGATATTGTGGCTTGCAAACGTGAGTAATTCAAATCCAATCTTTTGGCTTCGCAAGCACGGATTAACGCCGTCATAGAACAAGCTAGGACCTGATATTGATGTTCTGGCTCAGTTTGCCACCACAGTAAATCACTCTCGACTAGAGTTCCTTTCTCTCACGGGAAACCATAACCTTGGCGATGCTATCGTCGAGACCTTCTTTCGCCATCTAAGGGCACCCCGCCTTCGGGAGTTGCATATCAATGCCATGGGACTAACTGCACGTTGCGCATCTGGACTCGCAGAGTGGATTTCATCGGGGCATAACGGCGGGGCATGTTCTCTGCACACTCTCAAATGTAGTGGTAACAACCTGGGGATCAAGGGCGTATGTGAAGTTATTCACGCCATTGAGATGGGTAACTGGTCACTCATGAACGTGGAAGTGTATGCGAACCAAATAACGTGCACGGAAATCCCGAATGACAACTCCTCCATTCAACAAGCAGGGCGTTTGTCATCCTCTGAAACTGAAGTGTCATGGAAGGATGCAGAACGTTCTCTTCACCGGGTGCTTCACCGGCGAAACGCTTATTGGAAAAGACAAGTAGAGATGGAGGCATTGAACCTTCTAAAGTATTCTCGGGCGCTCATCTTTCAGTCGAAGGCTTCTCTCCCATCCGTGGACCAACAACCTTCGAGTAATCTGACCAGCGAATCATTTCCATTTCACAATCTTCCTGTGGAGCTGCGCCTCCAAATCCTTGCGATCCTCGCTCCTTCCTTATCTTGTGCCCAACGCACCCGTATCTATGATTATGCTGCCGACCCTTCGACCCTTCCCCCGCTTCTACCACGTCTACGGCGAGATATCGGCGGGTGTGTCGCAGATCCCTCACGAGCCCTTGGAGCAAGTGTAGGATTTACATTGTACAGCTCAGGCGGGTGTGCTGAAGGGAAGTGTATGGGCGCTGGTAACAGTCTTGTGTGCCTTCTGGACGCAGAGCGCACCAAGTTTCTGGAAGCCGTTGGATGTCGTGCGTATGAGCCCTGAATGCGGTAGGAACATTTCAGAACACTTTTTCTCAATGGTATTCCAATGTCATTTTGTTCATGCAGTTCCTATGTATATACCAGCAACTCGTGACTCATCATGAACAATTCAAACCTGTCCAGAACAACACTTTGACGAGGTCTAGCCCTGAATTGGACCGACAACCAATCATGGTTGGGAATGACATAAATACCCCTGACGTCGGTCTACATCTACTTATACAAGAATAGCTGTCCATTCATACCACGAGGTTCAGGAGCGGGCGCTGCATGGAGAAATAGGTTTCAGGGCATATATCTTGCCAATAATCTATATAAATGTAGGTGTTTTTTGGGTAGGGGCAAATGTGCGCGGGCTTCAAAGAGTTTTTGAACAATGCATCATGGCGAACTGCAGGACGCAGTTCTAGGCCGCTTGGTTCATTGAACAACAATAGCGATGTCGCAATATCCATCGTCGGCGACCTTGTGGCATCAAATTCATTTGGGCGTCATGTTGCTGTTCGGGTGTAAGGAAAGTTGTGTGCGCAATTATTATTAGTACAAAGCGTACAAAGGGCAAAAAGGTCACAAGAAAATTAAGTAGCTGCTAAAAGTGTCTGTTCAAAATGAGATTCAAGCATATCTGCCTTTAATTTCCTGCGAAAATTCCTCCATAGTGTGGAACTTCACTCCCAAACTGACCAAACGTGGATCAGGGATAGCGGTGTGCGGGTACAATCCAAACTCGGACTGAAAAGCATACTAAGAAAGATATCAGCATCAAGGTTCCACTCATATTCAACAATACCGACCATGTCGTCCAATTCCTGCACGACATTTGAGCACATGTACTGCATCAGAGAGAAATTATTTACGAACCTGCAATCCAGTTGTCGGGGAGGGCGCAAAGGATACCGGCCTCCCCAGTGCTGACGGTAGCACGAAAATTAGAATGTCAATAAATTCCGACGTTCTGACCACATACCCTCCTGAAGGATTGATGCAAACTGGGTGTAGTTCAACTTTTCACTGACGGCATAGAACGTGCGGGAGAGAACTTCCGAATCACGATCTTTGTAGTGCTTGAGGAGTGCCAATGTGCACTGGCCAAGGTCCCGCTCAACCCATGTAAAATACTGAGGAGATTGAAGGTCATATTTGGGCACGTTCACCTCTAGGCAGTTGGAGTCCGGCACAGAGACAAGGTTATTGTAACTGTCATGAAGTTTGCATCAGTCATGCTCATACTTCATTTGTAAATGTCTTACTTCCAGAGATTCTCCGAAAACCAGCCTTGAATTATCGGCGTCAACTGATCGAATGATACTCAAAAGAAAATTTAAAAATGCTTACCGGTGTGCAGGATGGAATGGGGTACACCAGAGTCTCGGAGGTAATCATCTACGTTAGCTTTGTCTAACGAGTATGAAATCAGCTTATGTTGCATGCTGGACAATTGAAGACCTACTATCGAAGTGGTAAACATTTGCATACTTCCCGTTGGACACCCTTGTACAGTGCGGCAGAGAACTATGGAAGGCATGCATTGAGGATGAAGTCACACTAGGGGACAGCCGAATTCACCTCCAAATGAAGAACTTAACATCCGTTGCTTTAGAAGCGTCGATAAGATTCTTCCCGAGCAGCACTTCGCTGGTGTGCCCTTGAGCAAAATTTTTGGGATCATAATAGTTGGTTACCTGTTGAAACAGACAGCAGTTAGTCAGGCCTTCGGAGGGCCACGGAGCAAGCGTGTCATACCCCATAGACGGCCTCAACACCGGACAGGGCTTGCTTCAAGGAGTCGATGTCCCATAAATCGGCTTCAGCAACCTCGGCCCCAAGAGCCTTCAGCTGCAACGCCTTCTCCGAATTGGAGTTTCGGGTGATTGCACGCGGTATGAATGTACCATCCGCTAGCAGGGCTTGGACGACAGATGAGCCTGATGATCCTGATTAGCTAGAGACTCGAGCATGAATGACAGCAGCATGCCTTGAGTTCCGGTGGCTCCAAATACGGCAACTATGCGAGGTGATGACATTGCTTAAGTTTGAGTGAGTGAAGTAGAGAATGGGAGATGCTTTGTACTACTCCATCGTATGTGTCCTTAAGTAGCCGTCCTCAAGTTGTTTGCGTCCTGTTGTGACACTCCGTCAGATGTAGTATATCCACATCTTGTCCCATAATTGGGGTTCCCGAGCTTTACTGCATCCAATGCCGAGTGTATTGATGTCAGGCATGGGCGGCGGCCGCTGCGAAATTCTAGAAGAGGCAGACATACTTGTGAGCGTAGTTCCGAGAATAAGGGGGATCAAAGTATACAGAATCATCCAGACCTTGCAACCTAACCAACTCAGCATACAATGAATAAGATTGCTCTCACTGGTTGTGATCCATTAGGCAAAAATAATACTTATTTCGTGGGCCAGTCTCCCACACACGGTGACACCAATGACGTCTGCTGAGGGGACCTTCAGAAACCAGCACCACCTGCGATGTAGGAACGTAAATAGCTAACGATATCATTTGCCACGCGCAAAGCCTGCTGGGTGTTTCCCCATACCCGAACACCACTCCTCCGCACCTAATTAAAATTTTGTTGCGCAACCTCCGGGTGTACCAAGTTGCTCTGCCGAGGCAGCAAAGGCTCGACGGCAGCCGCTTTTCGGTATAATCCTCCTTTGGTGGGATAGACTTGTGGAGCGTTTCGTGAGCACGGGCAACAAGGTCGTTAGCCAGTCGCGCTGACTCGGAGTCGCCATATGGCACGACATCCAAGGTCGCGATAGATGATTGGCGGCACATGAATGGGTTTTTCCTAAATATATGTACTGGTCATATGAGCGGTGTGTTTTATGTTCCTTAACATTGCACTGCAGACATGGACCAGTTTCGCGAATCAAGGATGTAGTGAGGCACGTAACGAAGGATGTCTGCACCAAGTTGGCCTGGGCGGATCACGTACGGGGTCTAGACAAAGTTGTACAAACCTCCGTGGCGTGTGTGTCAGGACTAAAAAGGAAACTCTTCTCTTAAGACTGCACTCCGACATGATTTGGCTTGCTCTATACGCCATATGCTTGGCCATGGTTGACCGACGTATCAGTCAAGATATTTTCACGATTGTCATTAATTTGACGCACAGCTGTACGTATACTGCGGAATGTGCGCGGTGATTTTATTGATATTGATCATCAAACATCAAGGTTACCGTCTCGTGTCAGAACATGGATCAAGACTCAAGAGGATGTGTCCTAGTGATGGGTCTCGTGAACAGGTTCGTCCGGATTCTCGTAGGCCGTCTCTGTGCGGCAGCGCTGCCAAGGAGCTTGTGGATTGTTGGTGTGACCTTTCTTTCCAATATCATGATGCGCTCACTTCCGCTTAGGTTTTCTTATCTTTGGACTTATAGATGCTAATGCCCTCTCCCAAAGTATCTTCTATAATCGATAGACCACTTTAGGATCGTTGATTTATAAATTGAATTGCAGGTCTTGTTAATCGAGGTTTAGGCGCGATCACACGCCAGTACCTTGAGCCGTTCTGCTGCGCAACGGAGCTGAATCGGGATTAGTACCACGGAAAAATTCAACGACATCATTGTGCAATTTTGGGCAAGGACGCCATACACGAAACACATAATGAGCGCGACATTAATGGTGGACTGTTCGGAGCTGCTTACCTATGCTCCTCAAGATTCACGGCATTCTGCGAGCCTATTCCTGATGAATCCCCAGAATAGCTCTCATTCGATGGTAGATGTCAGGCTGTCACTGTCATTGTCAGGAGCAATAGCCGGAATCATCATGGGCACGGTGCGCCAGCACCGCTAGGCGAACAGGTGAGAGCGAATGAACCATAAAGGTGATCCGTGCCCAGCAGAATCGGCCAGCTGGACACTGATCACGCGGAGTAAAAACCCTCCAGGCCCACAGGCTGAGTTCCGGGCGGTAGAAGTTAATTATCCTAAGGAACAAAACCTATCAGGCTAAACTACGTAGCAAATGTACATAATTCATACTACCTGTTGTAGACAAAGCCCACACTTTGCCGATGCTAGCAGAAACTCCCAGAGGGTGAATTTGTCGAGCTTTGTTCTGGAACCTGTCAATGAGTACGGGTCTTGTGCAATTCGGGCGCGGCACTGGTTTGAGGAGCGAACTTCGTGTAGCCTCTGAAGAATAATCTCGATCATTCCTCTGCCTGTTCTCAAACGCCGCATATATCGTTGTTGTTCTTCATAGTGAGAACAGGCGCTTAACGGGAGTTCGCTCTTGAGCTTTATGAACATCTCGGTAGGCGTTCTGATCGGTGGTAAACTAGCTAGGCTCCACCTTGAAAGAACCCGTTCCCTCAAATATAGATAGGCTAGAATGGCCCTCATGATGCGCTGTGAACGGATGTGGATGCAAGAGTAGGCATGTGATCTACTAACATCGCTAGATGCGCGGGCACTACATCGCGAAGCGCTGATAAATTGAGAAATACGTGCGAAAGAAGCGGGTAGGTGGTGGTAAAAAGGGGGCTCGCAATATGTCGCGGATTCGTGCACGAACAAGTGGACTTCGTTCTTTCGTGCAAAGCGGGTAGGAAATACTGGCGGTGTTGAACAAGGCCGAAGCTGCACTAATGTTAGCAGACACGCAGAGTATCCGTAGTGTAAAACGCCTGAGGGCATGTGGGAGAGAAAGCGCAGAAGGGGCGCTAAAAATTCAACAAAGCAACTGAAGCACAATGGGATGTGAAGAGGAAAGGACATGGGGGTGATGATTACATATCGGCAACTTGAGGGCGGGCCAATGATAGTGACTTGTTCGGTGACGTGCGCATCGAGATTGTTTTTCAACGAAGTTGTTCTACTAGCCCGAGTCTCACAGAGGGGATGAAAAAAAATCAAAGAACTAATAAAAGATTACCGAGTGGGAAGAGACTATGCGACAAGGGGCAAGTACTTGTCATTAGAGACGGCCTCGATATGATTGGAGTGAGCGGTACTTCGATGCATTCGGTATGCGAGTACTGCAGTGAATTATATCCTGTATGGCTATCAGCCTAAACGATTAGCTTCGGCCATCTCAGCGACATTAATGAGATCCCAATTTGCAAGTGAACATGTGCGAGTGTGTCAAATTGTTGACTGTGGGGGTGGTGCACGCGGGTGGGGTAGGGGATCGTCGATTAGTGTTATGGGGGTTGTGTAAGAGGCTAGAGCTAAGAGAAGTGTTGGAATGATCAATTAGCTCAGCTTCATGCAAAAAAAAAACGCGTAAGAAATGAAAGCAGCCATCCAAGTCCTCACAGCCCTACCCCCACCATGTTACAACCTCCACCAGTACATGCTTCCTCACAAAACATCAACTCGCAACTGGAGGCTCTACTGCAGCGGATAGTACGGGCACTCACGTCTCGGCATGAGAAGCGTGCCAAGGCAAAGACAAAAACCTTGCAAAAGTGTGCACGAGAAGCTGAAGCGGAATGCCATCGGCAGACTGCCAAAGCTGATGCCTAGTGTTATGCGCCTCTCGAAAAATGTGTTTTGGCGTAGCGCAGGTGTCGTAGTTGGTCGTATCGCATTTCTTGCTTACATAATGCCACACTATCTTTGGCTGAGTAAGTGAGTTGCCGCTCCCCATTAGAGAACGACATCATGCATCATGAACGTTTGAACCATCACATGTGTCGTTATCATCCTTCCCAGTACCGCTAGCAACGTTTTTGCATCGTACCGTCTTTTGCCATTCATGGTAAGTAGTGTTTTGTGGTATATAACACATTCAAATACATTCAGATTAGGTTTTCAGTTGGTGGACGTAACGACTATGATGCTCGAAAATCTGCCGGAGCAGGGTCGGCAGCGCCGGCCCCTAGTTCAAACGTTCGCGGACTGACGAGTATACTCGTGCCAGCTTGCTTATGTGGAGTAACAGGCGAATATTCCAATCGCTTGACACCAAATTGCCAACAGCTTTTGCTTCGAAAGGTAGATCTTTATAGGTGGCAATCTGCTGGCATTGCAGCGATATCATTTCTTCGAAAAGGGATTCTGGCGGGTGATTTTTCCTAGCCACGAAGAACAATACTCAGCACATAAAAGCAAGGCGTCTTCCTGCTGCCCCCTTCAAATCCAATTGATCACATATCGCATCCTTACAAACTATGCGTTTCACCTTAATCCTCGCCGTTGTTGCTGCTTTGACATTGTCAACGTCTGCCGCATCAATATCTACCAATGACGCATCACCCAGTGAACTATCTGAGGCTGACATATGTCCCGTCTTTTGCTCGCACTCGCCAAAATGCCATAAGTGTCCTGATGGATATTGCGTGAGCATGCTGCGTTCTGGATTTCACCACATAGCTCACCGGCGTGGCAGTTTTTCTTTACGTGCTTCTAGTGTAGCGGTGAGTCACTTTCACATTGCAGTATGGTTGATGTCATGACACGTGAGTTACTAGTAGTGTGTGTTGCTGAGTTGATCAACGCATTTGCTTTTGAACCAATTTTACTGTTGCTTGAGGGATGGAGATCTGGTTTTCTGCGCTAGCCTCGTGCCTCGGCTAGCGCAGAATTAAGTCTACGCTTGAGTAAGCAGAGTGGCACAACGCACCTTGCTCCAACCCACATCGGTAATCGAGCCTCAGCAGCTCGTTTATTAGATTTCTCGTATTATCTACTCTATATCTCCCAGTCTTTCTTTACACCCACCCGCCACTCCCTCTCTCAGGGCACGACAAAACACTTGATTCACCACTCCATTAACTATTTTGTCCGATGCACTGCGTTCGCTAACTAAGGTTTCAGACTCCACGCATAGTGACCTGATCGGTACCCGCCCACCCATCACTGCTCACTTGAAACCATTAGATTCGTGCACATGCGCCGGGCCGAAAAGCCTTCCAGGCTTTTGCCCAAATACTTCCCCATTTCGTACATCAACCGTTACTAAAAATTCTTTGTAACTAAACTCTATCATTTGACCAACCTCGTTACCACTCACCAGCCTCTACGCGTCGAAAAGCATAGATTGTAATATAGGACTCGTTTTTGTGTAAATGCTGCGTTTGTTACTTGAAAGCTGCCGCTCCCCATTTGCCCGGCATCATGAACTTAAAATATCACGTGTTCTAGTCACATGTGTGAACATTTCGTCCACTCCCTGAGTAAGCAGGTTGTTTGAGCTCTTCGACTGGCGGTTGCAGACTCCAGAGCTGCTCAGCGCTCAACCTGCACTATGGCGACAAAAGAAGACCAAGAGGCGCTGCGTCTTCTCGTCCAACATGTCTCCCGAGGATTTTACGAGCCAAAGTTCACTATTATCATGGACCAGCTAGCCCGTCATCCGGTGTAAGTATCTAGAATGTGGATGAAACAGGGCCCGTTAATCTTAACTGCAATGTGCACCCATGACCACTAATTTGAGACCAGTCTCAAGGATGACGACTTGGCCGGGCGGATGGGCCTTCAGGCGAAGGAATTGAATAAACTTATGGCTGTTTTAGGGAACGATCGCCTGATACAAGTGTAGGCATTGCGGCGTTTGTTTCTCTACAATGATATCTCATCTACCCCCAAAGGTACCGCCAGAACGAGCTCAAGGAGGGGGCACAGAGGTCTGTCGGCAGACAGTACTATTATATCGACTACAAGCTCTTTTGTGACGTCGTTAAATGGCGTATCGCAGAAATGCGGAGAATTATAGACTCGGGTCTCCGTAATGTCAGTCTAGCCTCATATTTCCTACGATGCACTGAAACAAATGGTTGGGTCTAAAGGAACTTGACAACAAAGGCTACATCTGTCCGCAGTGCAACAAATCGTACACGCCGTTAGAAGTCGACAAGCTGATGGACTTTTCAAGAGGAATATTTGCGTGCGAGGACTGTCACGCAGAAGTTGTGGAGAACGAGAACGCGGAGAACGTTAGGGGGAGTAAGGACCGGATGCAGAGGTTCAACCACGAGATGCGGTTTGTTGTCGAAGGTTTGAGAAAGACAGAGTCTATGGTTCTTCCAGCGTGGGTATCTTAATATATCAACCGCATATCCTTTCTGACGCAGTATGTCACAGACTCGATGTCCCTACCTGGGTCAAGAATAATGTCGGTGACGCTGAAAAGCAAAAGACTGGCCAGGTATCAGGTTTGAAAATAGCAGGATCTGGACCTGGTGGAAGACAAGAAGATGGTGTTGGCATAGTCATGTCAATGGATAAGGACGAAGCAACGAGACGGCACGAACGAGATGCCGAGGCAGCGGCAAAGCGACAGCAAAACGCCCTGCCAGCATGGCATCTGAAGAGTACTATCACCGGCGATTTGACGGCTCTGGGTATTCAGGAGAGTGCGCGTGCGGTGGGGAGAGAAGGCGAAGGTCTACCGGTGTCCAGCGACGACTCTCTCAAAGGGCTTGGAACTATTGGCACTTTACCGCGTCCACTCCAGTTGACGACGGTGACGGAAGATGTCAAACCAGAAATCAACCAAGAGATGGATTGTACGTCGTTTGTGAAATTTTTATCATTATGGTGATCTAACGGTAAACAGATTACGATCAATACTATGCCTCGTTGGCGGCTTCTAACGCAGTATCTTCTCAGAACACGCCTTCTGGCCTCGGAAGTGAAGAGTTTGAAGAGGAGGAGCAAAAACCCTCTGTGCAGTACCTAGATTCCCTCAATGATTACAGGAAGCGCTCCCGATCAAGAGATGACGAAGGTGCTGCGGCGACGAAGTTGTCCAAATTAGAGGTGCCAGAACTAGAATCAAACGTCGCTGGTCTTCCCAGCGTGGACACAGATTCTGTGATGGAGGCAAACGGGACGGATGATACCCCTGTATTAGGTAGGTTTTCATTCTCATTATTAAGATTTTTGTATCCTCACCATCGTGCCGCTTTCGCAGTCAATGGCGTCTTAAAACCGTTCTCAGAGGTCACAGATGAAGATACCGAACTCATGACACCAGACGAGTATACCGCTTACTACGAAATTCTGCAGTCGCAGTCGTAGATCCAATTTATTAAAGCTACCCTGGGTCTGAACGATACAGGGACACACATTATAATTTTTTACTGATTCAATGATAATAATGCATTCATGTGTATTACCGAAGCGCTGGCAGCGTTCGAGTATGGTGAACTCTCAGAAATAAGACAATTGTTCCTCCATGCATAGTGCTCAGTCTCGCTGACCGACAGACACAAACAAAACATGTATCTGACAGGAAATGAAAATTTGGTTGCAATTCTAAGATAACAAAGGGCGGATGTGAGACATAGACAATATTGGGTTGTGAGGAGTGGTGGACGAAGCGAGGAATACCACAAGAACAGGAAGAGGGCCAGATACTGGCGTTGATTACAGCTGGATCCGAAGTTCGCACTCAAGCTCCGGCAAGTCAGTCGGCTGCTCGCATTTCGGCCCCACTCTCCGCGACACAAACAGCAGCGCAAACCGACAACTGGTAAACTGTATTGACTCCGAGTCTAGTAGGGTTGTCGAGCAGCATCTCAGTTCTTACCACAGGCTGAGATGTGAGCCTCTTTGAAGTGCTAACAAGTTGTTTTACTAGCTCACGGTCAACCCCCGTTCCGAGTTCCTTATTAAAGTGATACATTCCTTTCGATCCTTAGACACAACCGTTGCGCACGAAGTATATACCGTCGTTATGTCAATCTACTATCTACTCACTACCCACTTGCTAGCGATATTGGTAGATCCGACGGAGTCCCTTTGCACGCAGTACTTATACACCTAGACTACTCGTAGTTACCCAGTGTGTTTTGAACCCCCGAATTCTAGACTTTGATCCTGTCTATCGAGTTCGAACGCATTCTTCTAGTGTGCCGTTGTCTTCGAGCCTAATAACACGCTAAATAGTCAACGTCACACCGCCACTTACCCCAATTCACAAGAGTGCGTATTATCTATTTCGCACTTACAATTGTACTCACGACTTCGATAGCTTGTCAGCCATGGATTTTAACGTTTTCGATTCAGTCAAATTACCTTGCGGTCGTACTGTTGAGAACAGGCTGGTTAAGGTAGCGTATTGTCTACATAATCTGAAGATAGTTGCTTAAACTGGTCGTTGTCATAGGCAGCCATGTATGAGCACCTGTCAAGTTTCTCCGGTGGTCCACCAAACGAATTCCACTATGGCTTGTATACTGAATGGGCAAAACATGGATGGGGAATGATTCTCACTGGAAATGTGCAGGTCTCACGTCAGCATCTGACCTTGGGCCGTGACATGGTTGTGCCTACTACACTCAATGCGGAAGACCTCAAACCCTTCGAAAAGTTAGCGGCAGTCATCCACGGAGGCGATGATAACACACGCACCCTGGCTATCATGCAGCTATCGCATGCTGGACGTCAATCAGCGAATTTTATTGGTGGTCGACCACCTTTCGTTGCACCACTGGCACCCAGTTCTATCCGTGTTGGGGCAGGTTCTACTGGAAATCCTGGAAGGGCAATCTCTGACCTGGCGTTTCATGCGATGTTCCAAATTCCTACGGAGATGACCATACAAGACATTCTCAATGTCCAATCCAGTTTCGTGCGAGGTGCTCTCTTGGCGTACAAATCAGGCTTCGATGGAGTCCAGATTCATGCTGCTCATGGTTGTGAGTCCACACGTCATTCGTGCTGATGTATCTGGGTTGAATTTGGATTTTTTTGCAGATTTATTGGCGCAGTTCATGAACCCTAAGGTGTGGTCATCGTCACGGTGTGCTTCCAGAAGCTAATCAAACTTAAATGCCAGAGTAATATCCGGAACGACGAGTATTCAGTAACGCCGGAAAATGTCACCCGCATGCTGTACGAGATAATTAAAGCCATCCGCGAGGTGGTGCCAACCACTTTCGTCATCGGGATCAAAATCAACTCGGCTGACTACGTGACTTCTGGAAGCGCCGAAGAAGCATCTCAAGGCGAACGGCGTATCCTGGATCACATTCGCACCATTGCAAGTTGGGGCGTCATCGACTTTATCGAGATCAGTGGTGGCGATTACGAAAAGCCTGGTAAGGTGTCGTATAAGGAGAATGAAGGTTCCTTGGAGTCTGACACAATCGTTTACTCAGACTTTTCGGCGTGTGGTGGATCTCAAAAACTAGACCGCCAGGCCTTTTTTGCGCAGTTCTCACAGATAGTCATGAAGGACCTTCACCGATCGCCTGTCCCTTTCTCTTCGGTCCCACTCATCCTACTGACTGGTGGCCTCCGTTCTCAGTCCTACCTACAAGCTGCCTTGGTATCGAAGCACGCCGACTTACTAGGTATTGGGAGAGGCGCTGTCGTCTGTCCCGACCTGCCCAAGATCCTTCGATTACAGCTACAAAATAGCAAGTATTCTAGCGATTGGGATGACAGGCCTTTTGCACGCGAACCAGAAACAGCGCTCAGAGCTTCTAAATTGGTACCGAGGGTGAAGCTCATTGGCCTCGGCTTCGGGAGTGCATGGTATATTATTAGAATGAGAGACATTGCTGTCTCCCAGATCAAGAACTCCAGAGCAGAGCCACCACCCGCGGACTACAACAAGGGGATATTGATCACTTTGTTCAAGATGTGGGCTTGGTTCGACTTTAGAAAGAAAAGAAAAATAGTTTCGATTTGGATCCTAGGGATATCTATGATGCTCATTGTCACAGTCGGGGTTCTCTAACCCATGCTGATCGGGACGTTCATGCCGGTGCGGCCTCCGAGCAGGGCGGGACGGCCGAAGGCACCTTGGGCAGCACTAGTACACTTCTTTGTTCCCAAGACAGTAACTCATTATAAATTATCACCATTTGTCTCATCCTAACCAGGAGACATTGGACGGACTACTCGTCACCATCCGATATGCGTTTGACTTGTGCGGCTCATCCAGGACTTCTGACCAGCTGACCAGGTTGATCTGAGAAGCGACTTACGATGGCCATCTCATTGTCCTCATTCTCATTCTTCCGATATATCTCCACGCGCGATATCATCGAATGAGTTGTGCTGATTCAACCATTCCCCATTTCTGACAAAGTTTGCCTCTTCATAGTTGTGCCGAAATCAGTCACGGATGACCGTGTTCTTGGAAGCCTCGTTATCTTGCTACGAGTCGGCTTCCCCGGCTGCTAGTAGAATCGTCATGATGATAAGCATCTTGCATGAATGCATTACATCCGTATTATTGTTGTTCGCCAAGGCATGAGCTTTCGGCACATGTGGTCCGTAGAATGCATGAGGCAGCTCAGGTGAGCGTCGCAACTCTCGCGATTGTCATTGCTTAGTAAATATAGTTCTGAAGAGGGCTATAAAACCAGGACGTGTGGCGCCATGATATCAGCCTAACAATTGATTCTTGTATTAGCGGTATCAGCATGCCTGCAACAACATCAGTCACACTCAACACTGGAGCAGCCATGCCCACGGTCGGTCTTGGTGAGCACAGCCAAAGGGGTAACCATATGTACTGAGCGCTTGCGAATGTAGGCACATGGAAGTCAAAGCCCGGTCAAGTCGAACATGCTGTTGAATTCGCCTTGAAGAACGGATACACGCACATCGACACTGCTGCTGGGTACCAGAACGAAACAGAAGTCGGACAGGGGATCAAGGCGTCCGGTCTGCCGAGGGAGCAAGTCTTCCTGACCACGAAGCTTGATAATCCCGATCAGAGGCACCCAGCAAAAGCTCTTGAGGCATCGCTCAAGAAACTTGACACTCCCTATCTGGACCTCTGTAAGTGGCAGCCCATTCACCGATCTTGACGAGTAGGCTCATTCCTCGAGCAGGGCTCATGCACTGGCCAGCTCCCATGACAAGAGATGGTAAACCCGATAGGGAACATAGCTGGTTGGACACCTGGAAAGCTATGGAAGACCTATACATTGCTCACCCAGAGAAACTGAAGGCCATTGGTCAGTAGCCCAACCTCACGTGCTGTCTCTGTACTAAAAATGCATCAGGTGTTTCCAATTTCTCCGTGGAGTTCTTTGAACGCTTGCTGAAAGTTGCTCGCGTCGTACCGGCCGTGAACCAGATTGAGCTCCACCCGTAAGTCAATACATTTTTCTTTGAACACTTGATTTTGAATGATCGTTGGTAGTTCGTGTCCTCAAGATGATGTCGTCGAGTACTGCCAGAGCAAGGGAATTGTGTTGACGGCTTATTCTCCACTGGGATCCGACAATTCCCCCTTGTTGAAAAACGAGACAGTTACAAAAATCGCAGCAAAGTACGATGTGCAACCCGCCAATGTGTTGATCTCCCTTCATGCAAACAGGCCCATGCACACTGGTGTGTAGTCTTCATGAACATTCTCACTGGAGAGCTCGGTTCTCAATTGTCTACCACAGTGCTTCCCAAGTCCGTGACCAATGAGCGTATCTTGAGTGAGGTGTTATTCCATCCTTATTTCTGGCTGTTATTCATTATTCTCCTCAGACAATGCGAAGATCATAGATTTGACTCCTGAGGAAATTAGCGAGCTTCATGACATTGATAAAACGCACCATTTCCGTGCCTGTCACCCTTCTTGGACAGGTTTCGGTGGTCTTGGATTCCCTGATTGCAAGTAGGTTAATGGGTAGTCAGAGTATAGACGTAGGCACGAATTCAACGCATTTTTGAAAGTTCTATGATGGGGAGACCATGATAGCAGAATGCGTACTACTCAGTGCCGACCAAAGGGGATCGCTTGTTCTTCTAATGATTGTGACAAATTTGATGATCAATCTACGAGAACAGTTTCTTGTATGACTTCTTCTCCCTCTCCCTTTTGTCCTTCTTCTTCTGCCTCACTTTCGCGAGCTCCCCCAGGATCGCAGGGTCTTCAGGTGCAAGCTGACTAGCAGCAACAAGGTCCGCTTCAGCTTCATCTTCCTGCTTAAGAATGACTTGCGCTGACGCCCTACGATAAAGAGCCTTGGCTTTATCTGGGTTGCTCAACTGCAGACGGTCCAAAGCTCGCGTTGCATTCTTAACCGCGGTTTCAGCGGCTGCGGGTTGCGTGCGTAGCGCAGCGAGTGCCGAGTTCAATAGAAGGGGTGCAAGAAGTGATTCATAAGAGTCCTTGAGCTCCGGTGGAGAGTTTTCCGGTAATACGGGATGCACGTCAAGGTACCTTATCGATTCTGATATTTTGTTAACAATGCGGGTGAAGGATATTTACAGGACTACTCACTGAGGTACGTTTTGAGTGCGAGTTCTATTTGCCCATCCTTGAAGAGCTTGTTACCGAGCTCACGGATTTTACGTGCGATATCCAGCGCAACTTCGGGGTTCTGCACATCAGAATCGTCGTCTTCAGGGTAGTCCTCGTGGTCGTCACCAACAGTTGTCTCAGAAGTCGTGAGGGAGGGGTCATCCGGTGAGAGAACGCCACAAGCGGAGATAATGATGGGGGAAGTTGGGACATCTCCTGACGCAGTAGGGAAGTTTTCAATTGCACGGACTGCGCATGGTAAGCAATTCGTCGAAAAGCAAGACAGACGCATGGGCGATATATCATACCTACTGATTTGCCCTTGATCACTTCACCGAAAACCACGTGCTTGCCATCAAGATGGGGTGTTTGGTTCACGGTGATGAAGAATTGCGAACCATTAGTATCTTTTCCCGCGTTTGCCTAAGAAGTTGATTTAAACCTACTCTCCTTGATTAAAAATGAGGTGGAATTCTACCATGGACAACAAGAAAGGTTTCGTGTGCTTCACGGGGAACGCCTCATCTTCGAATTTCTCGCCGTAAATTGATTCCCCTCCGGTGCCTATCTAAACGATGAATTTGCAACATCCGGATGTAACTTTGGGACGCACCATTGCCTGCCGTGAAGTCACCACCTTGACACATGAAACTGGAACATTTCATCAGCCTTCATTGCAACATAAGGAGACGGAAAGCTTGTACCCCTTGATCACGCGATGAAGGCCAGATCCGGCATAGCAAAGGGGTTTGCCAGAGTTTCCGATACCCTTTTCACCCGTACATAATGCACCTGCAAACATTAAAACCTTGAGCGATTAAATACGTATCTGAGAACTCACGGAAGTTTTCCGCTGTCTTGGGTACTAAGTCTGCGTACAGCGAGAACACGATACGCCCAATGGGCTTGCCACCGATGGTGATGTCAAAGTAAGCGTTAGGACGCTCTGCAGGTGCTTCAGACATGTTGCGCTTAGCAGACAAACGAATTCTTGAAGAACAATCAGTAGAGCGCTTGTAAGTAAGTTGGCAAGTCACGAGTTGGCAAGGGTTTTAAACGCCAGATCGGATGCTGTAAGAGTGACGAAGTTCTGGTTGTTTCTGGCAGTTTCGAGAACTATCGCCGATATCATCACGTCTCCATCAGTTCCAACCCCGGCTTGCTGTCAAATGCCTTCAGTCCATCCTCCACTGGTTCCTCGCGCACAGGTCCTCAGAGTGCAGTCAGTGTTTTGATCCACGTCCACAAGGGATGCGCACATGCCATCACTGTTTCAGGTAACCTACAGGTAAACTGATCAAGATGGTGTCGAGGCCTAAAAATTATTCGCTTTATCCGCGTGAAGGTGATGCCTTCGAACGGGCGTGGTCGCATGTATCAAAGGGCTTCAGCTCCCGGGCTAGCAATACAGACCCTTTTATAATAGGTATAAATATAAAAACAATACTGCTTTCTCGTGAGCTCCGACATTTGCCAGCTAAGCAGCTATGATTCAGTATCCCACCCGCAAAATTGGAACCGATGATGTCTCTGCCATTGGTTTTGGTGCCATGGGACTCTCAGCATTTTACGGTCAGACTGGACTGGATGAAGAACGCCTCAAGGTGAATTCAAGTACTGCGGAGCACTCCGGGATATTTCTATATGCTTATAGCTAACTATCCCTTTGAGATGTTGGATAAAACATATGAGCTTGGCTGCACTTTCTGGGACACTGCTAATGTCTACGGGGACAATGAAGAGCTCATTGGTAAATGGTACGCCCCACCGTGCTGTTAGGCAAGAGCACTCCACAAACCACGAGACCAGGTTCAAGCTGAACCCCGAAAAGCGGAGCAAAATCTTTCTTGCCACAAAATTTGGTCATACTAAGTCTGGCCGAGGGATTGACGGGTCCCCCAAAAATGTCCACGAGTCATTTGCAGAATCGCAGAGGTTGCTTGGCGTTGATAAGGTCGAGCTTTACTACTTACACAGGTGCGAACGGCATGTCAGGATGATTATGCTCGAACCTCACTGGATATCATCCTCACGCAGACCTGATACCCAAACACCAATTGAAGTACGTGTCTGTCGGTGGAGTTTCGGTGTATATCTAAAGCCGGTCAGGAAACTGTCGGCGCCATGGCAGAACTTGTAAAGTAAGCCAACACCTCCTGTAATCTTGGCTCTAGTTTATTCCTGGAAAGACAGGGGAAAGTAAAGTACCTCGGATTGTCGGAATGCAGTGCGGACACGCTACGCCGGGCTCAGAAAGTGCACCCTATCGCTGCTGCCCAAGTGGAGTATTCACCCTTCACACTTGACATCGAGGATCCACAGCTTAACATCCTAAACACGGCCCGTGAGCTTGGAATCAAGATCATTGCCTATTCGCCTCTTGGGCGTGGTTTGATCACAGGACAGTATGTAAGTATCACGGACTAGCAGAACCATTTGACACTCACAGCATGAAAGACAAGCCCGGAGGATTTCGAATCTAATGACTACAGGCGGACAATTCCTAGGTATGCGTTGTGTCAGTGCCTTAGTGAGGACTCACGAGAACCACATGTTATTAGATACTCAAAGGAGAACTTCCCTAACATCTTAAAGCTCTCAGACAACCTGAAAAAAGTAGGCGAGCATTACAATGCGACTGCCGGACAAGTGGCTTTGGCGTGGCTTCTTGCTCAAGGTGACGACGTCATCCCCATTCCCGGTACAAAGAAGATCAAGGTTAGTGGCCGCATCACAGCGTACAATCTCGGGCGTTTATCGCTTTGACATGGACAGTATCTCGAAGAGAACCTCTGTGCTATCAAGGTGCCGTTGAGCCCTGAATCAGTCCAGGAAGTCCGAATGATTGCAGAGAAGGCGGATTGGGTGATAGGGGATCGCTATCCTCCAGCATCTATGAAGACGCTGTATGCAGAGACCCCACTTCCAAAGAGCACCTGAACTCCACCATAGACTCGATAGTTGTAGCTGTACATGTCTGATGCAGCATGTATGAAACTGTCGGACGGTGCTAAATCATAACAGTGCGTACATTGATTCAATATGATTGGGCCTACACTCATCAATTGTAACACCTGCTTGTTCGAGTCAATCCTGAGATTGCTGAAGCTACGAGCTCGTGGCCGTAGCCATGGGCATTGCAGTGAAACACGAAGGGTGAGGCATAGAATGGCCTGAAGAGCTGTACTAGTCTCCGCTACAAAGTGGACTTGAAGAGAACATCACGATATTTGCAAATTGCATTGGGTAAATATAGCACAATAGTAAGTATACGCACGAAGGTACTTGACTTGGGAAAACGACCAAGGGACCTAATGAATGCCGCTCCAAAGCGATAAATCAACCAGCGTGTCGCAAGCAACGATGATATCATACCTCCAGCTGGAGCGTCCCTCCTACAATTCCTCAGCCCCAATAACCTAGCATCACCTCCAAAATGCTTGTTATCTCACCAGCTTCCTAAATGGCCGCAGTCAAAGGCAAACAAACAACACATTGGGGGGGAGGTTAATCTTCGCGATGGTGCGAACGATCCGAGACGTCAATAACAAGACGCTCGGACGCGAGATTAACCTCGAGTATGAGGCAGCAAATAATGATTCTCAAATCAAATGAAACAAGTGTGTGAGTGGCCAGCAATGAAGGGAAAGACAAAGAGCGGACAGGAGACGTTGACTGACGAAAGGCCACTCGCTTAGTAACTAAACTGCACAGAGTGGATGGCAGTCTGAGCGTTGGCTGATTATGACATAGCTGACATATCGTTTTTGGGCGATCTGACAGTTAGCTCCTGAAGGGACGTCTTTCGGCATGGGTTTGGGATTGGCACTGGGGAAGAATTCGACATAGAGACGCGATATTTGATGTACCCTACTGGAAAAAAAACGTCAGTTTCAAATACAAGTACACAGAATGCGCGAATTGGGCCCGCAAAAAGACTATGTAAGTTGACTAGTTGGCAGTCACCCCAAGTCGGAACATACAGGAGGACGATAGGTCTGTCATCACATACATATTACGCTTTTGTTCGTAAAACATCCACAAGTCCTGAATGGACATGAGAACGTGGCGAAATACTACACGGGAAGGTCGTAACGGCACTACAGTGGTGGAACTATCAGTAGCGAATGCAATGACACAAGAAAACCAAGTACCGAGTGAGTCCTGTCAGAAATTGGGGGGTGAAGTCGATCACGTTGCCTTGGTCATCTCTGGCGGAAGAAAAGTCCACCGTGGCCAACATGGTCACAATGGCGGACCACAGAGAGGCATCGCCAGCATATCGGCCTGATCAAATAATGTATTGGCTCATCACAGGCTACACAGCAATAAAATAGTTGAACCCACCTGGACATCCACGCCGGCCTAAGCCAAAAACGTATTCCGCAGGGTCATCATCAGTCAAAACACCATTGACGTCCAAGAATCTCTCTGGTATAAAGCTAGATGCTTCGGGGTACCGCTTTTCATCCCGTGAAATGCCCCTGCAATATAACATCAGCATCTCGACAGCTGAGGAGAATCAGTCTGACCATATGTTGTATAAAACAGTCGCCCCTGACGTGATGTTATCAGTGATTTGTTGATTAGATGAAAAGAGCAGACCTTTTGGAATGAAGAAACCATCGTATATGTCATCACTCGATGTAGCATGCGGTATGCCTATAAGATCATTGTCAGTAAAGACGAGATAATTCGGCGGAGAAGAATACCAAGGGGTGCAACAGGATGCCATCGGAAAGTCTCCCGCAGAACTGATTCGACATATGGTAGTGATACTCTGTCCTCGAAAGTAGGTAAGCGATCTCTTCCTGTCACTGAGTCGATCTCCGCCTGTGCCCGTCTCTGAACATCTGGATATAATACCATGGCGAGAGCAAAAACCATCAAGATCGACGTAGTCTGTGACAAGGATGAGCAGGAGACAACATGAATTGGACATTAGCTGACCGACTCATATGAACCTGCATAGATATTTTTCAAAGAACGGCATGATGCCCCGTGTCAAAAATTGACGAACCAATGATAGCAGTAGTAGCTGCTTTCTTCAAGGAGCTCTCAAACAATGGTCCGGATGCCTGATCTTGCTTCTCCATTCGTTGAAGATTTTCTGTCACCATAGAACACTTGCCAAGAACCGAGTTTTCGGCCTTGGCATGCACGGAATCAATGGCTAATGTCTTTAAAAACAAAATATGCCCACCATATGTTGCTGTGTATATCGAAATGACGTCTCCATCATTTCAGTCATGCGATTAGTCGAAATTTGAGCATCACGTTTGATCGAGGATCCCCAGCACCAGTCAGGTAACCTCAGCACTGCATGAGGACACGGGATGTCAAGTCTTTCTCATCAATGAGAACGAGCTTACAAAAAGGGAAGAGTTTAAGCAAGATTGCTCTCTCTGGGGTTATCACCTTGAGTCCAATTTCTACTGCCTTTTCCATAATTCGAATCAGAGGATCATCACGAGCACTGGGTTGGTAGTCATATACCACCGACATCGCAACAGAGGACGAAAATCTGTGAACAGCGTTAACAATCGTTCGGTATTTACGAACACATTGGCTGACGTTACGAAGTGAGTATGATAATGTTGAGAGTCATCAATTAGATTGACGATCATCTCACGAGCCCGTCTCATCTGCATCGGGCGAAACTTGAGTGCAGAGTCAGGACGAAAGGTTTGGTGGAAGAGTCGTCGGCAAAGACGCCATTCATCGCCATAAGGTGCGAATGCAAAGACAACCGACCAACCAAATCTGGCTGCACTTCAGAATAATTGAATTGAATGATAGGAAAACGCACGGCTCCACTGTTGCTATGGTTGGTCGATCAGAGTAGATTCGAGAACGCTTATCCAGTAAGGCTTCTGCAACACGCTGAGAATTGATCACTACGACTTCCTAGCCGAGAAGTCGCACGAAAACCACATCTCCTGATACAATGATTTGCACCATATATACACCATACTATCTGTTCACGTACCATAAGTAGCGCGCCATTCCGTATAAGTCAACCAAGGTTCCTTTGTGTCAAGAGACAAAATGTTCCCTAACAGTGAGAGCGGCACTGGTCCAGGAGGGAGGGAAGGTTTGTTTTGTTTGTTCTCGATAAACCGCTTGAGTGCTGTGATGACAACAAGGGACACGGGTAAGACGGCGAGGATAGTAAGGCGACCATCAACTGAAGGAAACATGGTTAGAAGAACTTAGAACAATGCGTGGGTAGGTGTCCTACGCATGAAACGGACCTTATAACTTCACGAAGAGCCGATTATCATTATCTATCTCGCTTTGAGAATTGGAACAAGACTGAAGAGGTGAGAAATTCTACAAACGGAAGAATCAATCAAATGCGACACATAATGAAAACGTAAGATCTTACTGTAACTTAATTCCATCAAAGGAGGGAGTAGTGTCACAGGCGAGAAGATGGAGGTGAAGCCCATAGAAGGATTCAGCCGTCTTCCAACGGATTGACGATGTGTGGGGAACACGATTAGGTCGAAGTAGCGGATGGTTTATGATGACTATGTAAGAGGATGTGAGATTTCTTGGGACGAGTTGGACACAGCTTGAAACCAAGCCATTCACCTTGCATCTTTGGACACCCTGCATGAACACGCACAGGCACGACTGCAATGCTAACTTGTCTTCCATCCTACAGCAATAGGGATTACGGAGTGGCAGATGATTCTTGGGCGCTTCAACTGCACAGCCCATGCTATATATAAGCTGTGAAGCGCATGACAAACGTACCAATACGCGATGAACTCAACTCTGACTTGACCGAAACGCTCATTATCTCCTACTGTCCGCCCGTTGCTGTTGTCCTCGGTAAGTGATGAATTTGGAATTTTGTGGGTGAATGCTGAGACGACGCTGCACTCGGTAGTTGGAATTCTGGAATGTCTTCACCAACCACTGAAAAGAAAGAGATATCAGCAATAACGCCTCGCCAGAAATTTGAAGGACACACCAATTTCGTCCGCGGAGCCATACACCTACTTGACAGACAGCGGATCATTACTTGTTCAAATGATGGCTCGCTGCGGGTATGGAACTTGGAGAGCGGGAAACAAATAGGAGAAGACTGGCAGGACGGAGATAGTGAAGTGATCAGTATGGCGTTGTCTCCGGATGGGAAGAAAGTGGTTAGCGGGAGTGTTGACGGTGGAGTCACTGGAGTGAGGTTATGGGACATCGAGACAGGCAAGGTGATCGCAAGATGGACGGGGCACACAGATACAGTGTCTTCTGTCTGTTGGAGTCGAGATGGTCAGCAAGTACTGAGCGGATCTTCTGATGGGACAGCGAGGCAGTGGGATGTGGAGAGCGGAGAGACAATCCTGGAACCCGCGCCAATCAACACAGGACATCTACAAGTGTTCACAGCCATCTATTCGCCAGACACCACCATGATTGCAACTGGTGGACGTGATAAGCCATTGGATGAACGTAATCAAGAGTCCTCGATTAAAATCTGGGATGCCAAGACAGGCGAGCTTGTCGCAACTCTCAAAGGACACGCCAATTGGGTGTCGTGCCTGGCTTGGACCGGGAATGGAAAAACGCTCATCTCCGGGTCCCGTGATCACTCAATTCGGACATGGAATACTACAAAAACATGGACGCAGATCGCGGTTCTCGATGCGCACACTGCCGATGTCTGGGGCATTGCAATATCTCCAAATGGCCGCATCCTCGCAAGCGCATCGGGCGACGAGACAGCGCGATTGTGGAACCTCGACAGCGGCCAGCCCATCAGTTCTCCACTCCTGCATCTATATCATGCTTTCTGCGTATCTTTTTCCGCGGATGGAAAACTACTAACAACTGGCTGCTGGGACAAGAACGCGTACTCATGGGATGTTGCTACCATTCTCAAAGAAGCTGGCCTCGACGAGCTTCTGTTGGATCCAAAGGTGAGTCGACAGGCATTCATTACATTCTCATCACTGAACGCGCTCTGTCAGGCCAACAGGATGGCACTCCCTGTACGTAACACCTTCGTAAAAGATCTCATTGCGTTCAAACATATAAACTCTAGGACCTTCTCGATGTGCAGAAGGTAAGATGGCGTCCACTCAGGCTTTGTTTTAGCGAATGCTCACTTTGGTGATACATAGGCCATCGCACTCGAGCCTTCGTCTCATGTCGGATATCAATCGAAGCATACAGCGCTTCATGGCACGCAACGCTACAATGAAACAATTGAGCCCTTCCAAACGATGCTAGCGAGGTTGGACAGTGCTCATGATTTGCAAACACAAAGTAAGCCCTAAGTAACATGCGCGTCCAGCTACTCAACTCGTCCCTCAGAGCTGCGCGGGAAGTACGTCAGTCACTCAAAAGCAGAAGATCTCATTCGAAGGTCCATCGACGTTCAACCCTACACTGCCCCACTTCGTCTACTCCACACTACTACGGGGCTCTTATGTGATCGAGTGGCGCAGATAAGCGCCTTCAAAACAAGCTCAGAATACAACGAGCTTCTGTTATCGATCATGACGCATACAGACCTCCCAATGGGGCGCATTGCAGACGCGGTGGCAACGTACTTCCGTTACGTCATGTTATCCCACAGATGGGGAGAGAACGAGCCACTGCTACACGATATCCAGGATAAGGTCGTGTACAAGTTAAATACAGCTGACGGTCTCGTGAAACTGCAGTCATTTTGCACAATAGCTCGTGACGCGGGATATCACTGGGCGTGGGTTGATTCATGTTGCATCGACCAGAACAACAACGTCGAGCTCCAAAAATCGCTCAACTCCATGTTTGCCTGGTATCGCCATTCATCGCTCACGGTCGTCTACCTGTCGGATGTTCCACCTTCGTCCAAGTCTGGTGCACTGGCCAAGAGCGCTTGGAACACCCGAGGATGGACTGTCCCAGAATTCCTTGCTCCTACCGTCATTCGCTTCTACCAACAGGATTGGACTCCATATCTCGACGATCACTCCCCCAACCACAAGGAGTCTGTCGACATCATGCATGAGTTGGAGGATGCAACGGGCATAGATGCACGCGCCCTTGTTTCCTTCCAGCCGGGGATGAGAGATTCCCGAGAGAAACTCCAATGGGCGTCTACGCGCGTCACCACTGTGCCGGAGGACATTGCGTACTCCCTTTTTGGCATCTTCGACATCCAACTTCCCATCCTTTACGGCGAGAATAAGCAAAACGCGCTCGGTCGGCTCCTACAGGAGATCATAGCTCGCTCAGGCGATATCACTGCTTTAGATTGGGTGGGACAACCATCCGAGTTCAATAGTTGTCTTCCGGCCGATATTTCCTCATATGAAGCTCCACCATGCGTCCTTCCGTCTTTGTCTGAGGGCGAGCTTGAGACAGCGGTCTCCTCGCTACGACAAACAGTCGCTGTGGATTTAGCCTTGAGGCTTTATGACAAGATTGACACTATGAGTGCCCCTCGCTGCGCGCACTGCAGACTTCATCTGCCTTGCATGACCTTCCGAGTCACAGAAGTCAGACGGAGGTCGGGTCCACCCCACGAGACCTTTTTTGTGTATGCAGTCAAGGCAGACGGCCTTGATGACCTGCTGATCACCACCGAAGTGAAGCTGATGCAATTCTGGCGGGAAAGGCCCACTCGACAGACGTTCTTGCTCGTCCGTCCGTGGGACCGTCGTCTCCTCGAGCTGCCTGACTTTGCAGACGATGCGGAAAGCTTGGGAGATTGGCCTCAGTCCGAGTTTCCTCTAGGTGACTCTGACGAGTCCGCCGGCGATTTGCCTGGAGAAGAGGAGCTTGTTGATTCGGAATCTCACTCACAAGCATTGCGATTGATCGCTCGCCTCGGACAGCCGTTTGGCGCATTTTTGCTCGCGCAGCAGCGCGGCGGAGAATACAAGAGGATCGCGTCAGATCACGATATCACTGCACAGGTCAAAGCTGTGACATCTGTTCACAGCATGATGGATATCAGAACACTTGAAATATTGTAGCTGTGTCTTTTTTTTGAAGACTCGGATGATATCTTTAAGCAATCTTGACGATACATAACGATATCATACACACACACACAGATACCCTGTAATTTGATTTGTAGCAAACGTTGGAGACCAAGTAATTAATCACACTGTCCTTCCCCGCAGTCGTGCTCGACACCCTCGCCATCACCAATTCACTCCACCTTTTCGTGACGCCCTACTACGATCCAGAGGAGCAAACAGGAGACCTCGGGAGTTTTCGAAGTGAGGAGAAAATAAGGGCCTGCAATAAGAAATAAACAGAAAGTCATGGGACACTCTGAAGGTCCGCCTTAGCTATCGGCGTCGATGTCGAGTCCTAGACCTCATCAACGTCATAGGCCAACTGCACTGAAGCCTTCCAATGGAATGATATATATATATATAATTACGCGTGTTTGACTCGGAGCCATTCCGGAATTCCAAAAGATACGAAGACGATGGCGACAATACCTACCAACCCAACCTCATCTACAATATTGGGCGCCGATATACGCCCACGTTCTGACGCTGGAATAAACTCTTCCAGTGCATGGACAGAGCATTTGGATCGCTATTCATTATCAGATGACGAGCCTGAGCCAACAGGTGAACTGCAGCCAATTGAAGAGACCGCCGAAGCAGCGCGTGCGCTCTATGACTTTGAAGGAAAGGTCGAATTCGGGGAACTGACGGTCGAGGCTGGAGATGAATTGAATATCTTGAAGGAAGAAGCCGGTGATGGCTGGAGTTTGGTGAGAATGAGCTCTGGTGAAGTAGGGTTGCTACCTCAGGCATATTACACGGCGAGTACCGATCGCTCGATGCTCGTAGTCTTACCTGGCTGATCTTGTCCATGAAGTGCACGACTAGTTTTCTTTCTGCACCGCTAGCCGTTCACGGGAGGAAGGAACCGTCTACCAGTACGATCACCCCACAAGCACCTCTCCAGGAACAGTCAGCGCCGCTTTATATCATCCCTCAGGATATTGGTGAATGGACAATCCCTCTCTCAAGTTTCCAGCAAAGCCTTCTCCGAGGCAAGAGTTTGAATCGGTTCTCTGGGTTCGTGACGAGTGGCGCAGAAGAGTGGGTTCTCAAGGGCTATGCCGATCCAGCTGCTTCAAGTTCATCCTCTTCACACCAGCGGATCTCTACGGAAGACTCCATCAACGAAGATAACAGGCTCAGTAGACTTGGGTTTGGGGAAGCAGACAGGCACTATGTTGACGCTGGTCCTACATGGCAAGAGAAAGTTCCGAAGTTCCGAGTATTGGTTCACTCACCTTCGAAACGCACGTCGGGCCTTTCAGGAGCATATACCGTGTATAGTGTCACTTCACTTTTTTCTCCGACTACGGATGAATCTTATGATCCATACATCCCACCGATCTCTCCTACCCGCATAACAGTCCAACGGCGGTTTTCCCACTTCGTCATGTTACACACTTCGCTGACTAGACGTCTTCCTGGAATCGCGCTCTCACCACTTCCTGCGAAACAGTATGCTGGGCGGTTCAGCGCTGATTTTGTTGAGGCTCGTAGAGGCGAACTTGAGAGATATATTGGGTGCATTGTGAGGCACCCTATTGCACGATATGCTGAAGTCGTCACGTCTTTTCTCGGTTGCGAAAGTGACGTGGTGAGCGTAAATGATGCAATTCTTTTCACATTCTGACCCATGTCCAAGGAATGGAATCGGCTTATGCCCCAATTACTTTCAATGCCTGCTGCTGGGCCATCATTCTTTGCACATGTTTTTCATCCCGCATTTAACGTGGACGTGGATGATGCCACAGAAGCGACCGATCGCTTCAGTCGTCACACCCTTGCAGTGGGCAAGGGCACACAGAACTTGAGAAATATTTTTGGTCGCATTCGTGAAGCGAGACTGGGTGAGTACGGGCACGTCAGTTGTGCCGAACCAACATCGTGACGTGCTTCCCAGAGATGTCGAAAGCCGAACGATTGTTGTCGTATTCATTGTTGTCCTTGATTACGTCGATACCTCTGTCTTCTGCTCCCCTGATCGGGATCAACGAGGGTGCTGAGGACACGCCTACACAAAGAAACGGCCTCTTGAACGAAGAAGGAGCTTGGTGTTGGCGTGAAGGCTGTCAAGGTGCTCACGTGAATTCCTAGGGTTCATGATTAACTAAGACATGACTTGAAGATTGTCTGAAGCTCACAAAAGCGATGCAAAAAACATCTGATGCTCTGCAGATTGCCGCAGACCTGTATGACGATCATGTCGGTATCATGTTCTTTACGCAATATTTATACTGATCACAGACAAAGGCGCGGCGCACCCAGCTTGCGACTCATGAAGCACTCAAGAGAGTTGCTCATCCCTACCAATCGTATGAGGTAAGTATCTTATTTTGTTCAATCACCAGCTTCGCTCTGAGTGTGATTATTCAGGGAATCATTGAAACCCACCAATCTACGGTCTCGAGATATAAAGATGCACTCAAAATGGGAAAGGTCAGACACTCGCAATTTTTGCGGAACACAATGACTTGATGATATGCCCAGTCGAACGATGAGATGGCCGCACGCTGCGAAACCGTCTTGAATACTACGATGGCCGAGATGGACACATACCACGACCAAAGAGTGGAGGACTTCAGCACAATAACCAAGGAGCACCTCGATGGAGAAATAAACTTTTACGAGCAGGTCCTGCACAGGTTGAAAGCGGCGCGAAGCACCTTCGACGCTCCGCGTTTTGACGAGCTGAGCAGGTCGCCGCGCCAACCTTCAAGATACGAACGGGATTTAGAAGCCCCGAAGCTAAATCCTCCACCATTGCCACAGCCCTGCCCTCATGTCTATGACTCAGCGCCTATGAGACCAGTGAATGCGGCAATACAGGAGGGAATCGGAACGCTACTGGGAAAGTCCCAGCCTGTTAGGAGTGGGAGTCTTTTGGGGAGAATGTGGGCTGAATAAATTACCTGGTGCGATGTCAAAGCTGTTACTTATTACAATTACTGACAGCTACAGTCAACTTGCAAATTGGTCGAGCAGTGTGTTTTGAACATTTTGCATATTATTACACGGAATGATATATAATGTGAAGTCCCCCCGGCATATCAAGTGTCGTCAATTTTGGGGTCATAAACAATCAGACATAAAGGAATGACTTGCTGTACTCCTTCCAAGTATGAGATATATATCAAGTTTGGGAGCAAGGGAAGGGTACTCGACTGCACGCTGGCTGAGCGGACGATGGGTGCAGTCACCTATGTGCAAGAAGCCGTAGGAAAACATTAAAAATCAACCTTGAAACTCTAATGATCTCCAATGATCTACAATGTCCTAAACCCGGAAATGCGCAATGAATGGCTGTCTTCCTTCTATTGGCTCTGCTACAGGAGGCTAAATGTGTATGTAGATGGATATGTTTATTGTCCACGGGTATGCGCAAAGGTAACAAATCTGTCTCGCTGGCCGCTGTCTTCCACAGGTGTGAGCGTTAATGGCTCTGAGGTATATTCGCCCAATTGCATGCCTGCACTATTCATCCGAACACCGGTATCGACAGGTGAAGGTGAGCAAGGGGTAAGAGAGTGCGGTGTAGATTGCGCAGTCACTGGAAAAAGACGACGAGTAGACTCGGATGGGCGATAGTCATTTGCCGTTGTCCATAATCGGACCGCACCATCGTGGCTTCCCGTAGCAAACATGAAAGGGTTGTCCGAAGCATGGTTCCATGCGATACAAGTCAGGTCTCCACCTAGGGCTTGGGCACGGACATGATGAAGAAGCACGGCTGTATCGCGGTCCCAGATATATATATCACCAGCTGCTTAATACTTCAGTTATAGGGTGGAGGGAAATTGGAAATAGCGTACCCTTGCCAGCACAAAGCACAAGCTGATCATCCTTGCCCCCGAAATAGCTCGGTCCCGCAAAGTCAACTGGCACCTTGGGCATATAAGTATGACGCAAAGTCAGTCGCGCCTGATCCTTGACCATTTCTAACTTCCACAGCTGGGGAAACGCCTGGATGTATCCATGAGAGAAACTAAACAAAGTAGCTGAATTGGCGATACATCGACAGACCTTGTTTTCATAAGATACCAGAGCCACTTGTCCATTCTTAGCAAGCGTTATATCCCGAACATCGTTGAGCACCGGCGTCTGGCTGCCACAAGGCGTCAATACCCGCCTTACAAGCATCATGCTGAAGGTCTCACTTTTCGATAACCTTCGTCTCGACATTATAAACTAATATAAGTAATGAGTCAGATCCCACGAAAGGCGACAGGCACCCACCTAAAAGCTGCTTTTCTACCCGGGACTTGCTAGGATGCAATCCTTTGGGAGAATATAGGATCGGCCCGACACCCAGCAACCGCTGTAGATCGGGAGTGATGGCCACATCATGAATGAACACCCGATTGAAGTGATACGTGTCGAGGACCTGAGAAACGGGAGATTTCAGTGGCATTCCAAAATTGACCTTGGAGCACACACATTGCCATTAAGATCCTGTCAAGATGCGTTAGCATGTCATGAATAAGAGCGCGATAACTACTCACCAATTTGACCACTTCGCTACCCTCAACAGATAGAAATGCTGCGCAAGATAAGTTGTTGGCACCACATCCACTGGAGCCAATTGAGACCTCACCTTCCCCTCCAGGGAACCATGCAATTGACTGGACATGATGTTGACGTTCAATGGTCTTTCGACACACTCCATCCTGCAAATAACACATAATTCAGCACAGAACTGCTCTTCTTCTCGCTCAACCAACCTCCGTCCAAATTTTGATCGCTCGATTGAGCCGCGTAAGGAGAAGCACACCAGCCGGGGACCTTACCAACACGTCAGCAAGCCATGAACACTAACCAACAATAGCGTACCAAGCAACTTGACCAACAAAGCCAGAAGCATGGGCAAGCACGCGATGGGGCACACAAGGTTCCTGCAGAAATGTTATTGCCACGTGTCGAACAACCACTAGTAACACACACCCCGACGCGAAATATGATAGACGTCCGATCCCAGCTATAAATAAAAAATATCGTCAATGTTATCAATGTATACACACTCCTCAGCCTGGAAGGTCCTACCTTGAAGTCGCTAAAAACTTCCCATTAGGTGAGAACTGTAAATGCCTGACGAGTGCTGAATGCGCAGGTAAATCTTGCGTTGCCTCCAAGCTCTTGAGCTTCGGTATGAGAGAAGCGACTTTAGATCCTCTAAATGTCGGGGTGGCACCCATCTCTGACTTTCCTCTCGATACATCTGTGAACACCGACGAGGTCGTTCGTTTCCGCGCAGGAGAAGAAAATGGGCTGCTGGGAGAAGATGTTGCAGACTGGAGCATCATGACGGACCGAATTGCACTTGTCAAACGATCTCGAGGTGTAATCGGAGAGCTTGGCATGTCACTGGAGGTGGTGGTTGGCAATTCCAAGGTAGGATGTGAAGATGCCTCGGCACTCAAATGCGAGTGGGAGTCCGTGGATTGTCGGACAGGCGATAGCGGAGAAAGGGTTTCGGGAGGGCGTGACACAGTGTGAGCATATTCGCCTTGCTCTAATGCGGTTGGTGTAATTGTCCCCATCGACGACACCCGCCTAAATCTGTGTCCTGCTACCTCGACACCTTTTTGCACATACCGAGAGCCCCAGCCAAAGCATTTGCTGACGGTCGAGACAAGACGCAGTGCCATGAAGTGTCGCAGAGCGTCTTTCAGGACGTCAGAAAGCCACTTCGACCCGCGATGATGCACAAATGTCCATCTCTCAGAGGCGAACCAGGCTGAAACCGCTGCTAGGCCAAATGAGGTGAATGCAGTAAAAACTGTTGTGATTGTAGAGGTAACTTTGCCCTGTTGTGCATCGCGAGTAAAAAGAAATACTAAAAATGGCCCAGAGGAACCCACCTGGTTCGTAGAATACGTGAACAGTACAAGTCCGGCCGAAAAACAAGCCACAGACATCACCAAAAATACTAGAGGTGATCGTTTAATCCATATCAGTACCCACCACGGTACACGATCACCAGGTGATCGACTATCCACATCAGCTGGGACCCGCATTAAGTCCAAGAGGCACTTACTACATCGCTTGTTTCCAAGAAAGCCCAAGCAAACTATTAACAGCAGCAGCGATGCTGAATACAAGCGAGGAGAACCAGAACGCATTAACTCCGTCGGAGAGCATATCTCCAGTTTGAGAATACGAGAATTGCAGCGTAGTCGCAGTGACGGCGGAGAAGAACGTGGCCACAGTGGAGAGAGTTAAAAGATTTGCTGCACCGTGCTTCTGTGCGAATCGAATGGTCGGAACACCTTGGATAAAATCAGAGTGATGTCGCCTGGTTAGACCACGGGATAACGCACCGACTTCGATGAACATAGATAACGTCCCGGTAATGCTGTCGATGTGCTCCCCCATTTCAGCCGTAAGGTCATGGACATAGCGCTGCACAGCAGGATATTTGAATTGTCCTGAAATAAGATAGTTAGAATCACGGCCATTGAGTCCTGGGAGAGCCTCACCTCTGTAATCTTGTAAACAACATGCCCAGTACTGCTGAGAATTAACCAAGCACTGGTAAAGAATGTGTGGATTTGTACCTTCAAATCGCCCTCAAATGACTTTATCGAAGTGTTAACAGCCTCGTCGGTGAACTCCGGAAATTCATTCAGGCATTTCAAAAAGGTCATGAGAACAGTAGCGAAGCTCTCGAACTGTTCTGGGAGGCTCTCAAGATCAAGGCTGTCTTCTGTGTTTGCTGGAATACGCCCTGGCATGCTCTTTCGCCGTCGAGCTTTGCGTTTTCTGTCCATCAGATTGGGATTAACCAAAAATTCACGCTGCTGACGGGAGACCTTGCGAGGGAAAAGATCAGCCGCGTTGTCCCGGAAAAGGAAGAGAATTTGCGCAAGACGTTCGCGGAGCCGAAACGCGGAGGACAGAATTCCGACGGAACTACCAAGCTGTCGTGCAGCATTGCCAAAATTTCTGAGCTGTCATTGAGAACACCGCGTCAGCCAAATCAGCCGCAAAGCGTGTTGTTGAACAGCAGTGACCTCTTTGTCAAGACTATTGATCCTCCTGCAAGCAAGTTTAATAATCATATATTTGCAGCGTTGATGATGAACGAACTTCTGAAATTTGTTAAATGCCTCTGCTCCTGCAACCTGTAGTTGCTCGTCAACAGTCGCTAATCTGACGTTCAACCAACTGTGCAGCTGTCAGACGATCCTACTCACGGACATCTCTGTCATCCTCAAAGCTTGGATTCTGGTCAAAGTCTGAGTTGAGTGGTCGATGAGCAGCCTAGGATTGTAAAGCAAGGAAAGCTGACCTTCACCAAGAGATTCGGCCTGGCTGAGCTCGTTTAAAGCATTTAAGAGATTGAACAACGTCTGCCTCCGTTTGGTATCTAATCTCGGAGAATCGACGCGGGGTTGATTGACTGTCTCTCCGAGGAGACCACCTGTGTGGTCTTTGAACTGGTTAGCTGCAGGTGCGGGACCGGTAGCTGGGAGAAGGTACACAGGTTCGGCCACGTTTTGTGTGCAAAATAGAAACATTAAATCATACCGCGATACATGTTCTCTGTTATATCTGCGGCTGTGGCAGCTGTGCAAGTGACCGTTAAAGATAGTTCCAGCTATGAAACTTTCGGTAGGACGTGGTTCAAGTTCTTAAAGGAGTTCTGGTGGTGCTGCGTGGAGATTGTGAAGGGTATAAAGAGCACGCGAGAAGTAATAATGCTCTATTGAAAGCCTCGGCTGTCACGAAAGGATTTGTGACTTTCGCTTCCTGCGTCCCGAATTACTCGAATCAAGCGCTCGCCGCATCATAATTTGTTCTGTAAGACACTGCCATGAGGCATTAAGTTAATAGACCTGAGACACTGCAATGAGATGATATAACTGACGGAATACCGTACTATTAAGCTTACTGGTGCAGTTCCCAACAGATTCTCAACTCCCTTTTCACTGCTTGCCCGCTATCGCCAACGGCGAGCTCAAGAGCTGTCGGCAAAACGTGCAACAAACGTGGTTGACGTTCTTCCATCATTCCCGTGTGTGCTGCCGTGCTGCCGAACCGTGGCACCCTGGACCTTGACCACGTGTTGTCAATTGCCTCCAACTATTTTAGCCAAAACCCTAGAAATCGCAGAAACGGTCCGAGAACGCTGTTCATGGCGACTCTCGTTCGTACACAAGTCGTGCAGCCCGCTGAGCAGGATGAAAGCCTTCGAACGTCCGTTCCGAAACCATTTCCGAGTGCAGAAGAAAGAGAGCAACTACTTCAGGAAGCACTTTTAGAAGAACTTGCTGAGGAGCAAGTAGAGTATGAAGCCTGTGCCAATGGGCGCGTATCGCAAAGCACGCTGCGATCAGCAGCAGCAGCGCTACATAACGTAAATCACATTGCACCAGAAAGACTGCTCGTGAGTGATGGGTCTTAATGATGTGTCTCCAAATGCTTAGCCCAATTTTGCAGACAGTTATCATACCATCAATCACTGCCGTGCAGAATTCGTGTCTTATGACACTCAACAACTTGTTATCCGTCCCCACAAGATGGCAGCCAATTGTCCCAGACAGGCGCCACTCAATGCCAGCCTCTATGCACCGTGAGCAGGCGCCGCAATCATACTCAGCACTTGAGACGCTTGTGTTAAATCTCAGAAATCATGACGGTGGGGAGATATCACACAAAGTCCAGGATGACCATACAACTCTCCTAGAAGAACTCAGGGATCGAGTCGATGCTCTAGCGCCTTCGATGAACCGACAGGATGCACATTTTGCGCAAGTCATAGTGTCGCTCCTTTTGGACTTGGACCAGTTGCCTGCGGTTTCTCCTCCTTTGGATTCAGCCCCTCAGGCATCTTCTTCCGCTTCTCCTGGCCTTATCGATCGACATCCCGCTGAACTCATAAGTACCCTCAAAAAGCAACTTGGCGATCTACAGTTGGAACGGAAGGCAGGGGCAAGCATTATCTCCCCGCAATCCCCAGTACAGACTGTACAAACCGCGCTGCTTTGGTCCAAGATCGACCGCAAACTAGAAACAGTAACAGCACTTTGTAAAGATCGCGCCGATTCCCACCGTCCCTCCCCCCTAGATCACCTCCCCCCTCAATATGACCACGTAGACCACGACTTCGAGACACCCCCGGAATATGACGCTGAGTATCAATCATCTTCCGAGAAGGCTGGCATGCATCCACCAAGGTCGATACCATCTCCCAGCATCTCCAACGAGAAACTGCGCATGGATTTTGATGCTGTGACGCTGGCAATCGAGCGTCTGTACCTCGTTGCACCCCAGCTACACAACCAACGAGTGGAGTTGAAGAGCTCCAAGCTCGCCCAAATGGAGCGCGCACGACTTGAAGGTCCTAAAGTCCAGCCTTCCATAGCTAAGGGGAAGCAGAAAGCTCATGATCGGGATATGCGCGACCTTGACCACATGCTTGAGCTCCTCGGGAAAGCATCAGACCGCAAGTTGACTGATCAATCGGTTATCATGGATAGCAGACGGATGATCAGGCTCAGGGAAGCAAAACAGCTGTACGAGGATCAGGTGATTCCAGCCCACTTTGGCCAGAGATTATTACTTACCAAAGAGAACTTTTTAGCGAGGCGCATTCGTCGATCATCTTGTCCAACGTTCGGGAGCTGGGAGATTACATGATCAAGATGCCATCTTGCAACCCAAAGTCAAAGCACTGGATGAGCTTGTCACGCTCCCGGAGTTCATCCGCGAAACAATGTCGAGTATCCCTCACGGGTCACATCATCAAACGATGTCCTCTTCTGGAGATGTACCTGATGACAAGCCGGTCCCAGACATTTCAACAACAGGCCACAAGAAGTCACGCAGTCGAAGTATATCTGCCCCACAATGGTTGCGCCCTGCAGCGGAACTTAGCCGACGGCTGTCTAAGAGCTCCAGCAGACCGGGCTCGTCCCATGGACAGGTCCAATCTGGAACAGAACAGCAAGGTGAGCACTGGGAGATCATCGTCAACACAACCTAATCAGAGCTGTGCAGGGGGCATCGCACTCGATGTTTCCTATGTCGCCGAATATCACGAGACCTTGAAACATGTCCTGGTCTTCGTGACAGTTTCGGGCATTCCTGTTGACACAGAACTGCAGGCTGAAGTGTTGCCAACTTCGTCCAGTGGGACAGAAGGCGACTGGCTGGTGATTAGAAGCTCTTGGGCCTCCTCGCCTCCACTAAGCCTGCCTGTCCGAGTCGCTCCAGGGAAGAAGGATGTCCAAATTCGTCAAGGACACTACGAGCTCAAAATTGGGATTGCGAATTCGCAGGCTGCGAGGTCTTCTTCACCCGATGAACCTACCCCATTGATGTCTGCTGAGCAACTCGTATCGTTGAAGCCGACATCCTGGTCCTGCATATCCTGCTCTCTCCCCCTCGTCCACATCCCAAAGTTGATAAAATACCGCGACCTCCCATCAGAACATTGGGAAGAACTTGTCGATTCCTGGATGTGCCATGCAGACCAAACACTACATAATCACGTCGCAAAACATGGCCGCGGGTTCTGGCCGGAGGAGAGCGAAGCTCTGGTTGGATGTGGCTACATCCTCTTCCAGCAATCGGCAATTGTATCCAATAATCTCTCCTGCACCGAGCAGCCTCTGGTGAATATGCATTTTCTATCGAACTCGTGTTATTGTAGGACGATCAAGAAGGCCGACGTTGGGCTTCCACCAGCGGCCGCTAGTCGATCGTCGGTGCTCTGCTTTGATGCCTTGGAAGCCCCTGCAGGTTTCTTCGCACCATCAAGTGGGGCATGCGCCGTGAGACTGTGGCAAGTTTCACTTTCGGTTGATACAAAGCGTCCAAGATTGAACGTGAGGCAACTCGCGAGTCACCCTTTCAAACAACTCTCTTCACTGAGGACCATGTGATGGGAGCTACGCTCGAGTGAACAATTTAATCCTGTTTCTTCTTCTTCTTTCTTTTCACTTCCCTGTTAATTTTGATGGTTAACTGATTTCTCCTCTTCAGCAAGGTGAAGAGTCGTGGCTGGCACGATGTATATGTGGTGCAATGATTGGTCGGCGGCACGAACGACACAATCCAGATGGCACAGCTTCAGTGATGTACCGTTTATTCAAGTATGCGGTACGGCCAATCAGTCAAATAGCGGAGTTCGTGGTCGCACAGTTTACCTATATTAGCACTATGTGCTGACTGCCTTGCAGACTTCCTCGATTCCCGATGTCTGCATTCATCATGCAAGACATGCTCGAGCATGTATCTGCTCATGCAACGTACCGCTTTGTTATCTCGGATGAAGAGGAGGAGCGGCCGCGACTTCTGGTTCGTGTCATCTTTAACTACATTGTTTAGATTTCTTACACTCCGCGTAAGATATGGCTGTTCAAGCCGAAGATACGTGTCTCGTATATGCTCACTACGCCATACTTTCTTCCGAAGCAGGGCTCCATCGATGCGTCAAAGGTATTGTACAGGATTCTGGGGCCATCGTCGTCGACGATAGATTTGAAAGAGTGCGTGATCTCCGATGAACATTACTTTGTCTCTCTGACATCCCGCACATAGCCTACTGGCTCGATACCCTGGGTTCCCTCAAGCGGAGCACCTCTTCTATCCGATCGACGTTTGTCGCAAGCTCGCGGGACTCTTGACGGAGAGCACACATTCGTATCCAGAGAACATAAAGACAATGACAGGCTTGGATGTTGGCTGGTTGAATCGTGGATCGTGATAGGTGGATGTTACATTTTCTTTTTTTTTGCACCAATTTGAGTGGTGTTTATTGAACCCTCCGTCAGAAGGACTATTTCTTACATTACCATAATTCACAAGCTAGATAACATCTACATTGTACCGCTATGCAATCTTGTGCAATGCTGTCACGCAACTGACATAGCACTTGGAACAAGTTGGGAAGTGTTTCGTCCAAAACTTCGCCGACACGCTTCGAAGCTGGCATTTGAATCTTTCTTGCAGTACTCAGGCATTCGTTGGGGGCAATAGAGACAAGGTCGTACGCAAAGTGATGCTTTGTATTCTCTGCGTATGGTGCAAAACATGAAGCACGTTGAGAAGTACGTCCTACAGATTAAGTATACTAAGTAAATATGCACAGTGGTGATACACAATGAGGCATGCGAAACTGGAATACACGAGGTGAATCAGACCTCTTGGCTGTCAAGACTTTGTTTCTTGCTCTTTGCAGGAAGGAGCTATACGAGAGCATTTAGAAGGATTAATCAGCCAGCAGAGGAAACAACGTACTGCAGGGTTGATGTAAGGTACGACACCGCCCTCAGAGATGATCACATCTCCAAGCAGTTTACTCAACCTGAGAACGAAGTAAGCCAAGACTGCGACGAATAAGCCAATATAGGGACGCACTCTTCATCGTTACGAATAGCTAGTTGAAGGTGACGAGGATTGATACGGCGTTTCTTGTTGTCACGAGCTGCATTTCCAGCCAACTCCAGGATTTCAGCCGACAAGTACTCCAGTACGGCAGCGAGGTATACTGCAAAATACGAATTAATTTCAATGCGAGGCTAGTAAACTTGGCAACCTACCGGGAGCACCAGACCCAATGCGCTTGCTAACGTTGGCTCTCCTCAACATACGGTGGATACGGCTGACGGGGAACTGGAGACCAGCTCTAGTGGACCGCGACGTGGACTTGGTGTCCTCGCTCTTGACCTTGCCGCCAACCTTACCCTTACCGCTTGACTTTGCAGAAGGCATAATGAAGAGTGTGTGGTGGTAGAAGAGGGAAAGTACAAAGTTGGGATGGGTTTCAGGTAATTAGACGATTCACCTTAGGGACGCTGTATTTATAGTCCCGAGTCTAGACGCGTGCCACAATCAACAAAGACGCGTCGTAGCCAAATAAGTGTAAAGTCACGTGAAGCTATATATAGGAGGTGTTGGGGATTTCTTTCGCGACTCTTCAACGTTGTAACCGCCATCCCTCTCGCACCACTGCGACCGCCATTATCACCTTCCCTCTCACATAATCTACTTGTCAGCAGACCACTGTTATGGCACCTAAACCCGCATCAACTGGTGGTAAAGCCCCGGCCGCGGCTAAGGCCCCTGTCAAAACCACTGAGGGTGCTAAAGCTGCGAAGAAGACCTCTAAGACTGCTACAGCCCCAGCTACTGGAGAGGAAAAGAAGAAGCGGAAAAAAGTCCGCAAGGAGACTTACTCTTCTTACATCTACAAGGGTAACGCGTCATGCTCCGTCTGAAAGCTCTCCGTCTGACGCGTTTTCCAAAGTGCTCAAGCAGGTACACGCAGACACTGGCATATCTAATAAAGCTATGGCCATCTTGAATTCGTTTGTCAATGATATTTTCGAGCGCATTGCCACGGAAGCTTCGAGTATGTAGCCTTCATTTTGTTTTGATCATTCAATCTCATTCAACCGTACATTACAGAGCTCGCTACATATTCCAAGAAATCAACAATTTCATCCCGCGAAATACAGACGGCGGTCCGTCTCATACTTCCCGGAGAGCTTGCCAAGCATGCCATTTCTGAGGGTACGAAGTCTGTGACGAAGGTGAATTTACATCAGTCTTTGTTCAACAGCGGTTATTAACAGTTGAGGCAGTTCTCGAGCTCTGGCGGCAAGTGAAGAACCCTCCTTTGTCATCACCTGTATCGTTAGGCGTTGTATTATTTTTATAATTATCTTATTGGGATCTAGTGTTATTTTCGGTCTTTTTGAGCGATGGCTGCCTCAGAAAATATTGGTTGTAACTTCGGGTCGGAAAGTGAGGACGCTCATTTGTATGTTGAACATTAACATTTTGAGTACCTGTCATTAATATTTAGGTACTCCTGAACCTCGCACTCTGATCGTAGTGCTCAGCATTAACCGCGCTGCGGATACGACTGACTAGGCCAAATACGTCTGGGCCCATCTTAGATGATCTTAAAGTACATTCCGCTTGTCTCAGTGCAGCGCGTGCAAAGTTCAAACGTCATCCAGAATCCATGCTTCCTAAAGCGCCCAAGTAAGGTTTACCACGTCGTTTTTCCTATTCATCCGACAATTTGCCAACCCCCCTCTGGCAAGAGTCGATCGCTCGAAGGGACTTACCTATGGACTCCAGACCTGAACTTCCTTTCCATTTACGGTATTTGGGGGCCTTCAAGCACATCTATGAAATACCCTTCTTACCATCTTTGACACTACGAAATCGAAAGTGCGATTCAGACATGTCAAGGGCGGCCGCACTCGAGGTATCAATCCATTGGAGTCGTGCTCATCGTGGGAATGTGTGAGCGGAGTGGGCCGCCTGGTGTCAAGTGCTGAGCTGCTGTTTGCTGGATGGCTCTCGTGACCGTCATCGCATCTGGTCCATCCCATCAAACATCTCCCTCCCGCTCTTCATCCACTTTTTACGCTCCTTATCATAGTCCTTTTTCACAGACCTTTGCTATCGTATCGTATTCTGTGACAGCCGAGGCACGAGGCTGTCACAGAAATTAGTCTATGCGTGAGTTTAGTAAGGTGGCGCTACCCACCTCATCCCAAACCACCTAGGAAGGTGTTTCTCCTAGTCAATACATCAGTAATAGTCACTCCTTTAGTCCTCTTTATCTCTCCTGCTTTATTCGCAATCCACTGTCGTTACTATGCCTCGCCGAGCAGATGATCCCAATCTAGCTGTCGCTCCCAATTTCCAATCACCCGAATATGCAGAAGCGCGAGCCCAAATCACCAGTGACGCAGTCGACGACCAACAAGCGGCTACAATTCTAGCCAATCTCTGGCGCATCCAAAACGACGCAGACAAGCGCAATTGGGCGGCTAGACTAGAAGCTGAAGCACAAGAAGCAGAAGCAGAGCGCAGGGAGGCAGCCGAAGAAGAAGCCCAGCGCCAACTAACTCTGAAAGCTGAACAGGAAGCCGCTATCCAGGAAGAGTGCAAGAAGAACAAGGCCAAATACGCCCCGATCAAGGACATAGAAGTTCCTTCTGACCCCATCATCCTCCCCTGCCAATACGCCATACGAAAAATGAAGTCCGGCGAGTACTGCGAATTATTCTACTTCACTAACAACGGCTTGGAGGAAGCATCCAGATCTACCTTCACAGCGGATGAAGACGCCCTCGTCATGATGCCTACCTCAGACGGTCTACACAAATGGATCCCCGCCAGCGCCGCCAGAGACCCCAAAGCACAAGTCATCAAAGATGAAAATCTGACTTGGGAACAGTTCAATGAATCCGCCCCACGCATGATCACCCTCATGAAAGAGAACGACTGGCCTGACGACAGAATCAACATGCACATATCCTTCTGGTCCGCGCTACAGAACCACAGATGGTGCCACGATTTCGATGCCCACAAGCAGCGTGCACTGCTACTTTACCAAGCGCAGCAACATAGACGCTGGCACCTAGCCGCAGGTAGCTCCAACAGCTGGAGCCTAGCCAAGATCAACCAGGACCTTCTGCTCGAAGCCAGGGAAACTATCTTCAACCAGTTTAGGACACAGCAACTATTGGTCCAGGTGTGTTCTTTCGTTGTATCAATCGTTTAGTACAGCGCTAAAATTCGATCCGATTGCTCTTTTCCTCATCCCCCCCACGCACGCTCTATCTGGCATCATGTCCAAACAACCGGGTTCCAACGACGGACATCACGATCCGTCACCCGGTCAACGTCTCTCCACATTCGGACAACGCGCTCCGAACCCACCCTTATGGCCATCGTGGCTACGAACACCATTCTCCCCACCCAACGTATCTCTCGGCCACCGCGTGCCTCATCCTCAGTCCCGCGCAGCAGCCGCGCCAGGACATAGCAGAGTACAGCATCAGCACACACGCGCTGCGAGTTCACACAAGCGCTCACCCCCCTCGTCGCCTGATGAGAAGCCCCACAAGAAACAGAAAACGTTTCGGGACCCCACTGCCCCCCTTCCTTGCTGCTCGGTCTGTCTCGGCCGCAACCCGCACAGAACCATTGACTGCGCTGCGTCTCGCACGTGGGACGCTAAGCACGACACAATCGCCGAACGAATCCACAAAGCCCTCTGGACTAAAGACGGCAAGCAACTGTGCACTGCCTGGCAACGAGAAGAAGGCTGCGACAGCAACAAACACGACGCTCGACACGTCTGTTCAGGGTGCGGAGCAGTCACTCACGGCGCTCAGCGCTGCCCTAGAGCGCAGAAAGCTTAACCCCATCACGCCCTACAAGGCAGACACATGGGACAAGGAACTACGCCGTTTCCGTCTCTCTGCTCGCTTCCCCAAGATAACAGAAGGTTTCCGCCTTGGTTTTAAATTAAACTTTCCTACTATAATTTCTACGCAAACCCCACCTAACAAGCAATCCATATCTACATACAGAGAACAATTTGACTCCAGCTTACAGAAAGAAATCCAATCTTCCCGCTACATAGGCCCCTTCTCCGCTATCTCACTCTCCCACCTTATAGGTCCTTTTCAATCCTCCCCCCTCTCCATCATCCCAAAGCCAGACAAACCAGGAAAATTTAGACTCATACAGAATTTCTCATTCCCGCATTCCACAGACACTCATTTCCCCAATCCCTCCATCAACTCTCACATTAATGCTAGTGACTTCCCCACAACATGGGGCAAATTTTCAATTATTTATCTACTAATTTCGAGGCTCCCCCCAGGTTCGGAAGCCGCGACACGCGACGTCGCAGAGGCCTACCGAACCATACCCCTCCACCCATCTCAATGGCCCTCAGCCGTCGTCCGAACATCGGACACAGATTTCTACGTAGACACTTGCACGGCGTTCGGCGCCACACCATCAGCAGGCGCCTATGGCTATGTGGCAGACGCCGGCGCCGAAATATTTCGTCACCGAGGCCTTGGACCCCTGGATAAATGGGTCGACGACCACATCTTTTTCAGGGTCCGGAGGGAATTCCTAAGTGAGTATAATCGAGATCGCGCTAAGTGGCATAAGGACTTAGTCACACGAGGCCCACACCAAACGGGCAGCAGACTGTGGTTTGGCGGGCGCGTATTCGATGACGGCGCCCTAGAGGAGTTCAGTGAGGACTGCTCACAACCCCTCAAAGACCTCTCCAGAAACTCACCGAGGTCCGAACACGACAGCCTTTTCAGCTGCAATCTCCAAGATATTGACGACGTTTCCCATGACCTGGGTATCATATGGCAATATGAGAAAGACCAACCTTTTGCCTCACTCACCGTTTACATCGGTTTCGCGTGGTACCTCCACCTACGCATAGTAGCACTTAGCGAGAACAAGGTGGAGAAGTACTTACGAGCGATCCACGCGTGGAGAAAGAAACCTGCCCACACGTTCCAGGAAGCCTTACAACTCTACGGTAAATTAATGCACGCTTGCTCGGCAATCTTTCGAGGCAGGGCGTACCTGACGAGCCTCGAGCGCACACTCGCCATTTGCCGTGGGAAACCCCTCATCCCGCATCGACCCGACAACGAACTCGAAGCGGACTTAAACTGGTGGACAGACCACCTTCAAGCAGGCAAAGTCGCTCGTCCCATATACCCACCAACCCCCTTCACTATTCCGTCGGCGTATTCAGACGCGAGCTCAGGGATAGGGATAGGTATAGTGATAGGCGAACGCTGGCGCGCGTGGAGACTAGTCCCAGGGTGGAAAATAGCCAACAATGGGAGGAGAGATATTGGATGGGCAGAGGCAGTGGGGTTCGAGCTCTTGGTGCGTACAATCGCCGCTCTCCCTAGCCTTGGCAACAATGTCATCGTCTACGGCGACAACACCGGAGTGGTCGAAGGATGGTGGAAAGGCCGTCACCGAAACAAAGCCGTCAACGACGTCTTTCGACGCATCCACGACCTCATTCTCTCTGTACCCCGACGTTTCGAAATCCGCACAGAATACGTCCCAAGCGAATCAAACCCAGCAGATGATCCCTCTAGAGGGATACTCGGCCCAGAGCACCTTCTACTCCCTGAAGTACCTATCCCCAGTCAACTCAAAGACTTCATCGTCGACGCTACGCTCCCTCTTACCCCCACAGAGCTCCGCCTACTCCGCGACGGGCAGTACTCCCTTCCCGCCGCCAAACTCATCAATCGCATTCTCGTCCGCCAGCAAGCCATTGAGAGAGCAAGAGCCTCCTGCGAAGAAGAAGATCAGATTATCCTCCAGTCCCTCGCACACGACGACTCAACGCACGCGCTTTAGTGCCCCCCTCCCATCCTCCCTCCCAACCAGTCCAAACCCCCCCCTACCCCAGAAGTATAAACAGGGACTCGCCCCTTTACCCTCCCCCTTAAGACCCCACTGCTTAGCTCGCGAAAGACTGCACAAATGGACCCCAGCAGGAGCCAACACGCGCCTTCCAACCAACAGCCACACAGAAGCCCACATATCAGAAGAACAACTAGACCGCATCCTACAAGTCATGGGGTCTTCGTGGGCACAATCCACGAAGGAGACCTATGGGGCGGGACTACTAGTATTCCACGTCTATTGTGATTCGCAGAAGATACCGGAAACTCAGCGCTGCCCAGTTTCCCCCACCATCCTTCTATCCTTCCTAGCAAGCTGTGCAGGCTCCTACTCAGGCACTGCGCTCGCTAACTATACCGCAGGCTTGAAAGCCTGGCACCTGCTCCACGGGCGCCCCTGGATCGTCAACGCGAAGGAACTCAAAGCAGTCCTAGACGGCGCCACAGCGCTAGCACCAGAATCATCCAAATGTTCAAAGCGAGAACCGTTTACCGTAAATATCCTTTCCACCATACGCACCTTCCTTAATTTAGACGACCATCGAGACGCCGCTATCTTCGCCTGCATCACCACAACCTTCTACGCCATCGCGAGGTTGGGAGAATTCACCGTCCCTACGATAAAGTCGTTCGACCCGGTGAAACACATATCACGCTGCCACGTTTCCACCACAGTAGACCGCAATGGTCTCCCAGTCACCAAGTTCCACTTACCAACCACGAAAGCATCTCCAATCACCGGAGAAGATGCTTTCTGGTCAGCACAAGAAGGACCATCGGATCCGCAGACAGCGTTAGAGAACCATCTCCGCATCAACCCCGCTAGCGAGCTAACGCACTTATTCGCCTGGAAACATCCCAAAGGAATGAGACCTCTCTCCAAAAGAGAGGTGACGAAGAGACTCGCGTCTGTCGCCCAAACAGCCAGCCTCCCCGATCTCAAAGGGCACGGCTTGAGAATTGGGGGCACGCTAGAATACCTGCTGAGGGGGGTCCCATTTGACGTCGTCAAGTCCATGGGGAGATGGTCCAGTGACGCCTTCACTATCTACCTCAGAGATCACGCAGTCGTCATCGCGCCTTATATCCAAGCTCTAACTCCAGCGCTCGAGCCGTTATCTCGCCCGTCAATGCCTCCAGTACGACGGTAAACGCCTCGGGTGAGTACAGCTCCTATCATCTAAGGGTGTCAATGCTTCGCAGTTAGCGTCGCTACCCTCCTACGAATTATGGGATCACAGCTAACCATCAAAACCCTTAGGTTCGAACGCATGCGCCGGGCCGAAAAGCCCTTGCGGGCTTTTACCCAAACTCGTCTCGCAAATACCCGTACTTAGTTTCATTCGTCAAACTGTGTATTTCGCCCTACGTGCTAAATTACATCTCTGTCGTTGCTTCATTCTCCCAACTGAAGTCCACCACACATCGAAAGCATAGATCGTATTCTGTGACAGCCGAGGCACGAGGCTGTCACAGAAATTAGTCTATGCGTGAGTTTAGTAAGGTGGCGCCACCCACCTCATCCCAAACCACCTAGGAAGGTGTTTCTCCTAGTCAATACATCAGTAATAGTCACTCCTTTAGTCCTCTTTATCTCTCCTGCTTTATTCGCACCCACCCGCCTCTCCCTCTCTCAGGAGAACGAACAAACGATTAGATTCGCCTCCGCCTCACCTACATTTTGTCCGATGTACTGCGTTTCGCTCCCTAAGGGATTTTAGCTGCACGCAGGGCAACCTGATCGGTGCCCTCCCGCCCATCACAGCTAACCATCAAAACCCTTAGGTTCGAACGCATGCGCCGGGCCGAAAAGCCCTTGCGGGCTTTTACCCAAACTCGTCTCGCAAATACCCGTACTTAGTTTCATTCGTCAAACTGTGTATTTCGCCCTACGTGCTAAATTACATCTCTGTCGTTGCTTCATTCTCCCAACTGAAGTCCACCACACATCGAAAGCATAGAACAATTCAATTGTCCATGCAAATTGATCCTCCGCGACTCCCTGTCGCACGGCCACTTGAAACTCTATCTCAGTACGTACCAAAGCTCGAAACCAAAGCTCGTTGAGGATTTCACAGTTCACCAAATGAGGTGACCACTAGAATTCAAACAGGCGTCAAAACCTGAATGATGTGCATCAGATAATACCACACGTACCCGTCAACAAAATACTCTCCACCGGTCATGTAACTGGCATGATCGGATAGAAGCAACACAGCCTGACCTGTCATCTCATGCGGCTTTTGAGGAGATGAGCGGCTGTCGAATCGAGATTAGTTGGTACATACCTCAGCGAAGCGTCCGAGCGGAACGGTCTTCGCCTGATGCTCGCGAACGCGGGCTTCCATACCAGAGGTTTGATCCGTGTTCACTAATATCAATGTTCAAGATGTTAGGACCAATGGGGCTATTGCAAGATGCTGACCATAACCGGGGGACAGTGCATTCACTCTAATGCCATGCGTAGCCCACTCCGCGGCCAACCCTTTCATGAGAATGGACACAGCACCCTTGGATGAATTGTAGAAGACCTGGGTCAACGGCTTATTTGGCGCGATTTGGTTAATGATATGTGAGCTCATGGAGGAGGTAATAACGATCGAACCACCGTGCTTCTTGTCGATCCACAGTCTGCCATATCCATTTGGGTCAAACTTTCCGGAAATACTACCTCATGGTGAAACTTACTTTGCCGCAGCCTTGGTGCTGTTGAATACACCAAGGACATTGACACCGTACACTTTGTGGAAGTCTTCGCTGGTCAGCTCGAGCGCAGGCTTCACTACGGAAACGCCGGCATTCTGTGATACCAAGCAACTCGTTTCGAAGAGATGACATGGCCGAAGAATGTGTCGCTTACTGCAATAAGCCCTGTCACCGGACCAATATCTTCCTCGATGATAGAAAATGTTTCATCCGTCTTCTTTGCATCGGATACGTCACACTGATAAGCCTGCGTACAAAGACAGGGGTCAAGCCAATATTAAGTCAACCGCCAGATATTTCACAAACCTTGACTTCCACGCCAAATTCTTTGCTAAGGTCCTCAGCAACTTTAGGCGCATCTTCGGAACTCCTGAGAGACACGTTTTATGCCGGAAAAATTAGCATATAGTCATAGAATATGGATGCCAGACCAACCTGTAAATAATTGCCACTGATGCACCAGCACCAGCAACAGCGCGACTGAACGCGTATCCGATCCCGCGGTTTCCCCCAGTGATGATGATGCACTTGTCTAGGGCGAGGCAAAGAATGTCAAGTGAAAAGTGCAAATCGCAGCTAACGCACCGGAGAAGTCGATGGTAAAACCTTTAGAAGCCATGGTATGTTGCATACGTCGATGGGGGTTTGTATCTTTGATGCGAGATGTATGAAGTGTTGAAGAAAGAGAAATGTGGGGAGGTTCGAAGTGATGGATTTTTGTTCTGGCGAGCTTCAAGAACTGACGTCATAACGACGTCAGTAGAATTGCTCTTCTTCTGGGTACTCACGTTGATCAAGGATAGCGAGCGGACGCGTAGCGCGAGCTTTTGGTAGGCTGACATGTCTCTGTATGATGTGTTTGACAGACTCTAGCTGGCGATGTTGCTGGTGAACTTCCAAGGATGAATCTATATATAAGCTCTCCCGACGTAATCTGTGGAGCTGTACTACTTGTATTCTCAGTTCCATAGTGACGTCCCGGGAGAGGCCATCAGCAGATTGTGTTTTGAACTTTACACAACAATGAGGCAGGGAGGCTCAAAGCCCAGACACACAGCGAGCAGACAACGACGTCGATGCCTAGGTCTGTCAGGTCCAGCGGGGTCCAGCTAACTTGCTGACTAAACCGCGGAAAGTGCCGAGAGACCCCAGCTCCTCTTTTGTCTGACCAGCATTTATGTCTTTAGCCTTTAGTTTAGACATCCGACGTCCAGCATCCAAGGAGTCATCACAAACTGGCAACTGATAAGTTATTGGTGCTTCAGCCTTTTATTAGCGAAATCCTGATCTCGAAGTGATAGTAAACACGAAGAAAGATAGAGAGTAGTGGTAATCAAGAAACTAATCAAACATTTCTTGCACAATAACTATTGACCAAACCTCTGAAGCATGTCGCGGGCTACAGTCCCCAACTCCTTCACATCATCAATATACCCTACTCCTCGCCACTCTACTCTTCTGAAAACACGATCCACATCTTTGATGAGCCGCTCAAGATCAGATTTGGAAGCGATCTGCATATACTTCTTTGTGCCTCCCACGAGGACGGGAAGCAACTCGTCCGCGTCCTTGTCCTCTACCCTGTAGACGAGACAAATCATCGTCCATGAATGTCTGATCATATCCCAGCACTGCTCCTCTGTGATAGATCCGAGCGACGTAACTGAAACCTGTTCATGTGCAATTCGGAGAAGGATACATACTAGATAACAGGCATGTGGATCGAAGAGGAAGGATGATTGGGAGTATTCTGCAATCATGCTAGTGCACCGATCTATATGATGATCCCTAACCAGATACGGATGCCAGATGGAATTCCTGGCGAGGGCAAAGACCAGGCTTAGATAGCACAAGTCGCGCTCATAATTGAAGATGTCATCAAAACCATCAGGCGTTGCACCTGGTCGCGGACAAACCGCAGATATGATAGCAGGTGAGAATTTGGTCAAACCCGTGTCTGCATCATCAACGGCATAGATCGAGGTCAAGACTTCCCGGGACCTGTGTGCAGCGCGAAGGGCGAGATGATGTAAACGGTCAGGCATGCTGCTGTCCATACATGCAATGAGCCCCTCGATGAACAGATGTCGTTTAGCGCGGCTGCAGCTCACGCTCATAGTGCTCATGAGTACAAGGATGTGGCATGTCATATAGTGGTCGTTGGAATAAACAGTGTCGAGGTAGTCCACTAGCCAGTCGAAGTCTTCTGGCGAGTACGAATTATCTTCCAATGGAACATAATGATACCATACCCAGGCAGGGCTGTCTGGGTCCAGCATATCATCGCGGACGACGTCGAACCGGAAGACTTGTACCTTTCGCAGCGCTGCCAATGGATCCGCATCATTTTGTTCGGATGACCTCGCCCGTGAATAAATCTTCCTGCACAAGTCAAGCTTCTGCATTGTCCGCGATGGAAGGGGCGTAGATAGACCGAGCTGGAGCATGGGACAGATGACATCGGTGAGGTTCCAAACTCGGCGTCGAACTCCAATACTGTCTCCATCGAGATCACCCCAGAGAGTTGTCCAGAACTGCTCCAAAAGAGACTTAGCAAGTCGTTCTAGAGCAGAACTACACGATCTCTTCGTTAGACATAGTAGGTGAACCACAAAATGAGTCAAAAAGCACCTTTTATCAATCCGAACTATGTCCTTCTTGTCAAACTGAACCCCGATCATAACACAAGCAAGAAGAGCGCAGTTGGCTAAGATTTGAGTCGACGGAGATGACGAAGAGGACAGCAGTTTTGATATTACCGCTATGGCGAGTTTTTCTACACCTTCGTCCACTTGTCCAGCAACAAAATGGTAAGGAAGGACGTGTGAAAGCCACTCGGGGGCAGAGTCGGCAAATTCGATTTGCAGGTATCGTTCGTTCCAGGGAATAAAGTAATCCTTGTACGAAAGTCTGGCAGTCAGGGCAAGCACCTTGTCTTGAGCTTTGCACCCCTGAATCATCCGGCAAAACAATTTAAAGTCGGTCGGGAACCGAGAGCGTGATATCTCATTGTGAAAGCCATTACCAGTATATGCCTGGAGAGCACGTCCGGAATACAGATGACTCAGAGCCATTGTACATACTGACGCCTTCTCCTCCAATGATGGGACAATGCATGACTGCACATCCACGCAACTTTCGTAAATATCATACAGCTGAGGCAGCATGTCTGAGATGTCAAGATCCAGGGGCCATTCGACTTGCGGAACTAGGCTAGCAGCGGCAAAAAACACTTCAGGGTCTGTAGATGTCTCGAGTAGCCACTTGATGCTAGGTGCTTCGAGACTGCTGGTGGGTATGTCTGGGAGGTCAAGTTGAAGGTGGCATTGATCTTTGGCCAAAGCGTCCAGGTGCCGGTCAGACGATTGTGCTTCAGAGTCCTGTGCTTCAGAGTCCTCGACCTGTGTCGGAGAGTGTACGACCAAAGAGCGCAGCCAGGGTACAAAGATATGAAGCGCGCCGGATAATTGCTGAAGATGGCTCCGTGCAAATGAGCGGACCGCATGCACAGAGACTGAGGAATAAGATAAGCGCCAGGTGTTCTATGCAATGATATTTGGGAATGTCACCTGCCAGCGCTACATACAATAGGGTCCAACTGAATCTGAGGGTAGAAAACAGTACATGCAGCACATCTAATAACATGAAATGGTCAAAGTCTGTACATAGGCAAGAACACTCGACTTTACTCACTGTGCACCGACGTTGCCAGTCGCTGGAAATACCTCAAGGCTAGTTTGACCATTGGGCGTAAAACTCCTGCATGTAGATTCAGATTGAAAATGACCACCATAGTGCACAAAGAGCTTACTGTCGACGTGCAACATGCGCAATATTGTCGATATCGGGGTCTGAAATGGACAGGCGGGAGATACCAAAGCTGCCATCAAAGTCAGGGAATAGCACAAAACTCCGAAGACTGTGGTTGTGATGATAACCCAGGCAATGCTGTGAGGCTTGTACCACATGTTGGCGCTGAGGGCGATTCCAAAGAGAAGAAGGGAGAGTTGAAGTAAGATCGGAAATGATTGAACGACAGCATCAAAATACCATGTGATGATCCCTTCGAATTTCTCTTGTCTGCGCTTCCCTCGTTCCTCTGGCGAGCCACGACCATATCTGCTCGACTTGTAGTACCCGAGCCACTGCTTTCCTAACATGGCACCTAATGCAGCGAGCAAGCTCATGCACAAGCTTGCGTATGCGATCGCTTGGATCCTTACGTTCGACGTGGATGGCGACCATGCAGATGCCGGCGCTGCAGGCTCTGCGCCCGCTGCAGCAAGGTCGCCGAGTCCGATTTGCACGAGCTGCGTGAGAAGAGCGTTTGTGGTGTCACTGGGGTCGAAACTGAGGCTAGACTCCATTGCTACGATAAAAGACGTGCTAACAGCGGAGAAAAGACCGGACTGGTCGAACATCAATAAAAAACCGAGCATGTGATTCAGAAACATACGAAGACCAAAACAATGTCCATATCACTTGTATATCGCTCAAGGAACTCGCTGTCGTGTTCCTCCGCGACTCTTCTGTGTATCGTCCAGAAACGAGAGCGGATGTCCTTGCCACCCTTGGAGGCAATTGTAGAATCCTGGAGAACATCCAATACTTTATTCATGGTGTTCATTCTGTGGGCATGTCGTCAATACGGATCAATCAGTTTATTTGCTTTCGCTCACATATCACTTAGATTTGGCTCTTGGACTACGACATCTGCCGCCTCGCTGAGACAATCTGTGAGATTGTTTGACATGATTGCTGAGTAGAGCTTTCAACTTACGGAGCCAAGCCGTTGGGCGAATCATCGAAAGTACCCTCCTGGTGAGTTTTGATGGCTGGTAAGGGGCGTTCGAGCTGTATTTCTCATCAGGGAGACGCAGAAGCATCTGCAAAAAAGAACACACATCCCCGATGACAATTTCACCGTCGAAGGTCCACTCATTTCCTTCTCGCTGTCTTGCTGTCAGCAGAGGTATAGAATCCAGGAAGATATAACTTACCCCCCGGTGGGTCCTACGATGATTTTCAGGTGGAGGCTGCTCGTCGCTAGATTCTGGCCGCCGTTGGTGCTACTCGCTTTCGATAGCTTTAGGTATGTATGGAAGTTCTTGACATGAGGAAGACGAACCTGTTTGCTCCACAACAAAGCTAGCGGGATGGAAAAAGAAAGATAAGACGAGTCTGAGGCGAGTGGACAGAGATAAGTCGTGATAGCATAACGTTGTTCAGCCAGTTCGAGCCGCTGCCAAATTTGCATAACTGGTGAGCCGCAGATATCGTCATATGTGCCGACATATGATCATATATAGAAAAGGCTTTCGTTATAAGTAAAGTCATATACAACCACATATGTCAGACAAACCCCACAATCAACGTAAAGCACCCTGGGGAGTTGCTGGGGAGACTCACGAGTTCTCTGATCGGCGCGGCTCAGGGCGCTCCCTGGACTTCGGAAATGAATAGCCTCGTGTAGTTTGCCTGCATGCCGCATCACTGAAATTTGAAAACCAGCAAGCGTTTAAGCAAGGCGAGCGAAATCTGATTCCACGTACATTTACTTGATTTACTTTGCTGGAGATTGCTGGTGAACTTCCAAGGATGAATCTATGTATAAGCTCTCCCGACGTAATCTGTGGAGCTGTGCTACTTAGAAATTGTATTCACAGTTCTGAATCCACAGCGACGTCTCGGGAGAGGCGCATCAGCAAATTGTATTTACCTTTACACAATCGTTAGACAGGGAGGCTCGAAGCCGTAATTACTGGCCAAGCTACGGAAAGCGCCGAGAGACCCCGAGGAGCCCTCTTTTGTCTGACCAGCATTTGTCCTTAGCCCTTAGTTTGGACGTCCAAAGTCCAGCATCCAGGGAATCATCACAAACCGGAGAATGACGAGTCATTGGCGCTTCAGCCTTTTATAAGCGAAATCCTGATCTAGAAGTGATAGTAAACTTGAAGAAAGATAGAGAGTAGCATATCGGCAATCGTGAGCTGAGATTAGAAGTTATAGTAAACATGAAGACCGAAACAGATCAGTATCGTCGGCCATATCAAACAGCGCGCCCGTGCATGTCCAAACAAGAAAAGCACATCAGCCTTCATTCCATTCCCTATCTTTGCGGTCAGTCCGATCTCACTGAAATCAGAAATACTCACAATATTTCCTCCCCTCTGCGTGGTTCCACCCTTCCACCCTGTCACCCAGCAAGTCGTTAGTCTGTTCCCACGTGTCAATCTGCAGCGGCTTTTCGTCGGGGTCCAGCTGGACATGAACAGTATCGTCAACGGATCTCACTATCGCCTTCACGATAGACATAGGCCACTGCCATTTCTCATTCAGCCAGAAAGACCACCAGTAATTGTCCCGTAACTCGCGTAAACGCAAGGCGACTGAGCGAATATTCTGCGATACTGCTGTGTCGCTATCAGACAGCTTGACCGTGAAATCGATATCCAAGGCTTCCCAAGCGACTCTCTCCATTTTTCCTGGTCGATATATTACCACTTTATCCTGCACTAGCCCATGATAGCTCCACAGGAAAGTGGTAAAATTGTGCCAGAAAGATTCCTCATCTTTGGGATGACGAATATACACATAATACTCCAGGTCATCGAGGGTGACTAGCAGAACGATGATCTTGAAGAGGTCAATCTCGGCTTGTCCGAGGGAAATAGAGCGTATGATAGCATTGCAGAATGGCGACCCTTGCCCCTTGTTTGGTGAGAGAAGTTGTTCTATGAAGTTGGACAACGTTACTTCGACCGGCTCGTCATCGTCATCTTCAGGTAGCTGGAGCGGTGTGACTGTGGAAAGCATGTGTGATGCTACCATGCTGATTGCTGACCAAGGCCAGTCATTACACCTGGATTTCATTGGGAAATGATTCATTGGACACGAAAGCACCTTGACTCACCAACTGTTTAAGCACCATGGAATCCCGGCAAGGTGTTTCAGTTCACGGCCAAAATTTCCGACGATCTCTGGCCAAGTATGACCGCGAGGGTACACGATAACTCCCAAAATCGCTCTCGCCACGTTCAGCGCAATCAACCCATCTAACAGCCTGAACGAGTGATTCGTCACGACCTAAATGTGTGTCCTCTCGTCACGCAAGTAATTATGACATATAAAGCAACCTACTTTGATCCAAGCGCCCGCTGGTTTGTGGATATAGCCGGCCCTTCCGAGGGCCCATACTGCTATGCAGTCCCCTTGGCGTAGCCCCAGAGTCAATGGGTGATGATGGTCCATGACATGTACAGCGCCGTACGATCGCCACCCCGATTGGTTCCTAAAATGTACCTTGAGCGGAAAACAAACGGATTCAGAGACCTCGACGAGTCTCCCGTCCTGTGTTTTCCGGAGAATAGCGCATCGAAACCATTCCATTCTGTTAAGAGTGCTTTCGGTAACGGAGGCCGGCTGGTCCTGATCTGGTTCCAACTCCACAGTGCCATAGATAAATATGTGAACCGATGTGACTCCTGCCCCGGAGGTTGCAATTGGGGGGGTCAGGATATACAAATATTTGCTTGGCTCGCAGAATTTGTATCCCAGAAGGTGGGATCCTGAACCCGGGAGTGCGGGGACTAAATCAGTGAAATCGGGGGGTAACACGACGTATGTGTAGTCCTGGCCATTCGTATCGGCTGTCCGGCCCTCATCGATGCAAAGTACCTTGGCGCGTAGTGCCCAGTTGAGAGGACCGACAGTGACATGTTTAAACCAAAGTAAGTAGCCACAGAAGGCATACATGAAGCAAACGCATCGCAGAATGCAATACTCATGCCAACGTAGGTCGTGCCTCCCTTTCTCTGCGATTTCAGGCTAGTATCAGCCAGGAGAGTACGTTGAGATGTACGAGACATACCTATGCAATATAAGAGCATACCCCCAAACGCACCATACTCGGTCATCAGGTAAAATTTGAGTTGATCCAATGTTACAACCCTCCCTGACATTGTCACTGTCTCGACGTTTCTCCAAAACTCCAGAGCCATGGTCAAGACAATGGATCGAGACCAAGCCCAGCAGTTGGCACTGAACAACGCATAGGCTTCATGTTTCGTTCCTAGTTGCGTTAGAATCCTGGCAATTGAATGAAGAGTGACAGGTTTATGAGCAGGAGGACCAGAAAACTGGATTTCGAGGACAGTCATGGTGAATCTCCTACGGTCTTGTTCATGGGGATCATTAGGTTTGTAGAACTCTGCTCCATCTGCGCTGTCTTTCTGACTGCCAAAAAGACTGCGAAGAGTTGGCACAGGTATTCGCTCTTTCAGTCCTGCGCCACCCCAAGAATGTTCCAAGTAAAGCAGACGCCTTTCACCATCGTAAGTCAGAGTAAGTACGACGAACTCGTGACGCCAGTCGGAGAATCGAGTGTCCTTGAGCAATTCCACTTTGTGTATTGTGGTTTCGACGGTAGGTGCAGTCTCAGGAGTCTCATCTACTATGGTATAAAATTGTCAATATTATGACTTGAATTCAGGGTCTTGTTGTAGACTCACCACCAGTACCCCCCGTCTTTAGCTTCTCGGATTCCACATCTCCCAGGACCAATTTGCAGAAATCATCGACGCAATATTCTGAATCAATATCAAGTGAAGCAGTACTAGTCATGGTGTGGTATGCTGTGGAAGTCGTCGTTCCACATATTATGTAGCAATCTGCTCACAATTGCCTCATGTTCACTCACAGCCTTGCAATGAGGTGTACAGCTGCACATGTTCATTAATCATTGTTCTTCTCCACGTTCCGTATAGACATGGTTGCAACGAGCCCTCGACCAGTTCGATTCTGCATAACGTCCTCGGAGGTGAATTCTGAAATCTTCAGACGGCGCACTTATCTCGCGCGCACCCGATTTTGCGAATTTGCCGAGTTTCGACAGAATGTCAAGCATTCATGGAATTGACTGTCTGTGCTCTAGTATTGGCCTTGGCTGCTGAAGTAGACGACCAGATCTCTGGCGCGTGGAACAGCAGTCTGAAACTCTGAGGACGTCCACCAAATGGAAACAGCCGCCCGGCTAGATCCGAGCGAAGTTTAAGTCCAAATCGGGACGGCCAATCGTCAAATTCGCATGTTGTATATTTGACGAAAAACATAGGTCTACTTAGTTCCGAACGTTGACCAGAGCCCAGACACACACTCAATGATTCAGTGAATGAGCATGCGAAATATCTTTGCAGATTTTGTGCTGGGAGTGAAGTATCTGCATGGCACACGAAACATGACAGGTGTAGGCCTAGGATCTACATGTATACCAAAAGTATATGAGAGGCACAGCAAGCATAGGATCTATAATGGCATCTTGCTTCGGTACAACCTATAATGAAAGATGTAAGATAAATACATGATAAGTATGAGTATTGTACAGCAGAATAAGTATGGCGCATTATCGACACAGCTAAGCATGTGTCGAATTGCACACCTCGCGTTCAAATCAGAACAGAACAGAACATAAAGCCGAAATGATATTGTATATTGGTTTACAGCAAACCTACAGTGACAACACATAGACATGCAATGACACAACAAGTATCCCATCCATCCAGACAAGTGTCCCATCACACCGGTACTGTTGTCACCACTAAATGTCATTCTTTTCTCTGTCATCTCGACACTCCCTTCAATCAATGTATGAGACATCTTGGCTCCCTGAGTGATTCTGCACATCCTAGGAACGTTTCGTCGAGTTATACCTAGAGAGGCGTTAAACACGCTTGGTGTGCGTTCGAGAAGTAGCGCTCTTACCCTGTCTAAGACTTGCGTATATGAAAACGCGACTGTTGCTGCCAGCGGAGTCAAAGGATCTCTTGAGGCATTGTTCTGGATGTCAAGTGCGATTTCAGTCATTATTAACATCACTGCAACTGGACCCCAGACGACCACTTACACATGGAATGCTTGTTGCATAATCACGGGATTCCTGCATGAGAAGAGATGTCCATCATTAGAAACGTATCCTAGACCAACTTGGGCATTGTTAGGATCCATCGGTGGGTGAAACAAAGGTAAAGTGCAATAGGATGGCTGAGCAGCATTTCCAGTTGTAGCAGTGTGCTCGGGGCCTTGCAAAACGGTAAATCATCAATGGGACAAGCACAGAATAATCATACCACTACACATTGAGCCACTAACAAGAACACGATGTCATGTGTGTTATCACACTCGGAACATTCGAAACTCACCACTTGGCAAAATTTGCTTGCTGCTCCCGAGAATAAGGGTCTTTGAAGCCTGCGCACTATGTAAACCCAGGGGTACACCCACAGCCATATGACTCACCGGACCGCCGCCAGAAGAGATTGTGCGTCATGCAGTCCTTGGCACGTTCTGGACTAGGCAACAGTCGCTTAGAGATATGCTGAACCTCGTTATTCCCTCTACAAGCGGCGGGATCCAGGGCGCGACAGTAGTCGATGTGGACGTGGCGGCCCAATGTCTGACAGACAAGGTTGCACATCATCGATGAGCCCTCATCGTGTGAAGAGAAGCGACGGTCTTGGGCCTCGAGACCTGTATCATCTGGGCCATTGGCTGTCCATTGTGAAGAAGACATCGGTCCGTGTCCAGTTTCATGTTCTTGTTGCGGGTGGCCTGATGTAATGGTTCGTGAAACATGACTGACTGCTGGCGTAGATCAACTGTGCTTACCGAGCGGCAATGTACAATAGTAGCCACAGTGATCACACCTTGACATATGAGAAAATGAGACAGGGCGCAAAAACGAAAGAAAGGTCCAAACTTCGCTCTGCAGAAATGTACCACTTTTTTGTCCAAACTGTGATTGTGAGGACCTTTATGAGCCACCAGGCCCGGTGGTACCGGCTTCACACATCTCAGTCGCTTGGCCACTGTTGAGGGCGAGTCAGTGACAGCGTCAAAGGTAACTAACTCGCACACAAACCTTGTGAATACTGCGAACCAAGATCATATGTCAGCTCAGAAAATGATGTCCGCGACAAAAAGAGTACGCCACCTTCGTGTACTGAAACGTCTCGTGCCTTCCGGTGAACGTCGCCTCGATTGATTGGGGCGCAGTCTCAATTTCGCAGATGCCTTCGGCAGTGCATTGCATGGAACACGGATGCTCCTCCCTATTGGATGTTTAATTATTGAGATACACTGGGTGATCATCGACAAACCCGCAGAGATGAATAGCGTCGTCTTCCAAGCCGTGAAGATGTTCTGTATTGGCACAAAGTCTCTTGCAAAGTTGGCAGGGGAAAGAGCAAAGCCGAGCATCGCACTGGTGCTGGTCATGGTCCACGTCACTGCGGCACTTAAGACATCAGAAGGTGGTGCTAGACCTTCACTTCACTTACCTTGTAATGCCACAAGTACCACGGCAAGGTGGAGTAGATCCGTCACCCAACCTCAGCTTTGACAGATCGCAGGGCTAGTCGCGTTTTCAGCGTGTAAAAAAGCCTGTTCGATGGTAAAACATACCTGACCGCAGGCATGCACAGTAGCAGGACATAGATGGTCGTCTTCAGTGTGCCCAATCACCTAAACAGCAAGCTCGACGGTTTTATACCCATAGTGAAGATGATCTATCTCACCTTTGTACACTCATCCAGACATCCCTGTCTTCCGAAAAGTTTGCAAACTTGACCGCAGAGATGCGCATTAACAACACATCTGGAAGGGGTGATGAGCTCATGCGCGCATACGATAATGAAAGGCTTAACATATGATATCCTGGGTGTCCCGCTCTGAAAAGCATCAGTTTACTGAGCCAGTGAAAAGCTTAATGACTTACGACATCGAGCAATACTTGGTCTGTCCAGATGTCGCACAAAAATCGCAAGAGTGTATGCAATCATGTGAAGTTTGACAATTATGCTGTCCGTCGTGCAGTCTGCTCTGAACGCAGAGCAACTCGCAACTTCCACATTTAAGCTTGCACAGCTGCAAGTTTCTCTTCAAGTTCACTGTTTCGCTTTCAAACGATCTCATGAGCTCGTCAATGCTTGCTTGCCCGCTTTGGAAGCGTGCGACATTCAACAATATCCATGCGCGAACGTGGGCGACGCGCAAATTGACCAGGCTGTCGATGTGAGCGGTCAAATTCTCAATCCAAAGATCCTCCGGCATGTGATGACGAGAACCATAGTCTCCCCATGCATGAGATAGGACTTGCAGAGCGGCCTCGCAAGAAGAAGATTGCGGTCCCCCTGCCAACGAAAATTCTGACGAAGTATCAGGCATCCCAATCGCGATGTCGTCATCGAGGTTCTTCATGAATGCCAGGTTAAACGCGATTATAACAAAAGGCAGCAGAAGCATTTCTCACCTTCAATGATTCCGGGTCAGGATTGACCTCCTGAAGCCCGAATGCCAGAGCACTGGGCAACATGGCTGAAAGAAGTTGTGCTCGATGCGAGGCCATCGATTCTGCGAAGCGGCGTTCGTCAACTGAACTATTGATTCCTTCTAATAGTACACACGTGACAGGGCGCCCCAATCGTTTGCCTGGGCAAGTTCTAATCAATGCCCCCAAACTGTACGCCACATCAACCATACCTTCAGCTTAGCCATCAACGTCTTCATCACATCAAGGAACTCTCCTGCTGTATTATACGTCAGTTTTTGTTTGTCCAATCGACGCTTGAGGGTTGGGAACAGCTTGTAAAATTCATGCGACTCGATCACCGGCCTACATTGGAACAATCAAACGATATGCGGATATAAAAGACGCTTCACATACCAAGGGATGATATTCAACTGCCCAGCATGGAGGCGAGAAATGAAGTTGGCCTCTTGTTCGTCCTGGACTATCTGCTGAATCTTGAGGGCGAACCTGAACGACGATCTGAGCATGTGTTCATGTGGATACAGTTAAGAACATACTCCCGAGTAACTTCTGCTTTATCCGACTCCACGACATCCTAAACATCAACGAGTCAAAACACATGAAATGCAAATTTCAACAGGTGGAAAACTACCTTGATGATGATCACCAACGTAGATTGAAATAGACTCGGGTTAGACGCTGGATCGAGGACGGTCGAGCTTGACTGAAATGACTGGAATAAGCCTGTGATATCCCGGCTCAAGGCGAAGTTGTTCCGGAATAGCACCTACGTGAACGAGGTTAGGCAATCATCAGTAATACACAAAGGGCAGCAAACCAAGTTAGAGATTGCAGTATTGAACAGGACGAGTAACGTATCTTCTTGAGCGGAACGCTCAATACTATGAACACCTGTGAAGGACATATATCGATATGGAATGCCCAACAATGACTGGTTCGACATGCCTTCAAAATCCAAAGCAACAACAAGAGCATCTTTAGTCGGAGTCACCGACATCCAGACCCCTTCTGTCGTACGCATGGCTGATCCAGCGAATGATGTGTCCACGAGATGATTCAAAGAAAAACTTTTCCCCACCGATTGTTCACCCATGGACGACACAACTTTGACTGGCTTGAAGAAGATTCCACCGGAAGAAGTCAGTGATGCTAAACTCGAGGCTTCCATGTAGTCATACCTTTTTGGCCGTGTATGACTGGAACAAAGATTCATACCAACCAAAAGACAGGTGGTCGATAATGCGGTTAACATCCGCATCGAGGAGGGACTTCTCGAAGTCGGTCGAATATACACCGTCCTTGAGTGGAATGAATCGATTCTCCCTTGCTACTGCGATGTGGATTGGAATGAGGCAGAGGATATCCACCAGCCATTCCCCAGCTCTGAACTCCGATACGCTCCACTCTGCGCCTTCGAGGAGAGTGTTAGACAGGGCACCGTATGTAATTGCAGAGATGACCATTGATGTCAGAATAGTTCCCGTCGGCTTCCTTGATGTCCTTTGAAAGTTGAAAATAAGGTCGTGGAAGTGCGGCGAAAACATATGATGGTCTCGATCTGTAATGAACACCAATGTTCGCGGGCGCCTATTACTGGACGATGTGATCGCCTCCCGCTGAACGGCGGAGAGAACCGGGAAACGT